AATTTAATATTACTATTATTTGAATTAATGGTCGCTTTTTAATGGAATATCATGATATATTTTTAATATTTAATTCCTGTATTTTAAATTCCATAATTCTTCAAATGAATACAAAGCCATATAATTTTCTTAAACTCTAATATAACTATAAGAAACCAAATCTTATATAAATTGAAAGCCTTTTTTAAAAAAATAAAATAAAAATTTTTATATATATAAATATTTTTTTTTTTTTTTTTTTACTATTTTCTTCTATAAATTATATTTCTAAAGTATTTTTTTTTTTTTCTTCTTTATCATAATATATTAGTATTAGTTCCTTTTAAGATGTTCCTATAAAGTTTATTATTTGTGAATATTAGATTACTTTTTTTGGAGTTTTTATTTGATTTTATATTGAATATATTTAAATCTGGAACACATTTATTATTAATATTAAGTTCTCATGTAGATTAGTGGTTAGTTTTGTTTAAAAAATGGAACTTCCATATGAAGGAGAATACCTAAACTAATTCAAAATATTCAAAAGTAATGCTTTTTCGGATAGTTAGTCAATTTTTTCGGTTTCTTATGTATCTTAGATTGCTTAAATAGTTTCAGAAATGTTGGTATGTAAATTTTCAAAAGGGAGAATCTAAGATAAGTTTTTTAATATATATTTTTCATCAATTAATTGTAGATTTTTTTTCTTTTTTTTGGCTTAATAAATTAGCATTAAAGCTGCGATTTTAAGGATAGTCTTTGTTTCGAAAAAATAACGAAAAAAACTATTTTTTGTGTATTTTTACCATATTTCCTATAAAAAAATTTCTAGGTTTTCTTCGGAAATAAAAGACAATTTAAAAAATTGAGAAGAAAAATAAATTCTTTTTTGGAAAAAAAAAATGGATTTTTCTGAAAAAGAAATAATTTCGAAAATATAATCTTCTTTTAGAAAAGCTTTTATTTTTTAGTCTTAATTTATATATAACCAGTATATATTTTTGTCACATTTTTCCTTCCAATAGTCTATTTCATGAAATATATGTTATATAATTTCCCCTATTTATATTTTTTGATAAGGAATCTAAATTTTTTCAATTATCCCGCAAGGATATTATATTTCTAGTTCATAAAATTATATATTTTTTAATCTTTCACTTATTTCATAAGTTGAAGGGAGCCAATCAGGAAGAATTAAAGACTCTCCTATTTATTATTGTTAAAGAAGTTTTATTATTTTATGAATTATTTTATAGTAATGTTCTTGAGATAATTGAGAAAAGAAAAAAGCTTATAAATATATATTAAGGTCTTATCTATTTTTTTTAATTATTTTATTTCATATATATACATATATATATTTACGTAGGCGGTATATATAATAATATAATAATATAAAAATGAAAGATTTTTGTTAAATTAGAGTTTATTTATTATTATTGAATTATAAAATAATGTATTTATATGTATATTTCATCTGTTATTAAATGAGGTTATTATTTTATTTCGTATATGCTTTAGATGAAAAAGCGAATTTTTTTATATAAATCATCTGTTGTATTTAATTATATATCTAAAAGAAAATTCATAATACTTTACAATTATTAAGTAATTATTTATTAAAAATCTTAAGGTACAATATAATTATTAAAATTAAGAAAATTAGTTTAAAAAATATGATTTTTATCCACTCCTTGTTTTAAATATGTAAAAAATTACATTTAGTAGTTTTATTAGAGAAGGATATCATTTTTGGAAAAAGAAATGGGAATTTCTACAATATTAATGTTTTCTTTAACTGAAGATAATTAAAAAGTATTATAAAAAGACCTTTATACGAAATTATAGTAAATAATATTTAACCTTGAGCAGCTTAATTTGATATCATCTAGACCAAATTTAAACTGCTTTTGAAAATTTTAATAATTATTAGAGGAGAAATCATTTAGAAAATATAGAATTCTATTCTAGGCTAATTAAAAGAAATGGTTATTTGAAAACTAAGGATTTAAATGAATTTATTATTATAGAATTTCATTATATAGAATTAAATTCTATTAAGAAATTTTTGAAAAAAAATTATAGTCACACCTAGTAGTATGTGCAAAGAAATTATTATTAATATTTAAATTAAAGATATATTAAGGGATTTTTTTTCTTTAGAAATCTTTATTTAGAAAAAAAAACAGTCATTGTTATTTAAAAAATTGTTCATTAATATTTCCTCTTCTTCTTGATTTATTAGTCTTCCTTGATCATCTTAATCTTCACTACTTTCGATATATTTATTTATATATTGATCCCTTTTTTCCTTAAGTAGAATTAAAAATTGAACTATTTCACCTCTAATATCTAACATAATGCATTCTTTTAGAATATTTTCCAATTCATCGTTTATATCTTATTCGTGAATTTCTTAAAAATTTAACACTTTTTCGATTCTGGAAATTAATAAATTTTTCCTGTTTTCAACATTTATTTATTTTTCGTTAAAAAAATCGGTTTCAAGGCCCATTTTTTAAGCACATTCGGTTAATATTTAGATCGAATAATGGTCTCTTATTATTATTGCAAGATTGAGTTTTTATAAAATATAGGTTTGAAGATTTTAGAGAAGTTTTAGAGGAAATTAGAAGTCTAAGTTTAGTATTTCTTCACATAATAAGTAAAGATCTTCGATATTTTTTTTTTCTTCTTCCCTTATAAAAGCAGAGATTTTAGTGGATATTTCTTTTATTTATAATTAGTATTTTTTGGAGTTTGGAGGAGGCTTTAGTTATTAGTTGAAAAGGAGAATTCTTTAAATTTGAAAATTATTGTTGTCATTAGAAGATTAAACTATATTTTAGATCAATTCGGGTTGTAGAGGGGCTGGATAAAGTACTAATTGGAAATTATTTGTTTTATTTTAAAAGAAACCCATATATAACCTCCATAAAGTATATTTCGTTAAATTATTATAAGAAATATCTATCAAAGATAAATTTTATTAATTAGAAAATAAGATTGTATTTTCTAAAGGTAGAAGTATAGAGTCATTTATTTGATTATTTTTTAAAATTAATTTCCATATTTTTTGTCAATAAATTTATTTGGGTAAAAAAATTATAAAAATATTCATCGTTTCCTATTATTTAATTGAATGAAAGGTCAATATAATTTATTTCGGGACAACTTTCTAATATTTTGGATAATTAAGGAAATGAAAAGTGAGTTAATTAATTTTTTCTTAATGTAAGTTCTTCCAAGTATTAATTAAAGGATATACTATCGCTTATTTTGGAGAATTTTTAGTCATTTATCTCTATGTTTTCTAAGTTTAATTTCTATAATTAATCTATTTGTAAATTTGTTATTATTTATTCGCATATTACTTGTGTTTTTATATCTTAAATATTTCCTTGAATTTAAATATTTTTTATTTATTTACAGTTTTTTATAAATTAAATTAAGCATTAGAGTTTATTATCTTTTTTGAATAAATCTAAGTTTATTTAAAAAATATCGCTCTCGTCTTTTATTTATATAAGAATCCAATCTAATATCCATGCTTCTTCTTTTATTTCTTTATATGTACAACTATCTAAATATATATTCCAGGCTTAAGAAAAAAGAATTGCTTATTAAATTTTACAAGCTATTTCTTATGATTAAAATGTTAAATAATTAGATTACTTTTTATATATTAAGATATATATATATATATATAATATATATATATATATATATATATATATATATAATTAACATTTGTTTTTTCATCTATTATCATACTCGCATTCTCCTTAAATTACGGATCTTATATTTTAATTTAATGAGTTTCTAATAGTTACTTTAAAGTTAAATATTTTAATAATATGATTTTTTTTGCTTTTGTGGGAAGTGAATCTTTTTTTTTTTTTTTTAATCTATTTATATTATTTTTTATTAATACATATTTCTGGTGATAATATTGATTGTTAGTCAAATTGAAATTCAGATATATTGTTTTCTTATAAAAAACGTTCATCAAAATGATTATATAATAAAATTTAAGTTGAAGTTATTACTATTTTTTTTAATCTCCATAATGGACGTATATCTTTTTTATTAGTAGTTTCTTTTTTTTAATATAAATTTTTTGTTAATTTAGTTATTGGGTTTTTTTATAATTTTATTCACCATGGCATAATACGCATGTATTAGAAATTAAAAATATTCTGTCGGTATATTTCATTTAATTTTAATATTTTTTATATATCTGTATATATTTATTAATTGTTTTTTTATAATTTTTTTTTTTTTATTATTAAATAATAATAAAAATAAACGAATAAATTATAGAATAATGTATATAAAGTGAAATCTAATTTTTATTAAACTTATACATTAAAATAATAATTATGAAATAAGTAATAATAATATAAATATTCTAAGAATTATTCAAAAAATACTATAATTGTATATATTAAATAATTTTTTATATAAAAATATACGATAATTATTAAATTTAAAGAAAAATTAAAATTTTAAATATTTAATTGATTTTTTAACTTTATTCATCTTCTTGATTTTTCAATTTTATTCATCTTCCATTTTTTCTAACTTATTATTATTACCATCATTATTATTTTAGTCAAATTTCCCATTAGAAATATTTACTATTTTCGGAAATTCGTATTTTTCATTAAGCTTTTATTAACTCCATAAAAGTAATTTTATTAATGTTAATAGTTTATTGTCTTTTTTTATTTTATTTTTAAAAAAAAATTAAATTTTTTATAAAATTAATATTATATTACCTCTTTCCTCGGAATTTTTTTTTAGCATTTCATAATTTATTTCACTTGATATTTTTATTCTTTAGCAATTATTTACAAGATCTTTATACGGACTTTCTTCTATGTTTTCAAAAGCTAATAAACTCATTACTTTTTCCATATTATCCATATAATAGTTTTTTTTTCTTCCTATGTTTTTTTTATTTTTTTAAACAAAAAATTATAACTTTTTTTATATAAAAATACACTTTCTTCAACTAATGTTAATAATTCCTATTATGCGTAATTAATTGCAGAATCTATTTCATTTTTTTTAATTAATTCAATACATTTTTATAATTTTATGCTAAAATTTATGTCTTTATTTTCTAATAAAATCTTTTTTTTATTATAATTTTCGATTTAAAATATAAATTATATTTATATTTTATATACTTTTTAATTAAAATTATTTAGTTCATTTATTGCTTCATCTATTTGACCATTTAATATTAATTATCTTATATTTATTCTTGGCTATATTGAATTTAAATCAAAATTACTAACTATTTTATTTGTTCAATAAATTATTTTTAAATAAAAGTTTATTTTTTAAAAATATATATATATACTTTCTGTTTAGGTTTCTTCTTAAAATCTTTAAGCTGCTTCTTTATATCCTTCATATTATTTTTCAGAAATAATAAAATTATTAATTTTATTTTTTATATTTTATTTATTTAATAAATATTTTACCTTCAATTAAAAAAAAATTCATTACTAATTTATTCATATCATATTTTGATATTTTAATATTTTTTAAATCATTTTACCATTTTTCTAAATTTATTTTTTTATCAGCAATTTCATCTAAATCGACATCTTGATTATGCATTTTATATATATTTCTTTGAAATTTTTTTTATTATTATATATTTTTTATTTCTTTTTTTTAAATTTTTTTTTTTTTCTATTAAAAAATATAAAATATTATAATATATTATTAAAACTAAATATAATTCACTTTTTTTTTTTTTTCTGTTATTTTATTAAATCTGTTTTGTTTTGTTTTCTTTTGTTTTCGTTTTTTTTTTGCTTAATTTTTTTTAAAAAAATAAGAAATGTGATTTTGAATTAAATAGAATTAAAAAATAAATTTATGAATATATTTTTTTATTTTTTATTTTGTTATAAAAATATATATCAAAGAATATATTTTATTGTATTATTTTAATTTTAACAAATTATTATTTTATAAAAAAAAAAAGTCTTTAAAATTTTTATAGATATAATTTTTATAAAAAAAAATTATAATTACAAAGTTTATAAAAAAAAAGATAATATTTATTAAATAAAAAATTAAAACAATTAAAATTATTAACTAACTTATTAATTATATATATAAATTTTTATTATGAAAAAATTATATTTATTTATAATGAAAAATTATATATAAATAAATTTTTAACTTTCATTTACATTAAAATTAAAATTATCAAACATCCTAAACCCATTTTATTCTTTTTCCGTTTTCCCATATACCCTCTTTCTTTTCTCCGTTTGGAAGTATAAGAAATCCTTAATAATTTATTCTTAAAAAACACAAAAAATTGCAAATATATATAATATTAAAATTTACCATTCCCATCTTATTTTCCATTATGCCAATATCCTTCATATTTTTTGCAATTTCCCCAATCAAAAACTCCGTAACCATGTTTTCTATCATCTAAATATTCTCCTGTATATTTTTTTTTATCTGGCCAAGTTGTTTCTCCTCTTTGGTTTATTATTCTTAAAAAAAAAAAATATATATATATTATTACTTTCCATTCATTTTATTATTTTTCCATTAACCTTTGTATATTTTTCCGTCATTCCAATAATATTCTCCATATCCCGATATTTCATTATCAAGAAACTCTCCTACATATTTACTTTTATCTGAAAAATATAAAGTCCCTTGCCCATTTTTCTTTCCGTTTAAATAATTCCCTTCATATTTTGCATTATCTGGCCAAACTTCAACTCCATACCCATTTTATAAATCATCTTTCCATTCTCCGTCGTATTTAGCGCCTCCACTATGAATATAAACACCTTTTCCGTTTGCCATATCATTTTTCCATTCGCCTTCGTATATATCTCCGTCTATATGAACTAATTTACCAAAGCCATCTGCTTTGTCTAATACCCAAGAACCTTCATAATAACTACCATCTGGCCATATATGCTTTCCTTATCCTTCTCGGACCCCTTCTTTCCATTCACCAATGTATTTACCTTCATTTTTCATTTCTATTTATTCTAGTTTTATTGGATGAAGCTAGTTAAATGTTGAAGCAATTATTTCTGAATATTTTTGTAATGGCTAATTATCCTCGTGGTTAGTATTTTTTCGTATTTAACTTAAAGTTACTTATTTTTTTTTAATTGAAAAATTTTACATAATTTAACTTTGTAAATATAAATATTTTATTTTTTTACTTTTTCCATTATTTTAAGAAGATGATTCATATTAATTTTTATGTTTGTATGTATCTTATGCATTTTAAACAGTATTAGCGTTTTAAAGTTATTAATTTAATTCATCGTTCTTTTATTTATTTAATTTGTCAGATTAATTTAATGCTATTGATGTATGTTATAGTTCTTCATTTTCTTTATTAGATTCTATACCACAATTACAATTTCCCATTATAGTTTTTAAAGAAATATATCAAAATATATATTTTTTTTAATACAATAAAAATATTAAAATATATAAATAAATTTAAATAATTCAAATTAATTAATATATTTTCAATTTATTTTATAAAAATAAAATATATATATAATTCATATATAGATTTAAGTAAAAAAAAAAAAAAATAGATTATTTAAATGATATTATTTTTATTATATAAATATTAATTCTAAATATTTAAAAAATTATTATAATGAAATATAAATTATATAAATTAGTATGATTTTAATATATATATATATATATATATATATTTATATTTTTATATATATAAATATATATATTTTTATAAAAACTCATTTATTTTAATTTTAAAAATCATTAAAATTCAAAAAGATTATATATTTTAAGCTATTAACATAATTTTATACTATTAAAGTCAATAAAAAAATCTTATAAGCTCCTTAACTACAAGCTCTATTATTTTAAAATATAATTATTATTATTTTTTTAAAAATTTAAAATTACTTTTATCACTATCTTTGAATTCTTATTACTTAGTTTCTTATATTTCTTCTACTATATCTTTAAAAGATGGTCTACTTTCAGGTAACCTATTTAGGCATTTTTTCATCAACTTCAGATATCTTGGAATTCCTATTTTCGGTATAGGTACTTCATAAAGTTCATCATATCCAACTGTACCATAAATTTATTAATGAGACATACCTTTATAAGGTATATTTCTTGTAAGCATTTCCCAAAGTATCATTCCAAAAGAATACACATCAGAATGTTCTTAATATTACTCCCTTCTCATAACTTCAGGAGCCATCCATTATGGAGTTCCAATAAGTCCAGCTTCTTAAATTTTATTTTTTTTTTAATTCAATTTTGATTTTATTCTTGAAAGCCCAAAATCACATAATTTCACATTCCGATTTTCATCTATTAGTACATTAGAGCTTTTCAAATCACAATGTAATACTTTTATTCCGTGTAAATATCTCATTCCTAAGGCTATATCTTCTATTATATTTATTATCTATTGTTAAGAAAATTCAGTTTTTAATTTATGTAAATGATCAAATAATGAGCCACCACTTAAATACTCTGTTATCATATAGTATTATGAATTTGATATACATATTCCCATATATAATACTATGTTTGGATGTCTTAAATTATTTATAACTCTTACTTCTGAGATAAAGTCTTGTATTTTTCTAAAGTGAATTCTACTGTTTTTTTTACCAAATTACTGTTTTATTATTTTTTATGTTAGTTTTTTTTATTTTTACTTTTATTGCAACATCTTGTCCTAACCAATTTCCTTAATAAACTTCACCGTAACTTCCTTCTCCTATTTTTTTACCGAATTCTAATTCTTTAAATGATATGATGAAATTTTTATTTATTCCACTTTATTAGAGCATTTCTATTATAACTCTATCTATGTTTTTTTTTTTTTTTTTTTTTTTTTAAAAAAAAAAAAATTATGTTATACCAAAATCTTATTGTTTGTAAAATTTTCTTTTATTTTATTAATTTTGTTCCGGTGTGTTTTTAATTTATTCATTTTATTTTTTAAATTTGTGATCTTTGATTTTTTTGCTATTCCTTTTCTTAATTTCTGGTCGAACAGAGGAAGAATCGCTTGAATCAGAACTAACATTTTGTTAATTTTTATTTATCATAATTGATTTTTGATTTGGCTATTTTTTTATTTCATTTTCGCTTGATTCATCTGATGAACTTGTAGAATATTAAAATTGGCTTGCAATTTGGATATTATTGTTATTTTAAGGGTTATCATTATAATTTTTATTTTATTCAAGATATTTCTTTTTTTATAATTATTAAATATTTTATGTTTATGTTTTTTTAAAATGGTTTTTTTCTTTAAAATCAATATGAACTAATCCTTTATTTGAATTTATTTCTAGACTAAATTTTTATTATTTATCTTAATTAGAAAATTATTATTAATTAATTTCAGTTTAAATATTTTTTTATTACTAATTATTAACAATCAATACCGCATTATTATTTTTTATTTTACCAGAAATTTAACTATTAGCCTATCCTTCTTATTTATCTATAGTTTATTTTTCAGATATAATATTATTAGTAATGTTTATTTAGGAAGTAGATGGTGATGAAAAGCTGGTATTACATTGCATTTTTTTGTCTTTTTTTTAATTATTAATATCTTCTCCTTCATCATCTGCAACGATATTTTCTGTACTTTCCAAAACTTTCCTAATTTAATTATTATTTTAACTTTATATTTTTAGCTATTCAGCTTCTTAGATTCCCGACCGCTAAATTTTAGAACTTTTAAGCATTTCGATAGTATTCTTAAAATTAAATTTATTAATTAATAAATCTGCTTTTAAATTATTGTAATTATTATATTTTGGAGGCGAATCATCTTGTTAAATTTGCTCGTTTTCTTCTTCTATTATACTTTTGTAATTACTTGAAAATTTCATTGTGGAATTTTATAAGCTTTTGTTTGAAATTGTTTTTTGGAATTATTTAACTATTTGCATAAATTTAGGATCTTTAAGCATTTTATTTTCTTTATATTTTTTCAGAATACTGATTTATTTTTAAAAAATCTTCCTTTTTCCTAAAGCTTCCATTTAAAATTAAGTTTTTAAATCTTAATCAGTTAGTAAGAATATGCTTTTTCCGCAAATCTAATTTTTAAAAAATTCCCCTTTAAATTCTCCTAAACCTATTTTTTCAAGCCATAAACAAATATGATGAGTATTCCATTCATTTACTTTATTTTTTTTAATAAGTTATTTTTTTATCCTTTTTTTTTAAAAAAATACAGTTTTTAGGAAAATATTCAAATAATGTATGAAATTCCATTTATTCTATTAATGAGTAATCTAATTATTTTAGATCGTCGTTTGAGTTAATACTCATATTATTCATATTTAAATTAATTAATAAGTTTTAAGGATTAAATCCTATTGATTGGCTTCCTTCATATACTTCTGTTTATATATTTATTGATTTTGATTAATTCGGACCTTAAATACTTTCTTAATTACTTTATATTCCCTTTTTTATTTCATAATTTCTTTTTTTGTTATAATTATATATATTTATTTTGTATTACATCACTTTTACCACTATTACTGGCATTTAGCCCATTAATTTAATTAGTTTGTTTATCGTTATAGCAATTAGAATTATAAGCATTACTTAAACTTCGAATTTTAATTACATCTTATTTTTTATTTGGACTAAAACTTCTTCTAATTTTATTATATTGGGTTAAACTTTATCTATGATTTTCTTTTTTTTATTCCTTTTCTTTTTTTAAAATTTTTTTTTATTTATAAATAAATGTATTTTTTTTATTTTAACTTTGACTTTCTTCCTCAAACTAATATTTTTTTTCCTTTGATAATTATTTATTGAATTCTACCTTCTAGCCATGAATCCATAATTCCTTTATTTCTTCTCCGTTCGGAGCAGTATATAATCCTTCTCCGTGTTTCAAGTTATTCAAAAAGATACCTATTATTTTATAATTATATATAAATATATATTAAATGATTAATTTATATTTAATATGTTTATATATTATAAATAAAAAATCATTATTTCACCTTTGTATTTGCTTTAATTATTAAACCACATTATACCTTCACCATTTCTAATTCCGTTTTTCCAGTTAGTTTTAAATTTAATTATAAAATATTAAATATGTAAAAGATTAATTTTATATAAAAAATAAATATAATTTAAAATTATATAATTAATTATTACCTACAAATCTTTCACTATTAGAGTAAAAATATTAACCTGTTCCTTCACATTTATCATTTTACCAATTACCAAGATATAATTCGCCATTTTTAAAATATTATTTTCCTTTTCCGTGTCTTAAATCATTTTTCCATTCTCCTTCATATCTGTCTCCATTCGAATAAATCATTGTTCCATTTCCATGTTTTTTATTGTGATAATTATATTAACCTTTAAAAAATATTTTTATTTTTCTTAAAAATTAATTATTGTTGCTTTTGTTGAAATGATTTATGTAAAATTTTTAACAAAAAAAATAAAAATAAAGTTTATTTTTTATTTTAATAATTAAAAAAAATAAATATACCTACATATTTATCACCATTAGGATAAACTATTTGATTTGTAAACATTTTTTAATTATCATTTTCAAACTAATTATAATTAAATACTTATTTTAAAAATATCATTTATTTATTTATTTTATATTTTATGTATTTTATATTTTTTATTTATTTTTATAATTAATTTTTTATTATGTTAATTTTATTATGTGAATATTATTTTATAATTTTTATTTTAAAATATATTTAGTTTTTTTAAATTGAAATATAAAAGTTCTATTAACTTTACCAAAATTGAAATTATTCGAAATGAACATATCATATATATATATATATATTTTTTTCAAATAATAAAATAATTATTTATATATTATATTTTTTAATATTAAATTAATTTTTTATGTTAAATTTATTAACTTTTTTTTGATTTTTTTATATATATCTAAATAATGTTTTAAAAAATACATTTTAAGCAATTAAAAGAAATATATATATATATATATATATATATACATATATAATATTTAATATAATAAATCAAGAAATAAATTTACTTATTAAATTTTAGTGATAAAAACATATATTTTAAGAATTATTCGATAATAGTATTTAATTAGTTTTATTGTTAAAAAAAGAATTAATAATATTAATCATATATAAATAATATATATATTCATCTCATTATTAATATTTTATTTAAATATATATAATTTAAAATTTTTTTAATTATAATTTATAATTATTTAATTAATCAATTTTTTCATAATACAAATTATTATTTTTCATAATATTTTTTTTTAATTTTTTTTAAAATATGAATCTTTTATTTTTATATTAATTATATAATTATATTTAAAATAATAAACTTAAAATAAATATCATTTTTATTTATATATTATTTACATTATTATTTTAAAAAATATTAAAAAAAAACAAATATTATAATAATTTTAATAAAACTTATTAATTTAATATTTACTAAATAAATATAAAATAAGAAAAATGAATGTAATATTGAGTTAAATTCATGCACATTTTCTGAAAACTTTTTTTGGATATATATTTTTTTGTATTATTTCAAAGTTATTTTCTTTTATTAAAATATTTAGTTAACGAATCTTAAACAAGTAATGTCTTTTAATATTATAAAAATATATATTTATAAAAAAAACATCAAATTTTATTATATAAATTTTTACAATAACAACATGTGGTGCAATTCTTGTTATAAAAGTTGGTAAACCAACCCACAAACCTAAAAATCCTTCTCTTCTAACACTCTATTATATTAAAAAAAAAAATATTCAATGCCATATTTTTAATATATATAATTACAATAGTAAAGCAATCAGTAAAGCCTTTATATAAAACATTTCCTTAAGCATCAGGTTTTTGTCTTTATAATTTAGTTTTGATATTATCAATAGGTAAAGACATTACAGAAGCAACAATACCAGAAAGAGCAGAAGCACTTATTTTTTATAAAATAAATAAATTTAGAAATTAATATAAAATCTTACATAACTTATGTTTATAAAGTATCAGTTGTTTTAGTATATTCATTTAATCTTTCTTTTGCTTCATCAAAAGTTGAAAGCATACCTAAATTTAATAGCATTGCTCTAACAACAGTAGGCGAACATCCCTTCCATAAAGCCAATACTCCTTCTTCAGAAACTATTCTTCTTAATGCATCAAAAATATTTTTATAATTTCTTCTTTAGTCAATAGGTAATAAAGTATCTCCTTAAAATCTCACTAATGCTAAATCTGCGGGATTACCACATAAAGAACCTACAAAACCTGCAGTAAGAGAGCAGTATACTTTTTCTCCGAAAGTTAAATTTTCTTTATTTGCATATTTATTTATTTTTATATATATTTTTTAACTTTTTTTTCAAAAAATAATATTATATAGTTTGCTTTACTTCCGCCTTTTTTGGCTTTAATATTATCAGTTAATGTCTTAAAAAGTCCTAATCTTACTGTTGTGTATAATACTTATCTCATTAAAGCAGAATCAATTCTATTTTATTAATTTTATTTATTGTGCTTATATAATTTTTATTATTTATTAAATTTTATATATTACCCTTTATATAAACCTGAAATACCGTCAGATTTTATCACGTTTTTGGCTATTGCAATAGGATTAGTGGATAATTTTGAATTTCCTGCAGACTTTTCTTCCGATAAAATTTAAATACGAACTTTTATGGTATCAATTGGTTGAATAATAGTTGTAGCAAACATACCTGAAAAACCGCCAATTAAAAATGGTTAAAGAGTATTCATTATAGAAGATTATTTTTTTTATTAAGGTTATACCATTTATTTTTATATTTTTATATTATTTTTTTTTTTTATTTTAAAATGTTTTTTTTTTATTTCTATTTTTTTTTATTTCTATATTTTTTTTTTTAATTTTTTTTTTTTTTTCCTTTTTTTTATATAAATTTATTAATTTATTTTTTTTATTAATGATTTTATATATTTTCATCTTTTATTACTTTATTTAATTATATTTAAAAATTAAATATTAAACGAAAATATTAGTTTTATATATTTGCTGCAATTGTATATTACGCGCAAGCCTATTTTATATTTTTTACGTGATGTAATAAAATTATTACGTATTAAATATAACTATGTTTAATATTTAATAATTAAATTTAAAAATTAATTATGGAATTTGTCCTAATTATTTCTTTTAAAATATAAATAATAAAATTAAATTCAAGGTTTTTTTAAAATAAAAATAATTTATAGTTATTATATAAAATGGGCATTTATTTTAATAAATTTATAATTTTTTTTAATTTTTATTTATTAAATATAAAAATACGATTAAATATATATAGTAAAAATTTATATTTTGACTAAAAAAATTATATTAATTATCTTAAACTTTGCAATAATCAAAATTAATTATTAAAATAATACTATGTAATTATTTACTTTAACTTTTTATAAATAAGCATATATACAAATATAATTATTGTTTAATCTTATATATTTTTTATTATTATTTTTATAATATTGATAAGAATTATTATTGTTTTTTTATATTTAAATATAGACAATGTTTATTTATTTTTTCTTAATTTAAAAAAATATATATATATTTGGTTTTAAAAATATAATGGATATTAATCAATAAATAAATTAGTTAAAACAATTTATAAAAGTCATATAAATTTTAAAAATAAAATATAAAAATATGGTTGGTTATAATAATAAAATTATTGAAAAAAAAAAAAAATTATTTAAAAATTGATATATTTTTTTTAGTATAATTTTTAATTAAAAATAATTTCATATATTTAAAGTTTATCATATTTTTTTTTGTATAATAATAAGTTTAATTTAAAAAAATAATCAATTTTATTTAGAATAAAATAGTATTATTATTTGCACTAGTATAATAACAAAGTAATTTCATATTTACTTTTAGTTTAAAATAAAATATGTTTTTATATATAGTTATTAAATCTATGAATTGTTCTAATTAAATTAAATTGTATGCTATATTATATAAATAATTTATCTAATATATTAATATAAATAATAATAAAAAAGTTATTTTCAATCTTTAATATATATTTTTTTATAATATTATTTCTAAAATAATAAATATATAATAATAAAAAAATAATATGTAAGAATAATAAATTTAAAATTTAATATAACCATTGATAGCTGATGAATAGGCAGAAATAGATAATGATGATAATTAAATAGCGTAAGAAAACAATAATCAAAAAAGAATATAGTCTAAATTATTTTTAGAAATATTTAAGGAAAATAAAAATCAAATATATTTATATTCAATAATAGATTTAATTATTGCCTTTGTTTCTTTAATTATTTATATTAATAGATGTAAAGATAGTTAATTATAACTTTGGAATATTTAATGGTCTTATTTCTTTTTTTGTAGATTTTTATATAATTTTTTAATTTCTTTATAATTAATATCGTAAATAAGAAAATAATATATTTGCGAAAAATTAGGTGAATATAAAACTGAGGAAGAAAATGAATAATAATATTAATAGTTTTAGTATTATTTTACAGAACTTGAAAAAATGGATTTAAAAAATTAACTCAATAAAGAATTTATGAACTATTATTATAAAAGAAATCGTTTTTTAAAAATCATTTTTTATTTCTTTGCTGTCTTAACCCTTTGTTATACGATTTATGGATTAAGTCTATTTATAAAAGATAAATATTTTAGTATTTTTTTAAATAGCGATAGAATAAATTGTGAATATGGATTTTTGTGGTGGGTATTAATTTCTATTACTTTTATTCTATTTTATAATAAAAATATTTGTGATATTTTTATTTTTATATGTATAGGTAAATAATTTTTATATATATATATATATATAAATAAATATTAATTAATATAATTATATATTTATACGAATATTTATATTTATATTTAAATATAATTTTATATATTTTTATTAAAGCTATTCCTATTGTCCTCATATTTTATTTACCATATTTTCTTTATAATGCTTTAAAATTAAAAAAAAAAAAAAAAAACTTTTTGAAATAATTTAAATCTATTAAATATTAGCATGGATAAGTTCAAGGAGATACTGAATGCTCTATATGTAGAATTGATTATGTAATAGATGATAATTTAATATTTTTACCTTGTAATACTTTGCATCATTTTCATAAAGATTGTATAACTTAATGGCTTAGAGTTAATGCTACATGTCCTTTATGTAGATATAATTTTGATGAAATTTCAGACAACTAATAGGAAGAAAATAATTAATAAGAATAAATTAATAATATTGAAGATAATAATAATTAATAAGTTTAATAATCAGTATTAGATTAGAATTATTAATAATAATAGGAATAATAAGAAATAAATAATAATGAAGAATAATAAAATGATGTTGAAGTATAAAATAATGAAGAAGAAGAATATGAGTATGATGAAGAAGATGAAGAAGAATAAAATCATGATAATAATCTCTAATAATATTAAATTTTAGTTGAAGTAAATGATAAGTATTTATTTTCTTTGTTTGAAAATAAAGAATAGTTTTAAAATTATATTTATTAAATAAATGATTATAGTGAAGAAGAAAAATAAGAATATATAATTAAATTTTAAAACTTTTTGTAGTTGAAAAATTAATAAAACTCAAATAATTGAAAATTAAAAAAATATTATTTGTTTTACAAAAAATTTAACATAATATTAATTTTTTTATTAATTGAGTTAAATATATAATATAATATAATATAATATAATATAATAAACTATTTATAAAAAAATTTGTCAATTTATATTTATTTTATATTAGTTTTTTATGAAATAAAATTTTTTATGTTTTTATTTTTTTTTTTAGTTTTTTTTATAAAATATACATTTTATGTTTTTCTATTGATTTTTTTTTTAAGAGACTATATTTAAAATTATTAGAATAATAATTATATAATTTATAAAAAAACAAAAAAGTAATTTAAATATTAGATATTCAATATTTTATTCATTTAACTAAATAATTTAAATATTTTAAAGAAAATATTTTTAAAATATATATATATGTATAATTTATTTAAAAAAAAAAAAAATTACATATAATATAAAATTAATTTAAAAAGAGTATAAATAAAAAAAAAATAAGATATAAAAAAAAATAGTAAAAAATATAAAATAAAAAAAATAATAAAAAAATATTAATTAAATTAAAAAAAATAAAAATATATTAAATATAAAAATAAAAAAAAATGGCAAAAGGTCAAGTTCAAGAAAAATCTGTAGACGCAACTGTTAATTTACACAAAAAATGTCACAAGATCTCTTTCAAAAAGAAAGCTCCTAGAGCAATTAAAGAAATCGTTGCTTTTGCTACCAAAACTATGGGAACAAAAGATGTTAGAGTTGATACTGCACTCAATAAATATGTATGGAGCAACGGTATAAGAAATATCCCAAGAAGAGTTAGAGTAAGACTTTCTAGAAAAAAAAATGAAGAAGAAGGAGCAAAATCAGAATTTTATACTTTAGTATAACACCTTGAAGTCGAAACTTACAAAGGACTTTAAACTGAAAAATCAAAATAATGAAAAATGCATTAGAAATAAATATATATATAAAAAAATAAAATAACAATTTATTTTTATTTTTGTTATAAATATATTTAGGGATTTTTCTCTATTTTATTTAAATATTATTAAGAAATATATATAAATAATTATAGAATGTTAATAAAAATCAATATATGTAAAATAAATATATGATTAAAAATATTTATATATAAAAAAAAAAAATATATGAATGAAATAACAATAATTATTGATTAAAATATCGAAAATATTTTTTATATAAATATAAATACATAAATTAAAATAAATAATTTTTAATTTATAAATTTATAAATATATATTGATTAATTAAATTAATATTTAAATTTATTTTGTAATATATTTAATTATATATAAAGAATATAAAAAAAAGATGTTATATAAAAACCAAATATTTTTTTAAATGTGTTTAAAATTTTAATAAAATAATGAAAAAATAAATAAAAATATAATAAAAATATATATATATATATATTAATAGATAAAATAATATATATTTATATATATTTATATATATATATTTTTATTTATATTTATATTTTTTTTAGTTTTTTTTCTTTTAATTTTATTTTTTTATAATCTTATTTTAAAATATATTATTTTAATTAGTATTTTTTTTTTTCATATTAATTTATTTCCATTTAAAATTTATATAAGTTTAAAATATTTTTTAATAAATTAGAATTATTTTATTTATTTATAATTTTACTTTTTTTTTTTTATATTAATATCATTTTTAAAAATTTGTAAATGTTTCTTTCAATAACTACTATAATAATTTTATATAAAATTAAACATATTAAAAAATAATATTTTTTATTTATCTAATAATAATCTATATTTCTTTATAGTAATATTTTAAAAAAATAAAAAATTGCTTATATATTTTTGATTATGTTTTTATTTATTATTATAATATAAATAATAAATATCTAAATATTTTTATATATATATCTATACATTAATTTTTTTTATATCATTTCTATATAAAATTAATAATTTTTTATATTTCTTTTTCCATTGTTAAAGTTTATAATTATTTTAATTAATTAGATTTTTAATTATTATAATTTATTATAAAATTATTAGTTTCTTCATCTATACTTTTGAAATTACTTTATTAATTTTTAGATTCTAATTTCATATTTAAGTTTTAAATAATATCATCTTGTAGAAAGAAATATATACCTCTTAAATAATGTAATTTTTTAAAAAAATTAATGTCTTTTTTATATATATATGAAATCAGAACAAATATAAAATCAAATATTATATCAAACAAAAGACTCATAAAAACACACACACCACAATCATATAGTTTCTCAACATCAATAATTCTTCCGATTTCAATTATAAATAAAAACTAAGTAACTAAAATAATTAATAAATAAACATTTATATATTAATTTAATTTTTTTTTTACTTATTAATATTATTAAAGAACTTATTTAAATCATACAACTATAATTAAATTCATCTCCTTAAATCATAAATTTAATCCCTAGTGCTGAGAAATAAACATATTTAATAAAAAAAGACCCAATAAAGGATAAAAATGATATAAAAACAGCCTAAAAATCAATAAACTCTTTGAAAAAAACTGCTGATAAACATAAGTGTGTTGAAAGGCATGTAATAATAATAGTACATCGACTATAATTAGTGATAAAATTATTAGTTTTTCCTAATAGAAAAGATATTGGTGTAAAATAATATAAGAAATGTTTAGAAAAAAGAATTGGTTACAATTTTTAATTATCATAATTTTAGCTTTCATATTGATTTTTTATTTAAGCAATTTTATACATTAGAGGACAAAAAAAAACCAAAAAAAATAACGAAAATATAATTCCGTATAAATTATTTAATATTATGGATTATTTTTAGTCTAATTTTTCGTCTATTTATACTTTTTTGTTTGTATTTTCTTTATTTTTTTATATTCCAAAGTTTATTAGTGCGTTTTCGTGTTCTTTTTGTAAATAGGCATTCTAGAATGAATTATAGGCGAAAATATAAGTGTTAAAATCTTCCTAAATTTAGTCTTTTTGGAAATCTAAAAGGGCTATAAAAGGCCCTTCTAGGGAATAGCATGAACATATTATATGAGTGGTGTTTTCGTTTAGATATGAGCAATTAGTTTCGTTCCAGTTTTGATATTTTTCGAGATAATTCATACATTTGTAAGGAGTCTTTAGGGAAGAAAAGGTTGGAGTTCTTAGTTTTTTTTTAAGAAGAATTATTATTGGGACTTTCTGATCGATAAATGTGATTTCTTAGAAGATATTTTCGTTTTTTTTTAGTCCATAAAGTTATATATTTAGTATGTTTGTGACTTAGTTTTGCTATATCAGGGTGCAGTTTTGTAGGTAATCAAATAATATTTCAATGCCTGAAAACTGTTCGATTTTAGTGAAGATTTAAGTGTATTCTTGTAGAATTTCAAGTGGAAAAATAACTGCAGAGGCAAAAGAAAGCACTTAAATTTAAGGAAATGTGTATATGCTTTACAAAATATCAACTCCATCTCCAAATTGGAATAATTCGGGTGTATATAGTAAATTACGAGGTGTTTTTTTGGCATATTGGATAGTGTTTTTTTAACAATGGAGTTGGTAAAAAAAGGAAAAAAAAGTCTCATTGCTTTATATTTGGTTTTAGAGGTATTTTTCTATATAAGAGTTTTGAAAAAGACGGTAGTTTTTTATATATAAGGATTTTTTTTGAAAGGAAATCTTAGAATCATAGTTTATTAATATGTCGTATATATTAGATATTATTTAAGAGATATATTAAAAAAATACTGGATTTCCATCTTATATTGCGATGCTTTGGAATTATTAATAAGTAAAATCGAGTATTTAAGGTAAGTTTTTTTATATTATGTCTTTAAAATCTAGTATGTTCGATAATAAGGAGAGTAGAAAAAGTTTGTTTTGATTAAATTTTTATATATAGGAAAATGCTTCATTTATTTTTAAAGTAGTATTCGTGTATTTAGAAAGTTCCCAAAAACATAAGGAACCAGTATATTCGTTTCCACAAATACATGTAGGTATTTTTTTTTCGTAAAATTTATTATCAAAAGAAGGAAAAGTGTGCTGTAGGAAAGTTTTTTTACCAGAATTTTTACATAGATATTCGTCTTCAAGCTATACTAAACTTTTTTGAATAAAGAAGGTTTATTGGATTTGGAAAAGATAGTTTGCTTAATGCATTTGCTCGCTTTGGGCGTATATTTCTTCTTAATAAAGCTGTTTTATAATAAAAAATTGCATATCTATATCATCTAAGTTTGAAGGGAGGTTTGCACCGTAGAATGCTCTTTGGAAAATACTGTTTTTTCCGAATTTAGTGTTTTTTGGGTCGGTTTTTTGTATATATTGGTCTTTGAACATTTGTATATAATCTGGGTTGGATTTTATTTCGATTTCTTTTTGAATTTCAATTGATTTAGATTGGGTGTAGGCTCGGATGTTTATTATGAGAGTTTCAGTTTATTTTATTATTGGATAATATTTGAATTCAATTATGTTTTTGGTAAAATTAAATGCTATGGGACGAATTTTCGATTTTTTAATAAGATATTATTAAGTTTGTTGATTTTGGTTTATTTTTATCGGTATTTTTCTATATATATAAGCGATTATATCGTAACTTATTTAAAAGTTTGAATTCCAGTCTTTTAAGTTTAATATTATGGATGTCTAACCAGATATTAAAGGGATGTTTGGGAGTATTTCTATTTATCCAATTTTTATCAGGTTATTTGTTAGGAAAGAAATTGTGGTTTATTTTGAACCTTTTTGGTTTTATATATTGTATTTTAGGATATATTTTTGTGAAAGAATGAGATTTTGGGTAGGTATTATGAGTAAATGTGGAGATTGGAAAGAGTTTAGGAATAATTATTCAGATTAATCAGGGGGAGAGAGTAGAGTCCAGGAAAAATCGATTATTTCTATTTATGATATTACTCTCATTTATAACATTAAGTTATTTCCTATTTGTAAATTTTCTATGTCACTTATTAATTCTATTGATGGTTCTAGTATAGCCTATATATAAATATATATATATATATATATATATTTTAATTGGATTTTTTTAATTTACTTAGCATATATTTGTTCCTTAAATTAGTTAAGTTCCTAAAGGACATTGTGAAAAACAATCGATTTCGAATTAAAATAAACTTTTTTTACAGGAAATACAATTTTTTAAACAAACTTGGCATTCTCCTTTTTTTTAAGTATTGGGTATATACCCAAACTCACAAACTAGTCCACAAAAATTAATATCTGGATAATAAACATAGCCTTCCGTGCATGCTGTACATGAGTAATTTCCTTATGAAAAACACTCAGAACATGCAAAATGACATTTTTGGCAAACAAAAGGGGATTCTTCTTCTAAAACATTTTCGAAATTTAAAAACTTAGCAAAACCTTTTTAACAAGATTTTTTACATTGGAAATCAGTTTGATCTAAAATGTAATCTTTGATACATCTAAGGCATTATTCGGTATTATTTTCATTACAAAAAGAACAAAATAGAGGACATTTTAAACATTTTAGATTCACTTTTCTTAATCCCTGAGAGCAGTCTCGTCTGCAGGATTTAGCTTCCAAAAAAAAGCCTTGAGAACATTACAGGCAGTTGTTAGGTCCTTATTAAGTACATTAAGAACATTAAAAAGAACATCTTAAGCATTAGTTGTTATTTCCCTGATAATAACCTCCTTTTGTATTACAGGAAATACAAGTATTTAATGAAGAACATTCTTCACATTCAATATTGCATTTTCGGCAAATATATAAAATTTCGTCGTGGAAATAGCCTTTTGGGCATGACTATACACAAGTAGATAAACCTAATTTAAAGTAGTCTTTTTTACATTAATCACAATTATATTAACCAGGCCCAATACACGAAAGACAGCTTTAATCACAAGATTTACATGTAGATATTTCTAAATAAAATCCTATATTATTACATTCTTAGCATTGTGTTTGGCTTTAAGATGTACATTAATTGCATGATGGATGACAATCTACACATATTAATGTTTCGAGGTCCATGTATTTTTTCTTAGGACATTTTTCTTTACATTTGGTGCCGTCTACTACTATTGGAGGCCAGTCTTGTTATGTTGGTTGTTTGCATTTTTAACAGAAGGGCTCTATGTCATTTCCGGATTATAAACATGTTTCACATTAAGGGTGGCATTCTTTATTATTGTATTTTTACATTTTTTTTATTTGTTTTTTTGAATTTACGTTGGCATGTGCCTGATTCTTTGTTTATATAAAAACCTGGTTTACATTGGAGACAGGTTATTATTTATAGCGATTTCTTAAAACAATTTTGGCAAAATGGATCTGGACATTTTGTACATTTGTTTTAGTCGTTATCTTCGTAGAAATTATTAGGACATTTATCTATGCATAATTAGGTATTAGACTTTTTTTTTTATTTATTTATTAATATGAATCAATAAATATATATATTTTATTTGTACATCAAAATAATTCAAATAATAATCCTTAATACAACTTAAACAAAAATTTTAACTTATACATTCACTACAGATAGAAGGACATTCTTTTTTTTTTTTTTTAATAAAAATAAATATTATTTACGTTAACAATATCCGTAATTTAAATTTTCAGATTTAACTAAAAAATTTTTTAAAGAACTACACCCAAGGCATTAATTCTCTAATCCTCCTATACAAGAAGAGCATAAATCATCACATTTAGCACAGATACACTTTTTTTTTTCGATATAATAATTAGTATTTAATATACAATTAGATTGAGATATACAAACACCATTAATTAAAAAGTTTTAACAAACATCATTTTTATCTCTTATACAAGAAAGGCATTAAGGAGGATCATCTAAATCATCTAAGGAAGGTTTTTTTTTTATGCATACATCACAATTTGCTTAAGAACAAGGAAAACAATCTCCATATTTATAAGTTTTTTGTATTTCTCCATCTTAATTTTAAATATATCCATCTTAATTTTGAATTTCTCCGTCTTAATTTTATAAGAAAACGGTTACGATTTTCAAATAATATTTATTTTTACAAACTAGACAATTTTACGGATTTTATTTTTCACAATCTTCGCAATTTATATTTATGGAAGAACATTTCTAACACCAATCACTATTTAAGAAGCCTAAGTATAAATTTTAGTTAACTTTTTATAAAAATAGTATAGTTAATTCCTATGTTAAAGATTTAGATAAACTAAAATATCCGAATGAACATTCATTAACACACCTTACTAAATTAGATAAGGAAAAATCAAAAGAAATTTATATTTCTATTTAAAATATATAACCTGGAAAACATTTTATGCAATGTAATTTGCTTGATAATATAATACATTTTTAACAATTTTTGGGACATTTAAGACAAGAATTAGTATTTTACTCTTAATAATAACCACTAATACATTCTATACAATTAAAGTTCTATGCTTAAATACATTATATACAATTTTCATGACATTCTTGTATAAATATATATTATTATAAGTATATATAAAAATATTGATAATATATATATTTATATATTTTATATATTTTATATATTTATATATTTTATATATTTTATATATTTTATATATTTATTTGTATATTTACATATGCATTTTTTTTAATCGATATCTTAGAAATATTTTTACGGACATGTTTCTAAACATTATGTTTAGTCTGGTTAAAGTAATCCATTTATACATTATCGACATATTAATTTGTTATTTGTTTATTAAAAAAAACAATTAACGCATCCTTTTATTTATTTGCTACCACTATCACATAATTAACATCTTTTTGTTTCTTCTTATGTTGAATCATAATAATACCCTTCTTAGCAATCTGTACAGATTTCTTTACTTAAACATTATTTGCAAGGAGGTTAGCAATCTATTTTATATATTTTTTTAATTTTATATTAACTAATAACCTTCACAATATAAAAGTTCATCTTATTGAGCTCTATATTTTCCTTTGCTGCATACATCAACACAAGCTGCATCTTCTTTGTATTTTTATAGAGCTGTATTACATGTAAAGCATTAATAATATTCTTAAGCAAAGCAAGATACACAATTAGGATGACATTATTGGCATTTTGGAAAATTCAAAAAAAAGCCTATTCCACAAGAACTACAACTTTATCCATCTGAACATTACTAACAGTTTAAATTTGGATTACAATCTATTAATATTATTATTTATATTTCGATTTTTTTGTAAAAAAAATATACTTTAACATTCATTAATTTGATCATTTTTGTAATAACCAATACCACAATTCGAAACGCAAGTGTTATTTAAAAGATAATATTCACGATTGCATTTACTACATTCAGAACTAGATGGCCCTTTACAAACTAAGCATTTACTATTACAGCCTATATAAATAAATAAATAATAAAGCTTTTTTATTATTTTTTAATATAAAAAATGTACTTTTGCATTAATTGTCAATCAAATAAAAATTATCTTTACATAAAATGCATTAATTAACAAAAGTACATTCGAGACAATTTTAAGTACAACCTTTTTTTATATAGTTTTAATTTTTTTCGTTATTATTATAATATTATTAGGTTACTTTAACATATCATTTTTTCTAGATTATTGAAAGTTCCCTAAACACATTATTCTACACAGTTAGAAGAGTCTTTAAAAAAATCAGGTTTACATTTTTAACATTAAGAGGATTAACCTCCAAAACAAGCTGAACATTTACTATCGCATTTTTCGCAAGAAGAAAAAGTCTTATCTAAAAAATATCCTTCAGGACAATTTCTTGTAGTATTACATGAAAAGCTTTCGCTAATTTTTTCTTTTTGTATGGATTTAGACGAACATAATAAACATTTTGCTGATTATTATTAATTATTAGGATTTTAGGATATTCCTAATTAAAGTATACATAAATTATTAAATTCTTAATTGAATTCTTAGTTTATAATTATTCCTCCTATTCCGATTCCCAAGTCTTTTATTTTCCCCAAAAAAGAAGAAGGAGTTTAATTTTGGTCAAAATAAGGAGTCCCTATATACAAATAATATAAACTAGAAGTATTTATATAAAAAAGGTTTTTCTCAACTTATAAAGTTATTTGTTTTTAAACAATGTCTTTCATATTATTAATTTTCGTATAAGATTTTACAATTAAAAAATCATTGTATTCGTTTTATAAAATAGAAAAGATGATAAAATTCCATTTATTTTATTCTAATTGTGCTATGTCTATTGAGAAATCTTTAAAGCCTTTCAATTATAAGATGTTTTTTTTTAAATTTAATGAAAAAATGTTATTTGAATCTATTTCTTTAAACGTTAATATTTTTTAATTATCTAATTCTATATTTTCATTCTTATTTTTTATTATTTTTTTATATTAAAAAAAAATTACATAGATCCAGAAAGTAATAAATATTATATCATCTAATTCAATAAAAGGTACAAATAAACTTTAATTTTAAGAACTAAAATATACACCCATTCCATCATCTTTAAATTGAGGTTGATTATTATTATAATTAACTTCATATAGTTCATTCTTTATATTTTCTTTGAAAAAGTTTCCTTGTCTATCATTAAAAGCAAAAAAATATGAAAAATTTATTAAATCTCCATATAGCATAGATTCTAATAATAACTCAGTATAATCCAAATTTATATCATATATTAAATATATTTTCTCATAAATACCAGCCCAGGCTTAATAATTTAAACCCATAACATCATTGCCTATATATAATTCTAGATTTTTGTCTTGATTTATTAATTAAGTAAAATTATTTTATTTAAATGTTTTATTGTTGGAATATAAATATAAAACCATTTAAAATTATTAGCTTTATATATTATTTTTCCCTTAAGCTGTATAAAAGAAAAACCATTGATTTTCTTATATATCTAATGATGAACATGATATTTAATTTTAATTTGTCATATCTCTTAGTACAAATTTATTACTTGTTTTTAATATACTATTTGCCTATTCAAATATAAGCATTAGTTTTAAAAGATTTCTTTTAATTTATTTTTTTTCATTAAATTTAAAAAAATAATTTAAATTATGTACTTATTTTAATAAGTTATTTAAAATAATGATTGTCTTAAAATTTATAAACTTTATTTTTCGTTTATTATCATTTTTAATTTCACCCAACCCATAATTCCTTAATTTTCTTTTTTTTTTTTTTAATATTTTTTTATTATAGTAGTTATTAGAAAAACTAAATGTTTTTTATTTTATTTTACTTTTAAATTAATCAATAGGTATTTAATAAATTTGCTTATCATTTTTTTATAATCTGATTATTTTTTAATTAAAGATATCTTTATTTTTTATAAATTGGTATTATTTACTTTCATATATTATATACCTTATGTTAATGATAATAAAAATAGTAAAATATAGAATAATCTTATCATAAAATGAGTTAAAGTAAAAAAATTGCTTTTTTTATTTTTTTTTATTATTTTTTAAAAAAAAAATTATAAAATTATTAAATTTAAAATAAAAATAACATTTTAAATATTTTCTAATTATTATTTTCTGGAATAATTGAGAAATATATATATATATATATATATATATATATATATATATATATATATATATATATATATATATATAATTTCATGTCTTTCACTTTATTATTTACTTTTTTATAAATCAGTTTTTGTTTTTTCGTATTTTTATTAATACTAAAGTAAATCTTAGTTTAACTAATTGTTATTTTTTATCAAATCAGCATTTATTTCTTATATTTTTTCTATTTATTTTATACTGTTTTCGACTTAGTGCTTGCCTGACCTTCGTTTTAGTCTAAAGGCGGGGTTAAATTAATTAATTTTAAGCAAAAATTTATGTAAGCTTTTGTTTTAATTGATTATCTTTTTATTTTAAATGATTATTTTAATTTTATAGGTTTTCTGTTATTTTGTTTTGTTTTTATATACATGTTATAAGTTTTACTTTTTCAATTAAATTTTAAATTGTATCATTTTTTTTTAAAAATTTTTTTAACAAATAAAAAAAAAAACATAGTATTTTGATTTTTATAAAATAAATATATATATTTTTTTAAAAAAGAAATAATTTCCTTTTTTTTTCTTTTTTTTCTCATTTTTATTATTATTTTTATTATAACTATTAATCATTTCCTTGTTTAAACTGAGAATCTAAAGGAAGAAAAATAACTTATTCTGGCGCAAATTTAGTAATATTTTGAATTACTTCTAAATATCTAATTTACATAGCAGCTTTTGAGTCCAATATATCAGCAGTTTCTCTTAATAATCTTGCAGTTTCTACATCTGCTTTATTACTAATAAGTTTACTTTCTCCAATTCTTTTTTGTTTTGCTATAGCTGCCATATCGTCTTATGTTTATTTATTTAGTTAAATATCTTTAACGAATATTTATTCAACATAAGTTCCCCTTTATTATATTTAAAAAATTATTTTTATTGTTTTATTAAAAAAAAAAAAAAAAAAAAAACCAATTTTGGGATTAAGCATTAACTAATTCTTCTAAATTATCTCCAATTTCATCTTTTTTATCTAATAAATCTTATAAGTTCATTTCTCCAAGTACAGATCTAATGGCAGCAATACTTTAATCTTTTTTTTTAAAAAAAAAATAACTTTATTTTATATGTTTTTTTAATAAAATATACTCATTAAAGCATGAGGTAAATTATCTATTTTATATGTAGCCCTTGGAATTGAAATTATTCTATAATAAAGGCAACAATCTATATATATACATATATAATATGTATATAATATAAATTTTATATACCTATTGTAACATTAATATTATCTTTAGTAATAATTTTTTAACTTGGTAAATCAATTACTTATGTTTTTAAGCTTTTTACTTTTATTGTATCTACATTAGGATTTATTTAATGTAGTCCAGCATCTAATATTTTGACTGGTTTACCAAAACGTTCTACTATACATTTTGTCCCTTATTTTACTTAGATAAAAGGATTATCTATGATTATAAGATAATAAATATTTGTTTTTTTTTTAAAAAAAAAAAAAAACCGCAAAATAAACAACAAATGCAAGGAAATAATATCCTTGTCCATGCCATACAAGATCCACAAACTATACTTGTAACTTAGATACATTAATATTCATCTTTATTTTCTTTTATTAAATCATTTTAATCTTCGAAAATGTATTTTTGTTATCCTTATATTAAGTTTACATTATTCATTTTTTTATGATTATATAGTAAATATAATATGTATTTTTTTTTTAATTTATGAAGTATTTAATTTTTTTTTTTATTTTATTTTGATTAAAGTAAGTAAATCTTATAGATATAATAAAAAATTTAATAATATAAATTATTTATAAATTGTATAATATTATTTTAATATTTATAAATAAATATATATATAAATATATATATTTATATAAAATCATACTTATATATATAATAAAAAAATAATCAATTAAACTTTATATTTATTAATAAGTTATATTTATAAACATAGTTTTAAAAATAATTAAAAAAATATTAAAGTAATAAATAAAAAAAATATTAAATTAACTTCTTTTTTATTTTATCAATAAGCATTTAAATTAATAAATTAAGTACTTCTTACTACCCACTTTAAAGTTGAATTGTCTTAATGTAAGCAAATTTTTGCAAATTAACCGTACTTTAAAGAGCCTGGATTGATAATTTGAACATCCATAACAGATAATTTGCCTATACTATCATGTACATGTCCATGAAGATTTGTAACAATTTTCTTGTTATATTTTTTAATCACATCATTAAAAAATTCACAACCGGCATAAATATTATCTTCTTACTATTCTGTTTTGACAATTGTAGTTTATGAACATGAAGGACCTACATGGGTTAGTAAAATGAACTATTTTTCTTATTTAAATTGATCATCGAAAAATTGTTCACTTTCATTTTTGATTTCTTCTTCATTTAAAAAAGGAAATCCTTCCCATACTAGCTTTTATTCACCTTAAATATGTTAGTAACCTGGGATACTTCCACCAAAACCTAAATATGTATTTTTTATATATATATATATATTTTAAATAACCTATAACACTTAATGATGTATTTATTTCGAAAACAGATTTATGTATATTATATGAATGCTAAGTTATTCGTGTATTTTCTGAAGGTTGTTTAAATTTAAACATATTATAAGGATCATGATTTCCGGGTAAAACTAATAATGTACATGAGAAAAATTCTAGGAAATTTAAAACATTTGCAATTCGAGCTTCTGATTAATAGCATTCTTCCATATTTATATTTGATTTATCAGATATTAAATTATCGAAATCTCCTAATACAAATACATAGTCTATTATATCGTTGTTATATTCTTTATGCCAGCCTTTTAACTTTTCTAATTTCTTGTATTCCATGTGGATATCTGATAGTATTATTATTACTAAATCTTTATTACGTGTTTCTTAAAATTAAAATGGATTTAATGGAATGTTTCGACTATCTGTTTTTATTTATTACATATTTTTGTCTATTATTTTTAAAATTATTTATATTTAATATATAATTATTTTCTTATTATATTTCTTTTTTATTTTACTTACTTGATTTATTTTAATTTTTTATATTAAATTTACAGTTTTTCTTTTAATTTTTCAATAGAGCTATTTTAAATTGTTTACAATATTTTTAAAGATATAAAAATAAACATTCTTTTACAAATAAGTTTAATATAATCCTTCGTGTTATTTGTTTTTATTATTATTATTATTATATATATATATTATAGTAATGTAATGTTTATGATTTAGTAACTACTTGTAAATAAATATCTTAATGATAATAAATTATATTTAATTCAATAAAATAAAATTCAAAAATAATTTCATATAATTAAAAAAAAAAATGATTTATTTTTAAAAAGCTTTTCAAATTTTATATATATACTCTAGTTTATCTAATAAAAATTTTGACCCCAAACCAATTTCTTAAGTAAAACCTATATATATAAAATAATATATTAGTAATTTATTATTAAAATATAACTAATAATAAAAGAATATATTTTTATATTCTATAAATTAAATGCTTTTTCTTAAATAAATTAAAAAAAAAAAAATCTTAAAATTTAAAATTTAAAATTTTATAGAAATTATAAATTTCAAACAAATTATTTTAAAGAATAAATATTATAAAAAATATTTCATATTTATTTTTAAAATATCCACTTATGATATGTATTATTTCTTAAATAATATTTGTAAAAATAAGAATTAATTAAAATTATATATCAATAACAAATCATATTAAAAATAAAAAAATGTAGTATCTAAATAAATAATATATGATACTCTTATAATTATGATAATAAATATTTTTATGTATTAGATAAATATTATTATATTATTGATTATATTTGAAAGATATAAGATATTTAAAAAAATTCTATATATATAAAATTAAAATATTTCATATAATATAGATTTATATTATAGATTTAATCTAAAGCTTGAATTATGTGTATGATTATATAATAAAATAGCTTATTTATAGAGAAAAAAATAGTTTTCAATAAATTTTATTAACATAATGAATAAGAATAATAATTATCAAAATCATTTTTTTATTCAAAAGATTAAAAAAAAAATATCTATTGATTATTAATAATTATAGAAAAGCAAAAAAATTAAATATATATCTGATATAAATAAAAATATAAAATATAGATAATTTTTTAATAAAAAAACATAATTAAAAATAATTTTCTAATATTTTAAATTAATATTATAAATGAATATATACTTAAATTAAAAAGAATTAAATATAAATTAAAATTTTTTATAATACAGGAAAAAAGTAATATAAATTATTTAAAAATAAATAATATCGAAAAGAAATATTAAACTTAGAAAATTATGAATTATATTTTGGTTTTAATAAATTTTAAAGAAAAATGAATTAATAAATAAAAGGAAAAAAATTATTATTGTTATATTTATATAAATAGTTTTAAATTACTATAAATTAATATAAAAAATACATTAATTTAAGAATATTATATAGTATTTATATAAATATATATGTATATATGTATATATAATTATTAATATAAAAGACAGATATATTAATTATAAATATATTTTTTTTAATTTATATTTTAAATTAACAAAAATACAAAATAATTTATATAATTTATTTTTTAATATATTGCTTTTTTTATTCTTTTGATTTAGAATTATCTTTATATAATGAATAAATGATTAAAAAGCTGATTATTAGATAAAATCAGAATATTTAATTACATATTTAAAAATTTTAATTATTTATTATGATAAATAGCCAATTAATTTTATTATTTAGATCTCATTAAAATTAAGATTAATAAAATTATATCATTTAGATATCTTAATTTAATATTAAAGAAAGTATATTTATAATTTATAAAAAATTTATAGATATATAAAATAATTATAAAAGTGAGTTTAAATTATGTTTTAGGATAATTTTATAACTTTTAAAATAAAATAGAAACAAGTTAATAGAATTTAATAAAAGAATATTCAAGTGAAAAAAATTATTTTGATTAAATTATTGAGATTAATAAGTATTTATTGTTTGCATTAATATATATATTAATAAATATATTAATAAATATAATAATAAAAATAAAAATTATAATATAAATAAAAAAAATAAAAATAATAAACATAAAAATAATAATAATAATAACAATAATAATAATAATAATAATAATAATAATAATAATAATAATAATAATAATAATTTTAATTATACAAAAAACAATATAATTTTTTTAAATAAGTAATTTTTATTTTATCAATTTATTTTATAGTTTTAATTTTATATAATACTTATGTTATTTTAAATACTTTATTATATTTGTTTTTTTAAAGATTACATTCTTATAATTATTAATTAAGCTTATAAATTTATTCGTCATATATATCTTAACTCTATAATAATATAAATAAAAATAATTATTTTAATAAAAAATACTAAACTGATTTATTCTTTTTTATTGTTTTTCTTTTAATTGTTTTTCATCTAACAAATTTTATTTTTTTGATTATAAATATTCCTTTTATTATATTATTCTTTTTCTTTTAAATAATTATTATATTATTTCTATAATTCCTATAAAATACATAATATTTTTTTTAATATAAATAAATATTTACATATTCTTAATTTCTTTCTTATTATAAAAATTTTTCTCTAGCTTTTTATTCTTATTTTACCTTTTTTAAAGTTTCTATATTTTCTATATTAGTTTCATGTTTTAACAAAAAGTCTTTTCTTTTTCTTTATTCTGAGAAATCTCTTATATTATTGCGCTATATATATATATATGCACTTAAAAAAATAAATATTTTTATATATACTTCTTATATATTAATGTAAATTTCTTTTAATTAATTTTAACATTAGTATTGTTTTTATTATTCTCTATTTTTCATATTTAAATAATTATATAATTTATTATTATTTTTATTCAAATCAACAATTAGTTTTTTTTCATCTTTAATTTATTATTAAAGTATTAATTTTTATTCATCCATAACAGAATTCTTACTTTCAAATTTATTAAAAGAATAGTTTCTTTATTAAATCATTTATTTAATTAAAGACTAGCTTTATGGTTTTTTAACTTTCAAATTTAATATTTTATCCAATCTTGATTATTTTTTATACTAGGCTAAATAATTTCTTTCTTTTAAATCTTTGCTGCTATTTTGATTTTTCCCTTATCTTATTGATAGACTAGAATTATTATTCCCTTATCTTATTGATAGGCTAGAATTATTATTCCCTTATCTTATTGATAGACTAGACTTATTATTAACATCATTTGCACTATGAGAACTTTTTAAATTATTATTATCATTTGTATTTATTTGTTCTTTTTTAATTTTTATACTAGATTAATTATCTGATAATTAAGTTGAATATCTACTCACAGGAGATTATTAATGACCAAAACTAGATTTAATAATAAAACTTTAAGTTTATTTTTTTAAGGAAGACTTTTTTAGGAAAGATTGGCTACTTAATTATTTTAAGTCTGATGAACTTCTTTTTTTATATTTGATTTCGCTTTATTATTATAATGAGTTTTTATTCTAACTTGATGTCATTTAGTTTATTATTTAAACCTCTTTTTTTTTGCTTTATTCTAAAGTTAAATATTTGGATATTGATATGCTTTTATTATGTGTTTCTTAGAAAGAATTTTCATTTAGATTTTATATTGAGGAATAATTTTACTTTTTATTATTATATAAACGATAATACTTTAATGCTAAATCAATAAAAATATGTAATTTTTCCATTTATTCTTATAATATTGGGTTGTTTAGGATTTTTGGCTCTTAGATTTTGGAAAATATATTTTCGCAATATTCTATATTTAGTTCTATTAATTCGTTTTATTCTATGTAAGTTTTTATTTTTTGAATTTCAGTTAGTAAGTCTCTTGGTTAAACAAAATATGTTTAAAGTTATGGCCATTGAATATTCTATTCTGGAGTTTTTTCCGGAGATTTTAATTTATTGTAGAGTAAATATATTAAACTTTAAGAGATTTATAATAATACTGGAAGTGGTTTTATTATTAATTTTATTGCCTTTTTTTTTTTTTAATTATTTATGTTTATACGTTTATATTTACCATTAATTATTTAATAGATATATTTTTTATTGATTCTTCTAATTTTTAACCTATATATTTAAACTGGTTAATTTCTTTGAATGATTCTTTATTTTTATTTGATATAAAACTTGGTTTATTATTATTATTAGAATTATAATTGTTTTTTATTTATGATATATTTAAAAATTTATTGTTTTCTTATTATTATAAGTTTTCCTATAAATATATTTTAGGTATATTTTAAGGAGTAACTTTCAAACTAGAAGAATTTAAAACATTAAAGCTTTTATTATTTGTATTTACTTAAGAAGATAAATCTAATTCAGAAAAGAAAGAATTAGTATTTTTTTGTTAGTTTTATTTATTTTCGTTAAAAAAATTAAAACAATTATTTATTCCTAATTGTTTTTTATAATTATTATTTTCTGTTTATAGTTTCTTTTTTTCTGTTGTTTTTAATTCTTTTTAATTATTGTTATTAGTTTCACTTGTAGTACTTTACCTGTTTATATAAAATATATATTTTTATTTTTTATATATATATTTACATCTATTTAGTGCTTATTTACTAATTATTGTTAAAATTTTAGTTTATTAAGTTTTATATTTTTTCGTTTAATTCATCTTTTTTTTTAGTTTATGAAAAAAAAAAATATATAAATATATATTTAAGTTTTTTTTACCTGAATTCATTGAATTTATTGTATTATCTAATGATTATTTATTTTTTTAATTGTTTGGCGAATTTGACATTTTTATTTTTCTTTTTTATTATTTTATTATTGTAAATATATATTTTATTATTTTAGTTTGATTTATTTTTCAGATAATTTAATATTTTTCGAAAAAAAAAAAAAAAATTAATTAATTATATTTAAATGGCAAAAAAAAAAAAATTAAATTAAAGTTATTTATAAAAAATTTAGAAAGACATATAATAAAAAATTTATTTATATAATAATATATCCTTTTATAAAAAATAAAGTTAGAAATATTTTATAATAATTTATTTAAACAAAACCAAAAATTAAAAAAAAAGCAAATAAAAAATAAAAGTAATATTAGAAAAAAAAAATATTTATCATTTAATTTAAACAGAAATATCTTTATTTTAATTCATAACTACATATTCTAAAAAGGCCAAATAAATAGATTTTTCTTTTATTCCTTAAATTGCTCCACTTTCTCCATTATGTCCTGAATCTAAAATATTAACCAGAATATTTTTATCACAAAATTCATTAACTTTTTAAGGTGATTTACTTCTTTCTCTAAATCTATTTACATATTTAAGAACATTCCAAAGGGGAGCCCTATGATCTGAAGATCCACAAGTAATAAAAACAGCTGGATATTCAGTATCAAACCTTATGTTTTAATATGGACAATAACTAGAAATCAAATTATAATAATAGTCATTAAATAAAGGATTTCCAAATTCACTATAATCTGATTATGTTAAAGGTAATTTATCATCAATAAGAGATGATAAAACATCTAAAAAAGGAAAATTTAAAACACAAGCTTTAAAAAGTTCTGGTCTTTTATAATTATAAAATAAAAATAAAATCAAATAATTAACCTCATATTTATTACAGTTCCTACTAATAAACCACCTGCACTACTTCCATAAGCACATAATAAAGAAGGATGTGTATAACCTTCTGCCACAAGGAATTCCGCACAAGAAATAAAATCAAAAAAAGAAACTGGTTTTTTATCTAAAATAGCATTCTCATGCCATTTACATCCGTTTTCACCACCTCCTCTTACATGAGCAAAGCCTAAAGTCCATCCTCCTTCTAATGCGCTTAAATAATTTATACTAAAACCTAAAAATATTACATATATATATATGTATATAGATATGATTACCTATTTCTAATGAAATCCCATAATGTCCATATCCATGTAAAAGAAGTTTGTTTTTGCGATTTTTATAGAAGTTTTTTTCCCTTATTATTGTTATGGGGATTTTTTGTCCGTCTTAGGAAGGCGCGAATATTTGTTCTATAAGGAATTTGTCCTTGTTAAATTTAGGGCCTTTCATGTCAAAGTCGGAAAGCAAAAATGCTTTTTTTTTCTTTATGTTATAATCGAATACTTGATTGTAGGAAAAAGGGGTGTCTACATGGAAACGGAAGGTTTCTACAGCTAAATTTTCGTTTAAACCAGGCTATATTATTGTTCCAGCTTTATATTAATCACCTAATTCGACTATGTGTGTGTTTTTTGTGTCCTAATCGATAATTCGGACATATTCAGTACCTTATCTAGAACAATATAAGGCTAAAGTATGTTCAAAAATGTCCATTTCTTTAATAATTTCACCCTCTTAAGGTATATAAAAATCTTCGAAATTTTGTTAATTATAGGCTTATGTAAGAACTTTAAAATCGTAATATTTCTGTTTAGTTTTAGGGTCTATATTTATCAATATATAGAACTTTCCGTTAGCATGATTACAGAAAGCTTTAGCTTTATCATTTCTTGAAATAAGTATTTTTTTCTTAAACGTTTTACGGTCTAAAACATGTATTTCAGTAGAGTCTTTAGATGTACAGAGTATTGAGAAATATTTTTTATCTTTAGTTTATATTAAATCTATATAAAATTATTCGTTTTATTCTTAATATATTAATTTATCATTTTTTATATCATCACCTATTTTATGTCTATTTATTTTTAAAAAGTATATATTTATTATATATGTTTTTGTTTTGTTTTTTTACTTATATATCGAATTTGACCATAATCTATCATCTTATTTTATGTAAATTAGAAAATCACCACATTAAGAAAATTTCATGTTATATATTTGTGTAAATTTCTCTTTTAAATAAGTATTAGTATTTGTATTTTTTATATAAAAAGTTTATCTTTCATCTCCTTTTAAATCTACACCAAAAGCTACGTATTTATGGCAATCTGAAAATGACATTTTTGTTAATTTTGCTGTTTACTGGTATTCTTTTGGGACTATTTATTTAATATCAAGTACTTATTCTACTTCGTTTGTGGATAAATTTTATCTATATACGATTAAATAATCATTCGTTTTACCCATTTAGGCAAATTAGGTATAGTATTTATAGTCATCATATATTTCAGGAAGCTCGGATGAACGGGAATCTATTCTTTTAGAGGCTTTTTCGTAAAAAATGTTGAATTCCTTTTGAAATTATTGGAAGGTTTTTTCAAAAAGTTTCTGTTCTTTTTTTAATGGACTTATAGCTTAAAAGTATTTGTTTTTAAAAATGAATTTTCATCTTAAATTATTCTTAATGGTTAAACTTGTAATTATTAACTATTTGTTGAGAAATAATTTATTCGATTTTTTATTAATTTTGTAATTGTTTTCATATATATAAATATATTTTTTTTTTATATCTTTAAATTTTTTAATTCTTTATAAATTTATATATATTTAAAAAAAAATATACATATATAAACATAATTTTTCAATAAATTTTCTTTTTCAATAAAAAATACCTATAAATAATTGAAAATGCTGCCGAACTATAAAATATACCTCCAAAAGTAAATAATATACAAGCCATTACTAATATATTTTACCCTTAATCAATATACATATAAAATATAGTACCAAAAAAATAGCTTAAACCGCCTAAACCGCTAAATAAATCCACAAAAAAGCCTAAAATATCATCATTATTTAACTTTTCATTTATATTTAAAATATTTAAGATTTTCCATAATTAACTTAAAAAAATTATCAAAGAACCAATTATGAAAGTCCATTCTCCAGCATATAAAAGATTAGTTTCTGGAATAAAAAAAATCGAACCAATTAAATATAAAAGACTACCTAAGCAGGAAAGTAGAAAATTTAAGCTAACTTCTGCCCTCTTAAACTTTCCATATACTGAATTATCTATATTTCGGTTGTTTAAGTCGTTTGTGTCGTTAAATATGTTTCTAAAATGTAGCCATTCACATATGTCAGCTAGTAAAAAGGAAAATGAACCAATTGTAAATAGCCAGGCGCCGACTTTAAATCCTTAGTTGTATAATGAGGAGTCGATTTTGGGAAAATACATTAAAGATCCGATTAAAAATGTTAGTCCGCCAATTGTAAAATTAACACTATGGAATAAACGCCATAGTAGGGAGTTTTGGGAGGTTGATTTGTATTATGGAAGGCATAAGTCGAGGTTTGATGTGTATTAATAATTATTCATATTTTTTTTTTATAAATTATTATTTTGTTTTTTTATTTTAAAATACAATATAGGTACAATTTTTATTTTTATTTATAAATTAATTGTGTTAATATTATATTATATTATAATGTTTTTAAAAATTAAATCAAAAACATTTCATAATTAAATTAATTTTATATTTTTTTTTTATATTTATATCTATTCATTGAAATTAAAAATAATTGAAACCTCCCTCCCCCCCCCCCCTAATAAAATTATTAAAATCATAAATATTTTATTTTTAAAAATTAAATTTAGGATATTATAGCTTATTTATATTACTTATTAAATTATACAATATTAAAAATTTTTATACTTTATTTTAAATTTAAAGTTTTTAAATTATTTAAAAAATTATTAAATATATATAAATTTAAAAAATTAAAAAAGGAGGAGAGATTATAAATGAAGTTTATATTATATATTTGTTTTTTTTAATTTTTTATTTTAGAAAAACTTCTTAAAACTATAAAAATGATTTAAATTATTTCTTGATAAAAAAATATAGAAAATAAGTCAATAATTAGAATTAAAAATAAAATATATAAAATTTGTTTTAAAAAATAAAATAACATAATATAAAATAAAATAAAAATACATATGTAAAAAATAAATTAATAAAGATAAACTGGCTATACAATACATATAGACGAAGAAATATATTAATAAGTAACGCCATAAGATAATAAAATAAACGAAAAGATTAACGAAGATGAAAAAAAAAAACAAAATTAAAGTGAATTAAACGATACTAATAAATTAAATATAGAAAATTTGTTAGAAGAACATGATAAAGAAATATAAAATAATAAATATATAAATACAAATATATAGGAAAATGAATAAATATATATTTAAAATAAATAAAATAGTATATAAAATAATAAATTAAATAATAATAATAATACAAACAATAATGGACAAAATTTAACATAGATGACAGAAGCGATAATAACTACAAGTAATACCACATAGTAAAATTTAAATAAAAATTGCAAATATAACAACAATTTAAAAGACATGGTAGACAAAGTATTTAATAATAAAAAAATAAAACATAGTTAAGATATAATAAAAGATAAGGAAAATAACAATAATAATATCAATAATATAAATAAAATAATATAATAATAATAATAATAATAATAATAATAATAATAATAATAATAATAATAATAATTATAATATCCACAATAATATTATTAATAATGATTAATTTTAAAATAAAACTTATTTAAAAAAACGTTTATAATCACTTACTTAAATAATATAAATGAGTTAAGAGGCTTAAAAAGATGTATTAGATAATAAAGAATAAGAAATAAAAAGCTAATAAAATAAATAATTAAACTTATAATAATAAAAATAATTAGATAAATCTGAAAATGAAGAATCTATATAAATAGATTATGATTAAGAAACAATAGAAGTTCTTACAATTGAATAATGTTTAGAATTGTATTGCATGGAGCATATTACTTTGATAAATAAAAGTAAATTAAAAATGAAAGAACAATATACTTAACATTTAATTGATAGAGTTAGGAAAGCTAGTATTATTACCTATAAGGACATTTCTCTATAGCGAAATTCGAACCTTTTAGATGGTGATTTTAGTTTGAATTATTCTATAAAAAAGATATAGTAAATTAATTGTATGAAATTTTCCTTAGAAGAATTATCTTCAGCCTATTCTATTTAATGCTCAGATCATATTCATTAAAATGTAAGAAAAAAATTAATTAATTCTCTTATTTTAATATTAATAATGATTGCTTTATGTATTTTTTAAATTTTTTATGTTTAATTTGGATATGAAACTATTATTTAGGGTTCTATTTTATTTAATATTTTTATAGTATTGCTTTTAGGATCAATTTATTGTAATATTTAGGTGATTAAATATGCTTTTTTTTTGGTTAAATTTTTACCTTTTTTATCTTTTTTGTTCATTTGTTTATTTATTTATTAAAATGAATTTCTGAATATTAATATTTATTTTGTTTTGATTATTTTAAGTTCAGGATTGTGGATTTTAAATTTGAAAACTATATGGTAAATTAAAAAAGTTATAAAAATTATTAGTGATGAATAAATAAATTGATAAATTATTAAAAAAAAAAAAAAAAAATTTAAAATAGATGTATAAAAATGTATTTTAAAATTTTTATTTTAATATATAACGATATATATATATATATATATATATGTTATTTATTTTATTTTTTCAAACGAAAAAAAACAAACAAACAAATATTAAATATATAAGTATATAAGTATAAATTTCTCATGATTTATAAATTTTAACAATATCAAAAATTTTAGTTCTACATATAGGACATTCTTTTAAATTTTTAGAACATTTAATACAAACACTATTATGTCTACAAGGTTAAAATACTACATCTCTTTCATTACTAAAACAAATAATGCATTAATTATTATCTAATACCTCATTTTATATGTCTTTTCCATCGATTTTACAATTATATGAACTAGTAGTCCCTATTTTAAATGTAGTCCCATTTTCAAGTAAATATTCAGAGCTTTATTATTATTCTTTACTTAATCTTAACCAAGATCTTATATTTATATATAAGTAAATATTTATTTTAATTTTGTTTTACCCATTTGTTGATCCATTATCCTCTAAAATAAATTATTTATTAATATAAAATATTTTAGCATGTATATTTGATAAATGATGGTCTTCTATAAAATTAATTTTATTTGTATTTTTTCTTCCAATAGACAAATAATCATCTTAATTTAAAAATTTAAACTTTCATTTATATTTATTTAAAACAATAAAATAAAAATAAAAATACTTCATAAGGATATTAAGAAACATTAATCCCTTCAATAATAAGAAGTTATAATAGCCCATCTTTAGCTTTAATTATTTCAAATTAATTAGATCCCAATTCGATAATCATCCCAACTTTAAGGTTAACTTTGTCTTTAATTTTAATAAAAGAACCTGTAGTTGACCCTACGTCTTTAATATAGAACTACTAATCTATAAAAACAATTTCAGCATGAAATCGAGATATAGATTCTTCCAAAATCAATATTTAATTTGTGGAGTGTCTTCCTATTTTTCCTCCTTCTTCTTTAATACAAAAAAAGTTAGCTTATATTTTTTCGACGGGCTCTATAATGAGGATTATTTCTTTTTTATATAAATTTTATTTATTATCTATATTTATTTATTCTATTTCCATTTTTTAAAAATCTTAGTTTTAAAAACGTCCTGAAAAATTCATTGTTTCATTAATATTATTATGTGTTCCGATAAAGTTGTTTTGTTATTCTTGATTTATAAATGATTCTCGATTATTTGATATTCTTGTATTGTCCAAGTTTTATATTTATTATGATTTATTAATTTCTATACTTTGTTTTAGTTGTTTTTTCTCTTTTTAATTTATTATATTTATAAAACTTATTTAATCATTTTCTTTTATTATTTTTTCTAAATAAAATGAATATTATTTTAGTCCATATTATAACCAATTTAATAACTTTTTTAAATGAATAGAATTGTTTATTTATAATTCTTATTTTAGTTCTTGTTTATTTAAAGATAATAAATATGAACCGTCTACTGAATTATTTTCTATTTTTTTTTTTTTTTTATGTTAGTTTAAAATTCTTTTTTTAATAATTTATTTACAAAAACTATTAAAGTATTTTTATAGACCGATAAATTCTAACCATTTTAAAACGTCTTAAATATCCCATTTTAAGGGATCTTTAGGTAATATATGTTATAGTTTTTCGAAATCCATTTTATATTTAAAATATGTCTGTTTGCTTATATATTTTTATTTTTAGTTTGTTTGCTATTTAAATTAAAAATTATAATATTTATTTAAATTAAAATTAAAAAAAAAAAATTTTATTAAATTTTAAAAAAACAGTAAGTGAATATTATAAGATAAAATATATTAAATAAACATTATAAGGGAACTTTTAGATATAAAATATACATTAAAAAGAAAAGAAAATATTTAAAAATATTAAAAACATGATAATTAAAAATTAAAATGTAATAATTTTATAAAATATTTATATAAATATTGTAATAATTTAATTTTGAGATTTAAATTATTTAATATTTTTTTTTAAAGTAAATAAAAAAAAAAGTATTAAATAATAAAAGTTTTAAAAAATAAAATAAATAAAAATTTTATAGAAAAAAAACTAAAATATATAAAAACAAAAGAATATTTCAATAAAATTTTTTATAATGATATAATAAAAAATGTTAAATAAAAATATATTTGATTAAAATAATAAAAAAACACTATAAAAATAATAATAATAATATAATAATAATAATAATAATAATAATAATAATAATAAAATTTCTTTTAATAATAATAAAAATAAAAAATATAAATTTATATTATAATTTATATTTACTATTTAATGTATTTTTTTTATTAAGCATTTTTCATTATTCATTTTTAAAATAGATAATTTTTTTTTAATTACATACGATTTTATTTCATTAATATTTTTAAATTTAATTTATTTAATTCTTTTTTATTTTATTTATTATTTCATCCTTTTTTATTAATAATTTACTGCCATATTTAATTATATCATAAAATTAATTTCTAAAAGGTAAAACAAAGGCATGATAATGTAAATGATAAATTGAAATTTAAGGTGGTTAATGATATCCGAATCTATATTCCTAAAATTAAAATATATATGAATAATAAATAAGATTTTATATAAATTAAAAAAATATTCTTAAAATTTATTTTATATACTTTGTTAGGGTGTGTTTTTTATAATAGTATTTATGCTGCTTTATGAATTTGTTCAACTAATATTATGTCTTCATTTTTTAAATTATTTATAGTTTCTATATGCTTTATTGGACAAATTAAAATATGCTTTTAACATGTCGCATCATCAATATCTTATAAAGCAAATAAGTTTATAAATTCAGGTCGATTTCTATCTTCTATAGGGATTATATTTTTTTCTGTATTTTTTTTAAATATATAACAAAATTCACAAAATTCTTACATTATAAAATATATAATTTTATTTTTTTATTATTTTAAAAAAGATTAATACAAATTAAATTTAACTTCTTTAATATTGAGAAAAATAATATATAAATTAAGTATAAATTTTGAAACAATTAAATAAAATAATATAATGAGGAATACTATTTATGAAAAAATATTTATAAAATAAAATAACATAATAATATAAATAAAAAATATTATAAAATATATATATAAAAAGTTTTAAACTTCTTATAAATGTTTAATAAATTTATTAAAACTATTTGATATTTAATTAATCATTTTAATTTATTATTTTATATATTTATATAATTTGATTTATAAAAAAAAATTAAAAAAAATATAATAAAAAAAAGAAAAAAATATAATATAAGTGATTATTTAAAATTATTTTTTTAAAATAAAAATAAAAAAAATATAAAATATTAAAGTTTTTAAGATATTATTAAACATTTCATAAAAAAAAAATTATGTTTTAATGACAATTAAAAAATAAATATTCTTATTTTAAAATATAAAAACAAATATTTTAATATTTAAATATAAAAATCATGCGATATATATTTTATATATATTTAATTTTTAAATTTCACTACATTTTAATATGTTTTTAAATAAAAAAAAAAAATAGTTAAATAAAAATTATAAAATAAAAAATATAATTTTTTTTAAGACTATTCTTAAAAAAATTGTAAAAAATATAATTAAAATAAAAAAATAAAAATTATATAAATAATTTTTTATTTAAATAAAGATAGTCATTATTTAATTTAAAAAAATGAATAATTTTAATATTTCTAAATAAAAAAATTATATTTAAATATAAAAATATTTGTAACAAAAAAAACAGATAATAATAAATATATATATATATATATATATATATATATATATAAATATATTTATATATTTTTATTTAATTAAATTAATATATTTATTTCTATTTTTCATATATGTATTTATAAATATTTCGAATAAAAATATTAAATATAATAAGAAAAAAACACTTTTTTTTAAAAAAAAATTTATAATTATTTTACTGTTTTAAATCCCTTATAAATAATCATAAAAATTTTTTAATAAATCTTCTCGATTAATAATAATAAAAATGGACAAGCAAAATATAATAGAATCTCCCTTAATTATGAAATAAATATAAGGTTATAATAAAAAAGACATATATATAAAAATAAATGAATATTCAAATAGATTATAATAATTTATCGATAACAAAATAAAACTAATAGCAAATTGAACATGATATGCTTAAGGAAAATATTTTAAGAAATTCAAATAAAAGTTAAATATTAGAATCTCCTTCTTATTAATTTAAAATGCCTTATAATCCTTATATTTTTACTCCAAACAGCAATAATAAGAATTTTATTTTTTAAAATTCTCCTTTTCCATTATAAATTTAAGCCACTCCAAATAATAATAATAATAATTTTATTTTTTAAAGCAAGAACAAAGAAAATATTCTCGAAAACTCACCAAATTTTTACAATCCTTAATAAAAAAATAGAGAATTTGCAGTTCCTAAAATGTATAGAAGTGCAAATAAACAAAATTTTACAAAATCAAATAATTTAATAGATTATGCAGCTAATATAATATCGAAATAGATATAAACAGAAGATAAAAATAAAAAAATAATAATTTAATAACCTAAATTTATCATAGAATTTAATGATAAGTATTTTTTTTTATTTTTTTTCCCTTACAATAAGAAAAAATATAAATACATTTTTTTATTTAAGTAAAGAATTTGAAGATTTTAAAGATAGTCCATATTATGAATAAATAATGAAAAAATTTGATTATTCTAATTGTACATTTTTATGTGAAATTAAGGATAAAAATTATACCCATTTCTAAAAATAATATTAAATGAAGCAAAGCTTTTAAGAAAACTAAAAATTAGATTAATTTTATACACCTTCATGTAAAAAAAGTAACATAATATAAGCTAAAATACCCATAAATACCTCCGAAATAAAAAATATTGAAAATACACCTCGTTTATCAACTAAAAAAAGTAAAAAAATAAACAAAGATTAATAAGAAAAAGAAGAAGATGAATAAAAGGGAAAAACAGTCATTTAAAATCAGAAAAAAGTATATAAATGAAAAGTAATTCTGAATAATAGTAATAATAATAATTGGAATAAGAATAAAAAAAGATTGCTGTAATTGTAAAAAAACTAAATGTTTAAAGTTATATTGTGAGTGTTTTTAAGCTAAAAACTATTGTGATGGATGTAATTGTTAAAATTGTTATAATATACCAAAATATGAATAATATAGAATAAAAGCTATGAAAATAATTACTGATAGAAATTGTAGTGGCTTTGAACCGAAAATTAACTTAGTAATATATTTATTAATTTTTTTATTTTTTTTATTATAATTTTCTAACAAAAATTTGAAAAGTAAATGGATGAATAATATGATAATTTTAGTGGTGTGAAAATACATAATAAGGGATGTAATTGCAAAAAAAGTGATTGTTAAAAAAAATATTGTGAATGCTTTTAAATGGGAGCTGTTTGTACGGAATTGTGTAAATGTAATAATTGCAAAAATTAGCATTTTTATCAAATTATTGCACCTCCTTAGAAATAAGATATGGGCTATTAGTATTTACCTACTTAAGGTAATGCTAGTTAGTAATAATATTTACTTTTGTATCCTTAGAGTTATTATAAATTTGGTTAATAGTAATGGGAATAATATTAATAATATTATTAATAATATTACTAAAATAATGATGAATAGGTAAGTGAAAATGATCATAATAATAATCAGGATAATATTTGAAACCGATTAATAATTTTTTTATATTTATAAATAATCAATTTAATATAAAATAATTTTATATTTATTTAAATATGATATTATTATTTATATTTATCTAGTATATTTTTAATTTAAATTTTACATCTTTTTTTTGTTTTATTTAATGAGAATAATTTATTTCATCTAATTTTAATTTATGAATAATAATAAAAATTTATTTATTGCTTTTTATTTAAAAAAAAAGTTAAAAATTATTTATGTTTATTTCTATTAAAAAACATAATGATTTCTTTAACAAATTTTAAAAATCAATAAAATTTAGTAAAAGTAACTATATAATTTTAAAAATTTTATTAAATTTAAACTTTATCACTATTTCTATTTTAAATAAAATAAATATGTTATATTTAATTCTAATTTTATTAATATTTTTTTTTTTCATATATATATTAATAATGATGTAATATATTATTATGGTTTAGCAATTTTCTTATATATTTTTAAAATATATTTAAATTATGTAATTTTTATTATACATTTTAAAATTTTTATAGACTTATATATTAACTTTGTAAATATTCTATTTCAGTTATTTTTTTTAGAAATATATAATAACAAGACTTTATTTTTTTAAATTTATATATTTTAAAAATCTAATTATATAAAATAAAGCTTATTTTTAAATATATTATCTCTTAAAAATATAGATTCTTATAATAAAATTTCTTAATATATAATATATAAAAAATAAAATAATTTTATATAGTAAATTTAATCCAAAATTTTTTATATAATATATTTTTATTTTGAAAAAAATTAATTATATATATGAAAGAACGAATTATTATATATTTGTTTCCCTTTAATAATAATAAACTAATAATATTCAATTAATTTTACTTTTAAAATCTGAAGTTTTGGATATATGATTATTAATTTTAAATATCTTTGATATATTTTCTATTGAATTTAAAATAATCTAATTGCTATTTCATGTTAATTAACTATATTTTTATATAAATTCATTTAAAACTTATTTTTTTTTTATAAATAATTTTAATTTGTTATATTTAATAATATGAAAATAAAATTATGATTTATATATATTTATAGTTAAATAATTAAATAAAAATGTTTCTTCTATATTTTATCCCTTTAATTCAAAATTTTATAGATACAATATAAAATTTTGTATTTAAGAAAAATAGAAATTTAATAAAACTCTAAAAAAAAAAGAATATATATTGTATATTTAAAAAAAGCTATTTTTATTTGTTTTTTTAACTTTACTAAAAAAAAAAAAATTAAATTAATTTTGATTTCAAAAAAAAAAAAAAGCAATTGGATATAAAGCTTAATATAAAAAAATTAATAAATATATAAGAATAAAAATTCTAGAACATTTAAATTTTATAATAATATAAATATTCTAGAAGAAAAAAAAAAAAAAAAACAATAAAAATAAGATATTTAAAAAAAGAATTAAAAAAAATTAAACAAAAAAATTAAAAAAAAAAAAAATCAAAATAGATTTGCCTTATACATACCTAATTTATAAATTATTTATACAAAAAAAAAAATATATATATATATAATTAAATTTAAAAAAAAAATTACTTAACTTTTTTAAAAAAAAAAACTAAAGACAAAAAAACAAAAAATCCAATAAAAATGACAACAACCGAACCCGAACATTTCGCTTTCGAAGCCGATATCTAACAATTGATGGGATTAATCATCAATACATTCTATTCTAATAAAGAAATTTTCTTAAGAGAGTTAATCTCTAACTCATCTGATGCCTTAGATAAGATCAGATACAAAAGTATCACTGATGCCGAAAGTGCCAGACTTGATATAGAACCAAACTTCAGAATTAGAGTCATCCCTGACAAAACTAACAATACTTTAACTATTTGGGATACCGGTATTGGTATGACTAAGAAAGAATTAATTAATAACTTAGGTACTATTGCCAAATCAGGAACTAAAGCTTTCATGGAAGCCTTATCTTCAGGTGCTGATATTTCCATGATTGGGCAATTTGGTGTTGGTTTTTACTCTGCTTATTTGGTAGCTGAGAGAGTCGAAGTTATTTCCAAATCTAATGATGATGATCATTAATATAGATGGGAATCTACTGCTGGAGGTACTTTTACAGTCGTAAATGATGATGAGAACCCTGAAAAACTTACCAGAGGTTCTAAAATTATTTTACACATGAAGAGTGATAACTTAGAATTTTTAGAAGAAAGAAGAATTAAGGATTTGATTAAAAAACACTCCGAATTTATCGCTTTCCCTATTGAACTTTACGTCGAAAAAACCGAAGAAAAAGAAGTTTCTGATGACGAAGAAGAGACTGCTGAAAAAGAAAAAAAAGAAGGAGATGAACCTGAAATTAAGGAAGAAAAAGACGAAAATAAGCCTAAAAAGAAGAAAAAAGTAAAATAAGTACACAGCGAATTCGAAGAATAGAACAAAAATAAGCCTCTATGGATGAGAAAACCAGAAGAAATAACAAAGGAAGAATACTCTGCCTTTTATAAATCACTCACAAACGATTGGGAAGATCATTTGGCTGTAAAATAATTCTCAGTCGAAGGTCAATTAGAATTTAAAGCTATTCTTTTTATCCCCAAGAGAGCTCCTTTTGATCTTTTTGAAACTAAAAAGAAGAAAAATAATATTAAACTTTATGTCAGAAGAGTGTTCATTATGGACGATTGTGAAGATATTATCCCTGAATATTTAAATTTCGTAAAGGGAGTAGTTGATTCTGAAGATTTGCCTTTAAATATTTCAAGAGAATTCCTCTAACATAATAAAATCTTGAAGGTTATCAAGAAAAACATCGTTAAAAAATGCCTTGATATGATTACCGAAGTTTCCGAAAACGAAGAAGAATTCAAAAAATTCTACGAATAATTCGGAAAAAACTTAAAATTGGGAATACATGAAGACTCAGCCAATAGATCTAAATTATCCGAATTCTTAAGATATCATTCATCTAAAAGTGCTGAAGAATTAACTACTTTAAAGGACTATGTAAGTAGAATGAAAGAAGGTCAAAAAGACATATATTTTATTACTGGAGAATCTAAAGCCTCTGTAGCTTAATCTCCTTTCGTAGAATCTTTAAAAAAGAGAGGATATGAAGTCCTTTATATGATTGATCCTATTGATGAATACGTAATTTAACAATTAAAGGAATTCGATGGAAAAAAACTCAAAAATTGTACCAAAGAAGGACTCGAATTAGAATAAACTGAAGACGAAAAGAAATAACTTGAAGAAAAAAAAGCTTCTTTTGAACCATTATGTAAATTAATCAAAGAAGTACTCGGAGATAAAGTAGAAAAAGTAGTTGTTGGCCAAAGATTAGATGAATCTCCTTGTGTTTTAGTTACTGGAGAATATGGATGGTCTGCTAATATGGAAAGAATTATGAGAGCTTAAGCTTTAAGAGATTCCGCTTAATCTACTTATATGATCTCGAAAAAAACTATGGAAATTAACCCTGATCATCCTATTGTTTAGGAACTTAAATCAAGATCAGACAAAGATAAAGCTGATAAAACCGTCAAAGATTTAGTCTGGTTATTATTTGATACTTCTTTATTAACTTCAGGTTTCTCATTAGATGAACCTACTCATTTTGCTAGTAGAATCCATAGAATGATTAAGTTAGGACTCTCTATTGATGATGATAAAATGGAAGAAGAAGTACCTGGTCTTGTTAAAGATGCTACTAATAATAATACTGATTAATAAGCTACTAATGCTATGGAAGATGTTGATTGAAGAGAGAAAATAGGTGTTTTTTTTATAAAGAAAAAAAAGGTTTTAGTACTTTTTTTTTCTTTCTTTCTCTCTCTATTATGTTTAATTAAAATACATTAGAATTATATTATTTGGTTTTTTTATATATAATTTTTTTTCTCTTGTATTTTTATTTATTTTTTTATGTTTGCTTTTTTTGCACTTTTTTAAGTAGTTTTAAAGTCTTTTTTATATATAGATTTCATTATTATAGTTTTAAAATATTAGATATATATATATATATATTTATATATATATATATATATTTTTTTTTTTATAAACCATTAAATATATATTATATACATATTTAAAAGATGTTTAATATTTATAAGCCATTTTTTTATTTTATAATGTAATTTTATTTAAAAAAAAAAAAAATGTTAAAATTTTTCAATCAAGATGTAAATTTTAAATATTACTTTCTTTAAAAAAAAAAAAAAACACATTTTAAATATTTGCTTTTTTTATTAAACAAAGGGAGTAAATATAAAGAAAAAAATAAAATATATAATAATAATAAATATAATTTTAGATTAAGAAAATTATATAATTTAAAATTTAAATATTGTTAACTTTTTTTTTTTTGTAAAAAAAATATCTTCTTTAATTTAATTACAAATGTAATTAATTTATAAAATAAAAAATATATCTATACATTTATTTATTAATAAATAAAAATATATTTTTTAATATATATTATTAAAAGATAATTATCATTTTAAAAAATAATTATTACTATTATACTCATTATTAGTATTAATATTATTATTTTTATCAATCTTATTATTTGTTCAAATTTATTTAAGTTTTAAAATTTTATGTATTTTAATTTGTAAAAGAATATTTTTTTAATTATTATTTAATAATATGTTATTATCTATTATCTTTATTATTATTTTAATTTTTCTAATTATATAAGACTTCATTATTTAAATCTAAATTTAAAATATAGTGTTTAAAAAAATTTCTTTTATAATTTTATTTTATTAAGAAGTTGTAGATATTCTTTATAATTATTATTCAGTGAACTATTTTTTATTTAAAACAGATAAATAAATTTAAATTTAATTAAATACTATAGTATTTCCACATTGATTTTATTAATATTTAAATTTTAGAAAAAAGAAAGCTTATTAATGTCATTTTTAGAATTTCTTATATATTTAAAAATATATTCAATATATTTTAATATAATATCATATAATTATTATTTATATTTTTTTATTTTTTTTTTTTTATATATTTAATAATAAAATTGCCATTATAATTAATTTACAATACACTTGTTAATATATTTTTTAAAAAAATTAGATAATTTTCGATAATTTTTTTATATTCAATATAATATAATAAAAAATTTATTATATAAACTTTATAATCTTAATATATATATATGTTTAGTGTTAATATTATTATTTTTGATAATTAATTCTTGAATTTTCTAATTGTATTGCTTTTAATATAATGTATTGAAAATATTCTTAAAAAAACATTATATATATAAAATATTTAATTATCCTATATATTTATTATTATTTCATAAAATCTTATGAAGTATAATATAAATAATCAAATAAGATTATATAATAAATAATTATATATAAAATTAAAAAAAAATAAACTTTTAAATATATAATCTTTAAATTTAAATATGTTTATAATAAAATTTTGGTTTTTTTATATTATATAATATATATTTTTTTAATGTATAGTCTTAATATTCTTCAGATTAAAAAATAAATATTCTTAATAAATAATATTAATATAAATATTATTATTTTTATTATAATTTTATAATTATTATTATAATTATTATTATTATTATTATTATTATTATTATTATTATTTTTTTTCTAATATGTTTCTCATTTAATCTTTTTTTATTTCAATATTAAATAATTTTTTTTAATTTTTTTGAAGCAAACACTTATTTGACATTTTAGCAAATAAATTTATTTAATTTTATTTTTATTTTATATATTCTATTTTTCTATAAATATACACATATATTCTTTAATACTTTTTGGGAGTTAATTTTTTTAAATTTTTTTATAAAATTTTTTTATGAGTTTATTTTATTTATTCTTTATATTTTTTATATTTAATTATTGAGAAATATTTATTTTTTGATTAATGTATTAATAAATATATTTCATTTATATTTTATATTAACATATTCATATATTAAATAAAAATATCTAGTATATATATAAATATATATTTATTTTTATATTATTTTTAATTATTTGATATATATATATATATATTTATATATATATACATATATCTTATATTATTTTTAATGTATTATTTAATTTTATTTTTTGTATTCATTTTATTCTGTTTATTCATTTTTATTTATTTATTTTCTTAAAATTATTAAGATTTGTTTGAAAGATTTTTATTTTGTATATTTATTTAAACCTTTAATATTTTATTTTTCATTATAAAATAATACAAAATTATTTAAAAATAAAAAAATTAAATTTATTTAAAATAAAATTAAATTAATTGTAAAAAAATATTAAAATTAATTATTGTAATATAAAAAATTTATTAAATAAAATATATTAAATACAAATTATATAAAAAAAACAATTAGAAATTTTATTATTAATAAAAAAATTATATAAAAACAAAAAATTAATTTATTTTATTATAGATCTAATTCATCACCTTTAAAGTTTTAAAAAAACTATGCAATATTATAAAACAGATATTTCTTCTTAATAAATATATTTTTTAAATAATTTCTTATATATTACTTACTAATTATTTAAAGATTTAAAGAAAAATTTTGTTTATTTATATATTTTATAAATTTATTATTAAACAGTTGAAAAAAATTTTAAAAAATAAAAAATTAAAAAATAATAAACCATTTATTTTTTAATAAAAAACATATTTTTTTTCATAAATAATAGTATTTAAATTTAACTAAAATAATTATAAATACTCACATTTTTATTCTAACATTGTCACTATTACTTTAATTTATTTTTAACTTTAAGAAAAATTGGTTTTTAATTTAAACTTTTTTTCTATTAAAAATGGCTCGTTTTTAAGCATTATACATATAATTGACTATTTTATTTCTTCACTGCATTTAAATTTATATTTTAAAAATTTCGAAATCATTCATTTAAAACAAATATTAATAAAAATTTTATAATAGCATAAAATTAATATTCGAAAAGTTTATCATGTAATTTATTTTACTTATTAATTAGTTTAGCGTATACCTAATTTATTTTCATATATATATAACAGTAAACTTATTAAAAAATAGTTTAAATAGATTATTCTAAATATATAAATTTTAATTATTTATTTACATAAATTTTGAATATTATTTATAGATTAATAATTATCCTCAAAATTATTACTTAATAATAAATATGTTTTTCTAAATTTTAATAAAGAGTATATGTATATATAAATAATATTTATATATAAATTTTTTTAAAATTCAATTATATGTAAAGTAGAAAAAATAGAATTTTTTTTTTAAATCAAAAAAAATAAAAAATAAAAAATTTTAAACATTATAAATTTAATTATATATTATTATTTTTTTATAATAAAAAAAAAATGTTTTCTATTTTTGGTCGATAAGATGATATGAATTTAATTTATTAAAATAATTAAAATGACAATTAGAAAGGATGTATTTATTTAGGAGACATATATGCAGCCCGAAATATAATAATAGATAATAAATTTAATATAAAATCTGTATTAACAGTAGCAAGTTATACAAATTTAAATTACGATCCAATTAAAATTAAATAGAAAATTATTGAAGCTGAAGATATGCCAACTTTTAGTTTAAAACCTTTTTTTAATGAAGGAATTGAATTTATTGAAAAATAGTTAAATGAAGGAAATGTGCTTGTTCATTGTTTTGCTGGAATTTCTAGAAGTACAACTTTACTTTGTGCTTATCTTATGAAAAGTAAAAAATGGAGTCTTGATAAAACTTTAATTTTTATTAAATAAAAGAGATAAATTGCTAATCCAAACGCTGGATTTATGGGATAATTAAGATAGTTTGAAAAAGAATTATAAATTAGCAATGAAAATTGAAATAAATATATAATCTTTTTTTTGTTTTATGGTTATTTTTATAGATAAATATTATATATGTTTTAAAGTAAAAGATTTAAATATATATTTTTTTTTATTTTTTATATATAAAGTATTATTTATATAACTTTTTTATATTATTTATTTAAAAGTTTATTTTTTTAAATAATGTAAAAGAATTGTGTATTAAGTATATTTTATTAAAATACATAAAATAATATAATTCGATTTAAACATTTAATATATTTTTCCAAATGTTTTTTATAAAAAAAAAACATATTTATAAATGTTTTTTTTTTAAAAAAATTAAAATAAAATATGTATAATATAAGAAGATTATTTTAAAGTAAAAAAAAACTAAATAATATTTCTTTTTTCTTGTTTTATATAAAAAAAAAATTAAACTAATCTGAAAATAAAGCAAAAAAAAAAAAAAAAAAAAAATATTTTTTGTTTTTTGTCTTTTTATTTTTATAGATTAATAAAATTAATATATATTAAAATCATTCGAAATCTTAACCACATCCAGGTTATTTTTCAAAACAGAAAAAGTTATGATTCCATCTACCTAATTTGGTACCTTAATTTCTATAATTTTCATAAAATACATGACCATATGGTTAACGAGAAACATCTAATCTAGATTTATGTGAATCACCATAAACTTTACTTCTTACCCATGCATCAATTCCTAATAGTAATAATCCGATTCCAACCCCATATGTTGCATAAACTAATCCAGTTAAATTTAAAAAATTTCCAATCTATTTTTGCTTATAAGCTTTCCACCATAATTATGAACCTTTAGGTTAATTAATAGAGTAATTTAAATCAAAAGGAACTCTATGATCTACAACTCTTCTTGAAAAATTGTATCTGTCTATAAATAAATTTTCTGTTTATTAAGACATATATTTTTAATCTTAAATTTTTTAATATTATTTTTTTATAAAGAAAAAAAAAAAAAAATATATAAATTTAATAAAAATAAATATATATATATATATATATATATATATATATATTATAAAATTTTTTATATTTTTTATTTTTTAATATTATTTTTCATTTAATTATTATTTTTTAAATAAAAAGCGTTTAATGTTTTTAAAAATAATATTATTATTGCTTTCTTTTATATTTTATTTATATTTTTTTTAAAATAATTTTTTTTTTATATAATATAAATATTGTATGAATTATTATATTATATTAATTTATCTTTTTATTATCTTATAGTCTACAATTACATTTATTGATTTAATTAATTATTTAAATATTTTTTATTAATGTAAAAAATATAATAATTTCAAGACCATCCATTTTAACTTCTTTAATATAAAATTTAAGTGAATTTTTTATTTTCAATACTTAATTAATTAATTTTCATTTACAAATCGTGAATAATTTTTTCTTAACATAAATTTGTACCCGAATTACTTCCATACTATCTTTATTAATTTATACTAATTTCATTTTCATTTTACTATATTCTTTATTACAGATTATTTTATTTTATTAATTCTTTTAATTATATATCTTATTTTTTAATAATATTATTTAATTTTTCTATATTTTTTTAATTTTTATTGTTTTCTTCCTATATGAAATTTTAAAGTTGACTTATTTATTGTTATAATTCTTCGCATTTATGAATAGATTAATTTAATTGTTAGTTAAACTATTATTTCTATTCTAATAAAATATACTCTTTATTTTAAATAATTTCTATTTATTATTTTAATTATGCGTTATTGCATTTTTCTTAGTTTATTTTTTAATTTAAATCATGGTATTTTTACTTTAATAGATTATAATTTTAAAAATCTTAGTTTTAATTTTAAAATTAAAGTTTAAATTAACCATTATAATCATGCTAGCTTTAAATTAAAATTATTTAATTTTGTAATTCAATTAATTTTTTATTTAATAAATCTATTTTGTTTTCATAAAAATTCTTTTCTTATTGTAATTTTTCATAAAATAAGTTCTCTTTTTCTTTAAAATTTTCGTTCATTTTATTTATTTATAAATTATTTTATTAATTTAATTATTCTTTATAATATTCTAATTCTTTTATTTAGTTTCTATTTATATTTTCTAAAATTAAATTTTATTTAGTTTTGTCTTCTAATTAATATTTAAATTCTTCTATTAATTTTTAAAATTGGTGATTTATGTTTATTTTTATTTGTTATTTTTATAAAAAACATTATTAGCAAATTTCACTTGGTTCTTAAAAACTTATATTTGTATTGTTATTTTCAGTTGATAGAAATTATTATTTATTCTCCATTATTGAATATTATTATTTATTATGTTAAATTATTTTTTTATTTGGGATTATAATTTCGCTTGCTTTATTTGTATGTAAAGAATTCGATTGGTATTTTTTCAAATAATCTTAATTTCGCTTATTTAATAATAAGTTTATTTCATGATTTTAATTTTTTTAATTCATATAATATAAATCAAATGAAGAGATTTTCGTATTTTAATTGTTATTAATTATTTTATTATTTGTGTTTTAAACAGATAAATAATTACATTTTAATTTGTTTATGTTTATTTGATCCACTGATTATTTATTATATTGTTTCTGTTTATATCTATTTTAACTAAAGGACTATTATGTATTGGTTAAAATACTTTATTATTAATTATTATTTTCGAATTCGGTTAAATCTTATAATGGACTCAACAAATAATTTATTTTATTTTATACTTCTAATCTTAATAAATCTATTTATTAACTAGGCTATTTTTAATATATTATATTATCATTAAATTTTAATGATTAAAATAAATATTTTTAATTCTTTTAAAGTTTTTATTATTATGAACAATCGATTTTATATTAAAGATAATTTTATTCAATATTATCGTTAATTTTTTTTATATTAGCAGAAATCATTTTAATTAAAGAAATATGAAAATAATAAAAGGTAATAAATAATAAAATAAATGCATTAAATAATTAAAAATAAAAAATATATTTTAAAATAAAAATATAAATAAAAAGATTGAAAAATATTAATAAAATTAAAAAAAATATAATTAGAAAAATAAAAAATAAAAAATAAATAAAAATAAATATTAGATATAATTATAAAAAAAAATTTTAAATATATAATTATTTATAAATAAAATTTATAAATATAAATTAAATAATATAATATATATTTAAATATATAAAAATATAAATATATAAATTTATTTTATAGATATATATATATGTTTTTTATTTTAACTTATTTATCAATTTTTTTTTTATTTTTATTTAAAAATAAATTATTTATATTAATAATAAAATAAGATAGAAATATCATAAATCTTTTTTTTTATTTTCTTTATATTTTAAATCTTATGAATAATATTTATTTTTCTCGAAATTTTCGAACCCTCTTTACATATATAAATATTAAAAATTTTTATGGAGACTCATTTAATCATCATAATGCCCAGAGAATATATTTTCTGATACGCCAGCTTCTACTACCCAATAATCTTATTTATTATCATTCATATCAACAATCATTCTATAATTAGCTACATAAGAAGAATCAAAAGTATCATCTATCCAGTTTTAAAGAGAAACAGCAATAGTTCTTCTATTACCATAAATTTCTACTTTTCTATCGAAAATATGTCTTAGGAAATTCTTAGTAAAGGCTTAATGAGCTAGTATGTTTCTATGCATTTTTCCCCATTTCCATTCATTATGCTTTTATATTTTATATAAAATTTATATAATATATTATATATATATATATATATATATATATATATATATATATATATATTAACATATTTATTTATATATTAATTATATACGTCTGTTGTTTAAAATTTAGTATATAAGAAATCTTCTATTTAAGTAAAAGAATAAATAACATTATACAAACAACTAAATTTCGAGTTTTAATTTTCTTTATTTTTACACCATTTATAATCATAATTTGTATCTTCATTAGTACTCCATTATTTTATTTTTTTGAAATAGTAATTTTCAAATAGTAATCCCATAGTTATTGTTTTTCTATGAAAAATAAATAAATAATTATTATTAAAAGATTAAAATAAAAAAAGAACAATAAATAAAATAAAATAAAAACCTGTCTTTTTCTTAAGCATCGAATTCCATTAAACTCTTTTAACAAAACAAATACTCCCAACTCATAAAAATAGAAGCCTTGAAACTATCCAAACTTAAATTAGAATCCCAATCTTTTAAAAGATTAAGCATTTTTAATCCTTTTTAATATAATTTTTAATCATTTCCTAATACTTCCATTCCTTTTTTTTCATATAATTAAATTAAATGAGGTAAAATAAGTTAAGCATAAGAATCTACAGTATCTGATTGTATTCTTTTCATATCTTCAATGTCAAATTTTAAACCTTTATTAATATGTTCTTATATTAATTGATTAATTCTTAAAGCTCTAGAAGTTGATAATTAATTAACTGTTAAATGATTAAGTATATTATCACTAGCAAATCTATTATTAGCAGTTACAATATATCCTTATTTTGATAATAAAATATAATTGTATTTTTATTTTATTTTTACCTTTAGAAGGATTCATCATTTATGGATTTTCAGAAGAATTAGTAAATCTCAACCAGTCTTATTTTGAAGAAGTTCCATCTTTTAAAAATGCTCCTTCTGCACTATCTTCAATAATAGGTATTTTTCCATAACCAAAAAAGCCTATATCACCAGTCTTAGTAGCATAAACAATAGAAAGTGCAGGTCCAATCATTTATTTAAAAGCATTAACACATTATTATGTATTTTAAGATCTAGCCACGACTTTTATTTTTATTTTTAAATATTAATAATAAAAATAATAATACCTAAAATACTATCTACAAAATTACTACTTAATATTTAACCTATCCATACTAAAGATGCATCTACTCCAATTTCAGTTAAAGAAGTTTTAGATGTTTTATCAAATCTATTATTCAATATAGGACCTCTATGAGTTAATTTAACGTTATGTACATAAGGCTCATTTTGCCCCTTTATGTATATTAGTTCTTCTACTGTTTGTAATGGAATCCATTTGTTGTCTAGTAAATACTTATTGTCTTCTATTGTTTCTTTATATAAATCGGCTGTATCGGCATAAAGTACTGTTGTTCCCCAACTAAAAAATTCGGATCTTCCATTTTATATTAAAGGTACACCAGGTATAGATCCTCCGATTAATAAAATATTCTCAGATTCTTTAAAATTATAAATTATTTTATTTTTAATAAAAAATAACCTATTAATAATTCATTTTATATCCATTAAGTGGGTATCGAAGATTACAAATGTGGATCACTTGCAAGTAAAGGTTTTCCTGATTTTGTATGATTTCCATGTATTACCCAAGCATTACTTCCATTAGGACCTATTATTATATATATATATATATAAATATATATATATATATATATATATATATTTATATATATATAATATATTAACATATATATATGTATATATATTAATTTATTTTTTGTTTTAATATTTATTTATTTTATTTTACTGTTTTTAATAAAAAGTTAATCATTGAAAAAAATTTAAAAAAAAATATTAGTTTTATGTTTTATTTTATTATAATTAAATATTTAAAAAAAAAATATTAAATATATATATATATAAAAATGATTATATATATATATATATATATATATTAATATAAATATATAAACATTATTTATTTACCCATATATAATTCATTTAAAACATCTGCAATTTAAGAATCAATAAAATTTTGGTGTTTTTTATTATTTTATAGTTTTTTTTGATTAGAATTTAGATAGTTTTTGGTACTATTTCTTTAATATTTTTCATATAAATTATTATTTTTTAAATCTTAGTCATCCATAATTGTTACATCCACAAATTAAGAATCTGATATAGCTCCGGTTATTAATTAAGCTTCTTCAAATCCAAATTATTCAGCTAAATTACTTCTTATAGCTTCCCATACATAATCATAACCTAGAAGAAAAATCCTTTATTTTTATTGATAATTTTTATTTAATTTTTTATATTTTTTTATATTTATTTTACAATAATCTTTCTTATCCAATAACATCTTCTGGCCTATAATCTTACCAATCTTATTAAACTAGATAGAATTCTAAAGGCTTTATATTTAAAGAATTATAGTAATGATTAATACCATCGCAATAGGCTTATATGCATTATTTTTATTCACCTTATAATTTTTCGGCTATCTTTTTAGCTATTCTATGTATACCTACGGTTCTATATATATATATATATATATATATATAAATTTATATTTATTATTAAAAAAAATCATATATATATATATATATATATAAAGAGAATATAGACCTAAAAAATTTATCAATTTATAGTGATTTTTCTCCAGAAAGTAAACTTAGTTTGCCATTTATTAATTATTTTTTTATATGTATTTAAAATAGTCTATCTTAGCCATGTACAAAACCTTATCCAAAGCATACATCATTTAAAGTTTTGCCTTTTATATGTGGAATACCGTTATTATCTCTTCTAATGTTTATAGTTCCGTATTTAGCATTATTATGAGTAATTAATCCATTATAGTTAGGACGAAATAATAAATAAATAGAAAGTATAATTGAAAAAAAAATTATAAATATAAGCTTTAAAATCATATTTTTTATATTTAATTTAATTTTGTTTTGTTTTAAGATATTATATTTAAAAATTTATTGCATTTTATTAAATAAATTATATTTGATTAAATTTAAATTGTGGAAAATAAAAATTTTATATAAAAATAAATTTTATTTAATTTAATAGAAATAAATATAATTAATATCAATATTTATATTGAATTTAAACAATATTTTAGTCTTTGTATTATTTGAATATAAATATAAAATTATAAAAACTAATCCAATTTTTTTTTTTTTTTTAAGTAATATGTTCATAAAAAAATAGATATTATTTTTATTATAATATTAATAAATAATATCTTTTATTTATATAGAGACATTTTGAATAAATTATTAATTAAAAAAAAAAAAAAATCATTTTAATAAATAAATATAATATTTATTTACAAATAATGATTAAATAAATAATTTATAATCTTATAAGTTTATATATCAAATATAGAATTATAAACATAAGTTATATAATATTGTATTTATTAATATTTTAATTATTTAATATTAGACTAAACAAAATTAAACTAAATTTAAAAATATAAATAAAAACATTATTTTTATTTATAAAAAATTATAATAATAATAAAATTAATTAATTTAAATAATAATTTATTTTATATATTTAATTTTATATTAAATATTTGTTTATAAATAAAATATAATTATTATTTTTATAATATAAATTAAAAATATTTTTTTTAAATATAAATTTAGTGAATTAAATATAAATTTATTTTTTATTTATTAAAATTTTTTAAATTAAAACATAAATTAAATATATTTATGAGATTTTATTTATTAATAAATAATTATATTCTTTTATAATTTTGTAAATATAAAATTATATTATTATTAAATATTTAATTTATGTATAAATGATAATTAATATTAATATATTAAGTCAATATTAATATGTATTCATTATTAATATTTTAAATGTACTTTATATTATTTTTACAATTTTTTATTTATTAATATATTTAATATTTTAGATATTTTATTTCTTATCAAAATAAAATATTAAGTTATTTTAAAATTTACTATAAAAAAAAAAAAACTTAATTAAATAAAAAATAATTTTATTCTAAAATAAATTTATTATTATTTTTTTTTTAATGAAAACATTATAGAAAAATTAAAAATAAAAATAAAATAATAAATCAAAATAACAAAAATTTATTATATTTTCTTTATATTTACATTATATTATTAATTTATAAAATATTAATATTATTTATATTATCGCTTTTACTATTTTTAAAAAATAAAAATATACTATATTTATTCGTTTTATTGTACAATATTTATTTTTAATATCTTTTTAAAATACTTTATAATTAATATTTAAGAAGTATGTATATTTTCTTACTATAATATAAAAATTATTAATATATATGAGGATATTATTTAAACTAAAAACTTAAAAAGTAAAAATTTTTTAAAAATTATTAAATATATTTCAGTTTTTATTATTGAAAAGAATAAACTAAAGTGTTTTTATTTTGTATTTTTTTTAAAAAAAAAAATACTATAATATATTTAAATAAAAAAATTCAAAATAAAATATTAAAATATGTACTAAACTCCCCCTAAATCCAAAAAATAAAATTATTAAATTACTTCTTAATCCGAAACTTCCAACGAATAAATGAAATAATTATTTTATAAGATTTCTATATAAAAAAACGAGCATTAAAATAACAACATATTATGGACTTAAGAAGAATATGAATTATTAAATTCTTTGTCAGTTAAATTGATAAGAAATTGGTAGAAAATTTAATAGTATTTTTAGTAAAAAACTTTTAAATAATGTCATTATAGGTGGAGGAAAATTAATTTTGTCGAATGGACTAAAATCGAAGATTAAAAGTTGATAGCTTTAGTAGAAAAATATGGAAAAAAATGGAATAAAATATATAACTAGTTTCCTAATAGGACTATTAAGTAAATAAGGGAACGTTATTTAAATAAATTAGACCCGATGATTGATAATAACTAAGTTTGGAGTATTTAAGAAGAAGAAAATTTGTTAAATTTATATAAACTTTATGGACCTAAATGGTAGAAAATATCTTAATTAATGAAAAATAGATTTAAATATGTAATAAAAAATAAATATTTTAAGTTAATAAGAAATAAATCTCATTTAGAGTACAATAATAGTAACACTAATGCGTATGTTATTGAATAATAAAATATTATTTATAATGCTTTAATGAAAATTCAAGAAGCTTTAAAAATTATAATTCCTAGTAATAATAACAATTAAAATATATAATAATAATAAAATTAATAAATGATTAGTTTGTAAAATTAAATACCTTTAATATAATAAAATTTATGAAATTAATAAGAATAAATATTATAATTTAATTTATTATAATAGAATAATATTAATAATAACATTTTTTAAAATTAAAAATATATAAATACTTAAACTTTTGAGTATTAATATTAATATGAAACTAATAATAATATTAAATAATAGTTTTTATTTTAAAATAATGAACATTAAAATAATAATAATGATTTATAATTTAAAAAAATTATAAATAAATAATAAGCAACACAATTTAATACTAGTTTATGTTAAGATAGAAATAATAAAGAATAAAATTATTAATAAAAAATACTTGAATTAATAAAAGAAAGAAGTTATTAATAATAAATTAATGATAATGAAAATAATAAAATATATAAATTAAAATAGTAAAATTATATAAAAAATTAATAATAATAATAATAATAATAATAATAATAATAATAATAATAATAATATCTAATATATTTTCTAAATAATTAATTTTTAGTTATATATAATAAATAATAATAATAATAATAATAAATACATCCTATTTAATTTTATTTAGATAAATAATTGTCTTGATTTATAAATAAATTATAAAATTATTTAATAATTTTTATTTTTTTATATAAATATATGTTTATATTATTTTTATATTAATTTCTTTATAAAATATTTTTTTTATCATAAATATAAATTTTTGTTTGTATTTAAATAAATAAAATATTAACTAAAATAATAATTATTTATTGATATTTTTTTTTAAAAAAATATAGAAATAAAATTTAAATTAATTATATTCATAAATTTATTTTAAAATATATTGATATAAAAAATTTTCATTTTTAAAATTCTTTATTTATTAAAGATATTAAACTTTTACTTTCTTTAGTATTATAAATTTTTATTTTAGCCGATTTTTAAGCATTTTTTTCTTTATTTAAAAAACATAATCTAATTTAATTTTATTCAATATATATTTTAAATAAATCATTTAAAAAACTAACTGAACAAATAATAAATTTATTTTAACCAATTTTTCTTAAGGAATATAAATATCCTTTATCTATTAAAATATATCTTTAGGCACTTTAGAATATTTTTTCTATAAATCCTCGTAGTCTTTTTGGTTGTTTTTATATTTTTTGTAATAAACTTTCATTAAAGTTTATTTCTTGGCTTTTTTAAAATAATTAGTAGGTATTTTTACATTTCTTTTAATCTTAAGTGAATGAATAATGCTATAATTAATTTAATAAAGGAAATTATTTTTAAATATTTTCAAAAAAATTTTATTTATGTGAATCTAAAATTTCACTTTGGACAACTTTTTCTACAATTTCAATTTTAGAAGAAGGTTTTCTTTCATATTAAATTGATTTATTTTTGGTATGTTATGGACGTTTTTTTTTATTTTTTAAGGCTAATTTATTTCTGGTATTTTTTCTTTTCTTTTTCTTTTTCTTTTTCTTTTTCTTTTTCGATTTAATTATTATCTTCATCTATTTAAAATTACTATTTATTATGATTCATTTTTATAATAAATTATTTTAATTTTAAAAAAATAAAAAAATAAAAAAATAAAAAAAAGGGGGTTAATCTTATAATATATTTTATAATTTGGATATTTTTATCCAAAAATTTAATTTTATTTATTTTTATATGAAAAAAAAAAAAAAATGTGTATTAATTTCTTTTTATTAAAATTAAATTAAAATATTATATATATATATAACTATAATAAATATTTTAATCAATAACATTATCTAAAAAAATTCACAAAAAATAATCAGGAACTCTTCTATTTTCTTTCCCTCCTTCATCATTAGTAGCAGATTCATATTAAATACTTTAAAATTTAAGTATAGTTAAATAAACCAAAAAAAAAACAAAAATATAAAATATAAAAATTAATATACTAACTTAAATTCATATGTTCATCAATATCTAATATAGAACCTTAATTTCCACATCTGTAACAATAATTAGGGGCTGAAAAAATAGTAACGACAGATTTTTCATGGGTTTATTAATATCCCTTTTATTATATTATTTAAATAAAAATACAAAAAAACAAACAAAATTACTTCTAATATTAACTAATGTGCCCTTGCTATTTATTTTATATTGTTACTATGGTTGAATTATTCTGAAATATCTTATCCAAATGTATATCCCGCACCTCTAGGGGAAACACCCCATCCTATATAAAATAATTATATTAATATTCATAAATACAATATAATAAAAAAAAAAAAAAACCGGATCTTTCATCAGGGTCAGACCATAATAAATCACACATAGGACCTTCACTTGGTACATCTTAAATTCTTTCAATTTATCTAATATGATCTAAACTATCAATAAAAGGAGAGAGTCCTCCATGTAAACAAAAAAACTAATATTATAAATAATTATATATTTATTTATTATAAAAAAAACATGGCTTTCAATCATTGCTGTTAAAGGAAGAAACATAAAAGCATCTGTAAAATAATTCCATATATTATATGTAGCATATTTTCTCATACATTCATCGTAAAAACCATAACTTTATGTAATTTATCTACTTTCGTGATTCCCACGAAGAATTATTATTCTATCTTTATATCTAAGTTTTAATAAAAATAATAAAGTTATGCATTCAACACTATGATATCCTAATTTTTTTTAATTAAAAATATATAAATATAAAAATATTTATATATATATATATAAATATAAATATATTTATATATATATATATATATGTATATTAATCTAACATATATAGAAATTATAAATATAAATTTTTAGTTGCTAAGTTAAAACATATACATTTCAAAAAAATTCACCTCTATCAACGTAATCACCCATAAATAAATAATTTGTTTCAGGACAATTTCCAGCTATTTTAAAAAGTTCTAATAAATCATAAAATTACCCATGTATATCTCCACAAACAACAACTGGTACTTTTACGGGTAAAACGTTTTATTCATTTTTTAATATATCTTTTAACTTTTATATTTATATTTTTTTTTTTACAAATAAATTATTATTACTTATTCACATAAAATTTTTATTTCCTTTTCAGGAAGTAATTTCACTTTTTTCACATATTCTATTTAATTATCAATATTTTAAAATGACATATTTGTATTTTTTTTTTTTTTTTTATATATATATATATATTTTATTTGTATATTTTTTATTAAATATATAGAATAATATTTTTTTTTTATTTATAAAATAATTAAATCATATAATTAATTAATAATATTATCAATTTTATTTAAATTTTCTATAATGAATACGACCATGTTTTATGCCTAAAAATCCTAAAAAGAAAGTTGAAAACCAAATAAGGATAGAAAAAACATTTTTTAAAGATCCTTCTTAATTTAAATTAATAAAATTAAAGCTAAAAGTAAATAGAAAAGGTAATAAAATAATAAAAAAAAAAGCAGAAAATAAAAAATAATTATCGTAAATTTTTTAGATTTTCATACCATCTATTTACCCTGTGATTAACAAATTTAAAACTTGCTATATTTTTAAAAAAATATATATTTATTTGATATAAAAAAAAAAACTTATTTATATTCATCAAAAAAAGTGCCAAAAATATATCTTTTAATAGATTAAATATTATCATTGAATATACCATATATTGTTCTCTATCCAGTTCTATAAATTTATATAAATATATATACAAATAGTAAAATGCTATATATTTAATATTAATCTATATAAATTTATGTTTCTGAGAAAAAATTTAAAATATAGAATTTTAAATAAATATAAGAGATTAAAATATTAAAATTTTTTATATATATAAAAAATATTATTAATAAAAAAAAAATCATTAATATGAATATGAAAAACTATGAATATTAACATAAAAATAAAATAATATATATATATATATATATATATATATATATATATATATATATATATATATCTATTTATATATATTATTTTTAAACCTTGTTATATCTGTTTTTAAAGCATTTGTTCCTGTATATAAAATACTTATAGCATTTGCATTATTAGTCCATGCATCTTTTAATAGTTAATCAAATTCTATTGGTAATATATTAGAATCTGAATTCATAATTTTTTGTTTTTTAAAAATTTGTAAAATATTATACTTAGCAAATACACATTAAGTAACATTTGCCCTATCTAAGCAATCTAAGCAATTTACTCTTAGTATTCCTTTTTATTTATCCCCAGAATTTAATTTAAAATAGTGAATTTCGTCTAAACTAGCTTTTATTTTATCTATTATTTAATGTATTTATTAAGCACCTTCATAATGAAAATCATGCCAAAGAAAGTTTATTTTTTAAGATTCCTCAATATTGTATTTAAGGACTAGATTTTCATAATATAGACCTAAATTTAATTCATGGTTCTTCTTGTCTATAAGATTTATTATTTATATTTATTCAAAGGAAGAATTTTACATTTTTAAATCATTTATATGTTTTTTTAATATTTCCTTATTTTTTGTATCTTCTAGTATTATTTAAGGTTTAGGAACAGGCTCTATATTAGTTTTTTACACCCATTTAAAAGGCATAGAACCTCTAAATTATACAAAACTATATACATTATCATCAATTTTTAATATTTATTCACTTTCACAAGCATTTGATACGTTTCCGTCTTCATCAGAACCTCTAGATATAAATCTCATACCAAACCTTCTTTTATCTTTTCTTGTTATTAATGTATATGTGATTTTATTTGACTTTTATTTATATATATATATATATAATTTTTTATATTCATTATTTATTTTTTATTATACATTTATTATATGTTCGAATTATTAAATATAACCACATATAAAATTTTTTGTGCAAGATTTGAATTCTTTTTATTGGATATATTCGTTGTATATGTAATTTGTTCGAATTTAGTTTTAATTTTAGAGTGTATTTTCTAGTTTATAGTCTTCTGAAAAATAAAAAAAATTCGATTAAAACATTTTTTAGAGAGAATCTATATATTGCTAATCGTTTTATTGAATTCTATATAAATTATTAGTATTATTTTTTATTTATGCATTTTTTACTTTTATTATTTATTAAGTGGATAAAATTCCATTTATTTTAATTAAAATATTTTATTGTTTTATATTTAGGCTATACAGGTTGCATCACTAACATATATTAAATATTCACTTTCTAATAGCTTTATTTAGCCATAAATTGCATAGAAGGATTTTTTTATTTCTTATATATCTATTTCTTACTAATTAGTTTCATTATTTTATATATGACTATAATTTTTTAATTTAAAATAAAGAAATATATATATATATATATATATATATATATATATATATTTAAGTTTACTATTTTATAATATCTATTCCATTCATTTATATTATTATAGTATTATTTACGTATTTTATTAAATTTAAATCTGGATTTATCGGAATATTCATTTTATATAATAATGATAATTTTTTTTTAATAAAATATTATTATTAAATAATATATAAAATCTTTAATAAATAATATAAAAATAAAATTATATAGTTTAACGTGAAATAATAACATATTTATCATGTTTTCTTAATTTTTATTAATTTGAAAATCCACCTAAGTTTTATTTATAAAATAATTTTTTTTAAATATAGACTTTTTTTTAATATAATAATTTTAAGAATTTAATATAAAATATTCTAATAAAAATGTTGGTATTAGATTTTCGAATATATAAGATAAATCGTTGAATTTCTATAATTAACTAATAAAAAATATATTATTAAATAGATCAAACAATAAATTTTAATTCTTTATGAAAAAAAAAATATTTATTTATTTAATATATCTCTAAATGAGAAAAAACTAAATGCTTTAAAAAAAAAAAAAAATTATAATGATTTTATATTGTAGAAAAAAATAAAATAAAAAGAATTTAAGATTATCAATTAAAAATAGATATAATGTAAAAAAAATATTGAAAAATAAAAAAAAATATTTAAAAATATAAAAATAAGATTATAAAAAAAAATATAAAAATAAACTTTTATTTTAAAAAATATTACAAAATATATAAATAAAAATAAATATATATAATATATAAAATAAAAAAAATTATTTATATAAAATATAATAATATGCAAAAAAAATATAAAATTAAATTTAAATTGATAAAATATATTATATAAAAAAAATATAAAAATATATATAAATATTAATATAAAAATATTTATTAATGCATATAAAAAAAAAAATATATATTTATATATATATATATATCTTTATAAATTTTATATTTATTTATAAATAATTTTTATTTGAATTTTTACACATACATATAATTATATATATTAATATACATATTTTTTTACATTTAATGATATAATTAATAATTATTTTTAATCTTTATTTTTTAAAGGATATTTTTATATTTTTATGAATTTTTTATTCTATTTATTTAATAATTCTTCTTTTAAATTTGTTTTTAAGCCCAATAATGACATTAATTTTTTTATTCAATTTTTGTTTTTTTATGATTTCTATAATCTTTTATTATATTTATTTATTTTGTATCAAATAATAAAGTTTTTTAAATAAATTATAATGTTTTAAGAATTGATTTATTTTTTATAGATATTCAATATAAAATATTTCTAATATTTTAAAAATTCTAAAAGAATTTTTTTTATTCAAAATATCATTATTTTTTAAAATATATAAAAATTATATAATAACTCATAAAATATGGTTATTTAATTATATAGTAAAAATAATATTAGCAATTTTATATTATTTAAATAAGATATTTTATTATATTATTTTAATAATTATTTATAAATAAAATTAAATATTGTATTAGTTTATATTATTTATATCAAATTAAATTTTATAAAATAAAGGAATAAAACTAAAAATAATAATAATATTATTTAGTTTATTTTCAAGAAATAAGTTATTAATAAAAAATCATATTTATAATAAATTATTATATATATATAATTAATTAATTTATTTTATATAAAAAATCATGGAGATTGTTTGACATTTATATTATAATTTTTTTCATATTCATAAAAGCTATTATTAATTTAATTTTCACCAATAATAGTAGTTGCTGTTGTGTTAAAATTTTCTTCAATTTTTATTTTTTTATAACTCAATTATTCTAATAGTTATTATCTTTATTCTTTTTTTCTTTATTTTAATTATTTTTTAAATTCCAAATTAGGATTACTTTATTTAACATTTGTTTCGTAAATATATTTATTTTCTTAGGTTTATATAGGTATTATTATTTTGTTTAATGCTTCATTCCATTTTTAATTTCCTAAATTTTAAATCTCAGAATAATAATTTTTTAACTATTCTAAACTATTTAAATATTATATTTAACAATGTTGGAATTAATATAGTATTATATATTTATAAAGATTTCTAAATTATCTAAAAATAATAAATATATATATAAAAATATATATATATATATATATATATATATTATATTATATTATATTATATTATATTATATTATATTATATTATATTATATTATATTATTCTTATTATGTCAAAGTTTTTTTATTATTACATGTTATATAATGTGTTGATTAAATCTCTTATTGGCTTAAAGAAAATTAACTTTTTCAAAATTATTATTAATATATAGTTGTTTATTTTAAGAATTGTTTTAGATGTCTAAAAAAATATTTATCTTAAGTTTATTTTATTTTTTTTACTTGCATTTTTTATATGATTTATAGCTTGCTATTCCGTATATCCTGCTTGATGATCGAATTGTGTAGCTTGGCATTTTATAAATATTTATTTATTACTATTCTATTTATTATAAAATTTAGTTTAGATTGATTTTTTTTACTTCTTCTTCAGTTAGGTTTATTGATTTATATATTCTTATTAAATTAAAGTATTAATTCCATTAAGTTTTACTATCATTTAGAGTATAGTTTATTTAGTGTTAATCTAAAATATGTTTTTCTAAAGAAAAATATATTTTGCAATATTAGCATTAATAAATTGATAGATCTTAGTTTAATCTTCTTAAATAACTTTAAATATAATTAATATATATATATATATATATATATATATATATATATATATATATTTTTTTTTCGTTTTATTTAATTTTACTTGCAATATTAAATATGTTTTTTTATTTGTTTTTCTGTAATTTCAGCTGCGTGAGGTACTTTTTAATAAACACATTAAATAACTTAATTTTACATATTTTTTTTTTTTTAATTATTTAAGTTTAGCTAAAATATTAATTTTTTTTTTTTTTTTTGAGAAGGGGGGGGCGGGGAAATTTTAAGAAAATATTTAATTTATTATTAAAGAGATTTTTTTATATTATTAAATTAAAATAATATTTTTACTGAATAAAAAACACTCTAATATAATTTGGAAAATTCAATAAGTAATTATTAGGAAATTGAAAAATATAGAAAAAATAAAGAAATATAAAAAATAAAAGACTTAAATTCATTAACATAATTTTTTGAAATATAAGAATATTTATTTAAATATATATATATATATATATATAATATATATATATATATATATATATATATATATATTAGATAATAATAAATAAAAGATAATTATTATTTATACAATATATATTTTTATTTTTATAAATACAATCATCCTTTAATTTTTTATAAATTTTATATTCAAATATTATTATTAATTATAAATATTTCATCTAATAAACTTTATAAAGGATTTCCATATTTAAAAATTTATTTAACTTCTATAAAAAGAATTTAAAAATTTAATACTTTTAATAATCCATTAATAAAATATTCATTATTTTCCTAAAGTTAGCATTATATGTCTGAAAATTCTAAATCAATTATAAATATGTATTAATTAGATTGAAAAATCGCACATTTATAATGAGAAATTTACTAATTATTTTAATTTGTATTTATTAATTAAAAAAACTTTTTTTGTGCAATATTTATATTTTAAATATTTGATATTTTATTAAAAGTTTATTAAAGTATATTTTTATCGAAAAAATTAATAAATTTTCCATATATTCTTACAGGTTAAGGGTTTTATTCTGTTTAATTAATTGTATTTTAAATTATTTATTCAATATTTTATTAATTTATGAATTTATAAATAGGATATTATGTGTATTATTTCATTTTTTTTTATAATTTTTATTTTTTTATATTATTTGTGAAAAGATTTTTTTTTTATTATTTAACAAAAATTTAATAAAAATGAATTTTTTATAATTTTATAAATTAGTTTTAGATTAAAAAAAAAAAAAAATATTTTAAATTATTTAATTTTTAGTTATTTTTTTTTTTTTTATTTTTTTAGAACAAAAAAATAAAATGAAAATCGGATTTTTTTAAATGCTAAAAGTAACAGAAAAATAAAATTTATATATTTTATTACATATAAGCCCAATATTAAAACTTAAACACAAAACATTAAAGCAATAAATAATTCAATAAAATTAAAATTCAAGACGAAGACATAAAAAAAGTATATTATAGACCCGAATACTGTATGAAATTTATTAAAAATCAAAATATTGACCGAAAAAAAAATTCATTAGATAAAAAAGTCTCACTAACAAGATATAGAAAAATAAGATAAACGCATGAAAAATTGTCTTTTGATAACTAATAAAATTATTACATTAAAAAGAACTAAAGAATGCGTATTAATATTTTACTTGTGGTAATGGATAAAAAAAAGGAATAATAATCAAATATTTAACTATAAGTAGTGTTTATAGAATGGATGTAAATAAAGAGCAATATTTTATTTAACTAATTTTAGATATAGATATTGAAATAAAGTAAATAAGATTAACTTAAAAGACTAAAATGTGGATATGGTGAAATATTTTATGGTAGTTCATTATTTTGAATATAATAACGTAAAAAATTAAGAAATTAAAAGGTTTTATGGAAGGGTATTTATTTGTAAGAAAACAGGATATAATAACAATAATTATTAAATAAGAAATTATTGTAAATATATGTATGCATAAATAATTAAAAGATATAAAAAATGTAATAAGTACTATTATAAAGAAAAAATAAATTAATTAAAAAAAGAATAAATAAAATCATGTTATGAATAATCTTATTAAAATAAATAATATAAAGTAAGTATATCATTAAGTTTTTTATTAAAAATGAAAATAAAAATATATAAATAATAAAAAATATAAATATTATTAAAATAATAAAAATTAAAAAAATATTAAAATTATATATTAATAATAAATTTTCATAAGAGAGTATATATAAATAATAAGATTAAGAAAATTATAATAATAAAATATTAAAAAAATAATAATAATAATAATAATAATAATAATAATAATAATAATAATAATAATAATAATAATATTATTAATTATATTTATATTTATATTTATTATATTATTAATAAAATATTTTATTAATAATTAAATTAAATTAATAATTTAGTCATTTATTTTTAAATATATATAAAAATTATATTGTAAGTGCTTATTATATTTATTTATTTTTTATTTTATTTTTAAATAAAAAAATTTTTTTATAATAAAACTTTTGAAATTTAAATAATAAAAAAAAATTACAATCAAAATCTATTTTAATAATTATTAATATTAATGACAAATAATTATTCTAAGTTACTTTATTATAAAAACTTTATTATTTTAATATTATTTAAATAAATAATATTTAGAATTTATATATCACCTTTTTATTAATTATATATTTATGTTTATTTAATTATTAAATATAAATCTTATTTATATATATATTTTCATTATTATATATAATATTAAATCCAATAATTATATTTATTGTTTATTATTAATTTTCAATTCTATGCTTAATTAATTAATATTTTATTTTTTTAAAAAAAAATTATTATTTCTATATTAAATAAGAGAATCAATTTTTTTTAAAGCTGCACATACAACTAGAAATTATTGAAATGTCAGTATTTAAAATTTTTTCATCTAAAATATTTTTAAACTTGCTAGCTTATTCTTTTTTTCCTTATTATATTAAACATTTATATAAACCAACTAAACTCCATATATTATTAGGATGAGCAACTGATCTAATAACTCCTTCTCCTAAATCTTATCTATAAACCAATTCTGCTTCTTATATATAACTTTTATTTTTATTATCTATTCCACATTCTAATAATAAAGCTCCTAATGCATGTCTTGTTGGAATCATCCATCCTTTTTTGTTTTGTTTAAAATGTTATTTTAAATAAAATAAATAATAAATTTTACCCCAAGGCTATTTCAAATTTATTAAGAGTTTATTTTTTATATATATTTATATTTTTTATTTTTATATTTATTTTTAATTACTTCATCATAAGGTAAATTATCGTCTTTTTAAACTGCGTTTCTTAAATATTGGAAAGCCTTTTGATAATTTTAACACCTATATTCGTATTCTCCAATAATCATATCATGTGCAACTGCAAGAACATCTTTCATATTACAATTATGTAAAAACCTATTATTACCGATTTAATTAAATGCCTAATTGAATAAGTCAATTTGTTTTTAGGCTTTGTTAAGTAAATTATTTTTTTCATTTAAATTTTTTCCAGCTAAAACTGAATATGCAATTCCTTTTGAATAATATAAAGTAGCAATTGTACTTTAATATAAATCTGGATTAGAAAAAACTTAATTTAATGATAAAAATTATCCAAAAGGCTCATCTTTTATTATTTCTTCCCATTTACCAAATCTTATATATACATGAAGTATTATAGGAACAAAACTTTCAAGCCGAAAAGCAGTAGAAGGAAAAAAAATAGAAGAATTATCTTTTAAGCAATTTATATTTAAAATTTGTAATAAATACTCGCCTCCTTTATAGGATTTTTCATATTGTCCTGCAAACATAGCAGAATATATTAATAAAGTAATATTGTGACATATAAAACCAATATAAGAACAAAAGCTTGGATATTTTTATTAATTTCTATATTAAAAATATTTTTCATCATTTTTAATAGCTAATTCATTTACTTTTATTGATTCTTCGTATTTACCACATAATATATAAATATGAGATGGCTTTAAGAAATTATATGTATAATAAATATATAAATAAATATAGATATATATATATATATATATATATATATATATATATATATATATATATATATATTAATATTTATATATTATTTTTTTACCATATGATTTAAATGTCCTGAATCTGGTGATAATTAAATCAAAGATTTATTAAAATTTTATTCTAAAGCTTTTTCTGGATAAGGTGATTATTCCATCAAATGAATCCATAAATGTCTTAATCCTAAATGATCTTAATTATATTCTAAACCTTTTTCTAAGACTTCTTTTATTTCTAATGTATCTTGATAAGGATCGCCATATTTTAGACCATTTTCTTGTTTTTATACCCACAAATTCCAAGGTCTTAAATTCATTAATGATTCTGCAAATATTTCAGCTATGAAATCATCTTAGGGATATTTTTTGTATATTTTTCTCATTTTATTTGCAAAGTTTATATCGTTTTATTTATGTAGAAGGCTTTTGCCATTTCCGACTTTATATTGAAGAGCTTATATTAAATCTTTTTCTTATTCTGAGCATTTTTCTTTATTTTCGTTTGCTTTTTTCCAGCTTTCATGTTGATTATGTGCTTGGATAGGGTTTAGATATTCAGGACAGTTGTTATAATTTATTCCTTTTATATATTATTTTGTACATATATATACATGAGTATTTTTTTCTTATATTTAATTGTACCTTATGCTATGGATTTTAAAAAGTAAATCATAGCACAATTTTAGTCATATTCTAATGCTTTTTCACAGCAATTCAAGGTTTCTTCATGATTAAACGAATACATTTACAATAATGCACGGTCAAACCATATTTATGTCTCTTTTTTAGATGTTGTGATTCTTTTTGTATATTATCCTAAGTTAAAGGGATAATAATCTTACATATTTTTATATTTTGTATTTATACTAAGTAATTAATATAGTATAATTTTTGTTTAATTTTTATAGAATTTTTTTGTTTAGTTTTGAACTTAATTTTATATTATTATATTTATAATTGTTTAAAAAAAATTATTTTTATAATTAAAGTTTTTATAGATAAAATAAATTTTAATTATATTATTAAATATATTATATTTTTTATTCAAAAAAGTAAAAATCTTAATTATTTAAAAATAATTTTATAATATTTTAAAAATATATAATTTAATTTTTAATTTATAAGAAAAAAAAAATATATAAATTTTATTTTTTTATAATAAGAATAATATTAATAATTAAATATTTTTTTTATTATTAAAAATTAAAATAAAATATTAAGTTTTTTAATTTAGATTTAAATAATAGTTATAATAGTGTAACATATATAAACAACAAAAAACATATAAAAATTATTATAATTATTTTTAGTTTATATAATTATATAAATATATATAATTGTTATTAATAGTATATAATTATAAAAATGATATTATTTTTAATTTTATTTAAAGATATTAATTTTTTTTTAAATTAATAATTATAATATTATTAATTTAAAAATAATTCTATAAATATAATAATTTAAAAATATATATAATTTCATTTTTTTATATTAATTTATAAATAAATATAATTAAATTTTTAGAAAAAATTAAATTTAATTATTTTATTTTATTTATATATATATATATATTTATTTATATATATATATTTATATATATATATATATATATATATATTTTTATTTCTATCATATTTTTACATATGATTAATAATTTAAATCTTTTGATTATTACAATTAATAATTTATTTATTTTTTAAAAAAATAATTATCTTGATTAAATATATTTAATTTTATAAATAAATCATGAAATTATTTATATTATTGTTTTTAAATGAAAAAATTTATTTTATATATATAATTATTATTATTTTTTTTATATTACTTTTCTATTTTAATATTTAATTCATTTATAAATAATTTATTATTATTTACATATTTTTATGTTTTTTTCCATCAATATTTAATTTTATAAATTTTTGTTTTTTTATTATTATTCTTAAAATATTTTTATTTTTAATTTATAATCATTTTAATTTTATTTTATATTTTTATTAAAAAAAAATTATGCTTTTTAGATATTTAAATTTAAACAAAATTAAATTATATGTAATTAGATTATAATTAAAAAAAATATACATTTTTATTATTTAATTTTATTACAGGATAAAATTTTATATACAAACTGTATAAAAATAATGTAATAAAAAGAAAAATTTTCATAAAAGGAAAGCATTTTTTGAAACCCAATTTTGTGGATTACATACTCTATATTAATGCTTAGAAACAGGATAATATTAACTACTAAAATCAAAGTTGTTAATTATTTTGTAATTTTATATCATACCTGTATGAAAAAATCTATCTCCAAGATTTTTTTCTAATTCTTCCTTTTATTTTATAAAAAATATAATTAAGTAATAAAATAAAAAAAATATTTATTTAAATTAAATAAGATTTAAAAAAAATAATATATTGTTTTAAAATAAATAAATTAATCTATAAATTAAACAATATATTTATAATTTATATTAAAAAAAAAAATATAATAAAAAATAAATTGAAATAAATATATGTAAATATATATATAAATATATATATATATTATTTTATATTATTATATAATATATTTATTATATTATATTATATATTTATTTTATTTACTTTTTCTTTTTATTTTTATTTTTCAATTTTTTCAGCATATGTTTCTTCTTTTTTTATATCCTATTAATTAATAATATTTTTTATATTATTTATAAATTATTACATGATATTTATCTTAATTAATCTTTTATTTATTTTTCATATTTTTTTTTCAAAGGTTTTTAATAATCCATTTAATTATTTTCATTTTGATTTTTAATAAAAGGATTAAAATCTTTATTAACAAATTCATATAATGGTTTTTATTTTTTCTAAATTCCCATTTTAGTGGACATTTATAATTTCTTCATAGGCCCAAAAGAAGGAACCCTTATAATTTTTTAATTTTCTAAAGCCCTAATAGAGCTAATTTAATTAGCTTTATTCATATTTTTTGTAAAATAGGCTCCTGGTACCCATAAAACATCATTTTATTATAACCCTTCTTTAGGTAATTAAGGATGTAACATAAGCCTTATTTCACTTTAATTTTTTAAAAGAATTTCTTTTTCATCTTCATAATCATCATTTATAAAATCTTATTATATATTATTATTTTCGTTTTTGAAAAAATTATTTTAGGAATTCTCTTTTCTAGTATTAGTTTATTATTATAAATTTCTATTTTTTTTATTATTAAAAGCAGTTTAAGGTCTTTATATAGTTTTTATATATTTAGATTCTACTGTAGGCTTTTATTTTAAGTTTATTTAATCAAACTATTACATAGAAGGAACATTTCGAACATTAAAGGCATTGTTTTATATTATTAAGTCTTCTTTTTCTAATCTTTTCATGGCAAAACCAGAATGTCTAAAACAAGGATTTGCTTATTTTTTTTTTTATTCTTAAATAAATAAAGCGTCGTTTTTAGCAATTAAAATTTATTCAAAAGTATTAGAAGTTTATTCATTTTAATTTTTTACATCTTTTATTGGTATAGATCTTTAATTTATATAATATATTAATAAACAAATATGCAAATGTGCGAATATACAAAATATACAAATATACAAATAGACAAATATACAAAAATACAAATAAAAAAATAAACAAATATATATATATAAATAAAATATATATATATATATATATATATAATTATATATATTAATATATATATTTTTTTAATTACCTTTTTCCACTTTTAATTTTTTCTAATTAATGTTTAACAAAATTACAAAAGATTTGTATAGTATGCGGATATTTATGTGACAAATTAAATTAACATCCTAATGTAAATTCATTTATTTCTATTATTTATACAGTAAACTTAGATTCAGCAAGTACTGTATATGTTTTTTAAGAATTGATAAATGCTATTGGATGTGCATCCCAGCTATTTTTGGAAGGGACAATAAATTCAAATTCACAATCTAGTAAAGCATAATGGTTCATAAATATTTTTTTAATATAACATATACAATCGTTTTTTTATGATTCGAATATTTTCTATAAATTTTTATGTTGTTAATTCATTCGATGAACTTCAGTCTTCATTACTAGCTTTCCCAAATCTAGACTTTCTTATGCTGCTTTTCTATAATGTAAACCTGTGTTTCTTGATGGCTTCCATTCCTTATTATCTATATCCCATTAATACATATCACCAGATATCTTAAATTTATATATATAATTATATATATAAAATATATATATATATAAATATTTATATATAATATATTTATATTTATATTTATATTTATATAAATATATTTTTATTAATTTATATAAATATTTATATTTTATTTTTAAATAAATTTTACATTATCTAAAAAATAATCATTATGACCATTTGGATATTGTTTTTCAATTTTATTAGATTTTAAAGAAAGTCCGTTTTAACCATTAACTATGTTTACTTGCTTTTAAGTAAATTTATTTATTTTTTTTATTTTTTTATTTACTTATTCTACATCTGAAGATATTATATATATTAAACATTACATTGCAAATTAAGATGCCCATAAAATTTTATTTGTATTTAAACAATTTTTTATAAGCATTAAAAACTATTTTATGCATTTTTTATATTAAAAATAAATAAATTTATAGGTTATTGCTTTATTTATTTATATAAATTCTATACATTTATTGCTTTAGGGGACCACGGCCTTAAATTTGCATCGCCTTCAATAAATACCATGTCTATGAAATCAAAAGATTTAGCAGCTTCTTTTGTTAAGAAATTGCCACTTTGCTCGTATAAAAAATCACCTATATTTGACCTATCACATACAAAAAATTCAGTTTCGGTATCCATTAAGTTTTTTTATCTTAAAAAAAACTTTATTTTTTTTGTTAATATAAATTTCGTAATATGATTTCTAATTTATATTTGTTACTTCTTTTATTATTTATTCAAATTCTTAAAATAAACGAAATCCTACTTCTGTTTGAGAATATGCATTTACAATTAATATTTTCATTTATAAAAAATAATAAATAAATAATAATTAAATACAGTTTTTTTTTTTTTTATGTAAATAAATATATATATATTTATATATAATATTTTTAATTTAATATTTAAATATTTTTTTTGTTTTTTTTATAAATAAAGAAAATATTTTATTAAATAAATAAAATATAAATTAATTTATTATTAATACTTATAATATTTTATTATTATAGTTATTTATTTTTTCAAAAAAAGAAAAAAAAAAAGAAAAAAAAGAAAAAGAAAACAAAAGAAACAAAGAAACTCTTTTTTTTATTTATTAAAAATAACCATTAAAAAAAATAAAAATAAAAAAAAAATCAAATGTATGAAATTAACAAAAAAAATCCAAAAACAAAAATTATTGATTAATCAAGTTTATAATTAGAAGAATAATTAATCACTTTAGAAAATTAAAAACTTATTCCTTAAAATATATACGTTCATTAAGGTTCTAGTATAAAAATATAAATAAAAAATAGCAATAATGATTCTAAAATGAAAGAAAATTATTAAATAATAATACCCAAAATGAAAATAAATTAATAATATTAAGGAAATTTTTTTAATTTCGAAGTAAAAGAAGAAGGAGAAATAGAATATATCATATAAAATAAATAAGAAATAATAAAAGGAAAGATTTTTGTTTATGATATAAATAAAAAAATAGAATAATATTAAATGAAAAAAGAGGTAAATAACGAAAAAATTTGTATTTAAAATTTTATGAAAAAAATAAAAAAACTTTTATCAATTATTAATTTTTTTCTTTAAAAATAAAATAAAAAGGAAGATGAAAAAATAAGAATATTTGAAGAAAAAATTAATATTTTATTATAAAAAAAAGAATAAAAAATTTAAGAAATTGATTAAAGATTTGAATGTTATACTATAATTTCTGAAGAAGATACACCTAATAATAAAGAAAGTTAGTATTCTTTTTTTAAGAGAAATAATAGTTTTGCTCATTAAATAGAAAATAATAGGAATAATAATAAAGTTTATAAAAAAAAAACAGTAAATAAATATTATCCATCTCCTGCTAAATCAGCAGAATCGACAAGAAACTCAGATACTACAAAATAATGGTCTTAAAATGAAGATTTTGTAAATGAACATTTTTTGAATTAAAAAAGTTTTTTTCTTTTTTAATAAAAAAGAAGAGCATCAATGGATTAAACTGCATAGGAAATTAAACAAAATAATAATAATAATAATAATAATAATAATAATATTAATAATAATAATAATAATAATAATAATAATAGTAATAATAATAATAATATCATAAATATTAATAGTAATAACAATAGCAATATTAATTGTAATAATATTATAAATAATGAGGATAATAAATTAATTAAAAAATAATAAATGGGAGTTAATTAATTTCAAAAAAATTATAAATAAAATATAAATTAATTTTTTAAAAAATAATTTGAATGTTCGACATTATTTAATTAAGATTCAAAATATAATTAATTATTGAAATTTAAAGAATATAATTAAAATAATGTTATAGATGATGTAAATTTAATAAACAGTATATTAATAACAAGTAAATAAAAAAATATATTTATATATATATTTATATATATATATATATATAATTATATATATAATATATTTAAAAATTATATATATATATTTTATTTAATTTTTACTAATAATTATTTAATTTAACATATATATTATATATTATATTTTTTTTATTTTTACTTTATTTTATTTTTTTATTTTTTATTATTTTTAATTAGTTTTATATATATATATATATATATATGTATTTTAAAAAAAATATATAATTACTTTATATTGATTTTTAATTTATATCAAAATTTCCGTAAAAAACATATTCTCATTTTTTTAACATTTTTTTTTTTATAATTATTTTAATATTAATTTAAAGTTTTATAATTTTTTTTTTATTGATTTTATTTTAAAAATAAATAACATAAGAAATTAATTAAATTCTATTTAATATTAATATTAAGAATAATAATATATAAATCTTCTTATTTTCTATTTTATCTTATTTTTTTATTATTATTTATTATATTTATATATATTTTATTTTAGGATACAATATTGAATAGTGGATGGGATTTGATGAATGATATATTTTATTTTTTTTAATATATTTTTGTTTTGTTTTCAAGATAATAAATAATTAACACACAATTTTAATTTATATTTAATCCATATTTTGTATTAATTTTTTTTTTTTGTTAAAATTTTTTTTCCATTTTTATATAATATTTAATAAAAAATACTTAAAACATTTTTTAATTATAAAATGGATTAGAAATATAAATTATTAAAAATGAATAAAACAAAATAAAAAATAATAAATAAAATATAAATAAATTTCTTTTTCAATAACAATAAAATTCAATCTATATCAAAATTAAATTAAATTATCAGCCGTTCTAAAATTAAATCCAGTAGATTATCTTACTTCTTCCAAAGTGAATTCTTTAGCAATTTCTGTACAGACTAATTCCCCATTCCAATTTCTAAAAACAGCTTTTTCAGTGATTAATGTATTAACTACACCTTTGCCAGTTAAAGGTAAAGTACATTATTCTAAAACTTTAAATTCTCCATTTTTATTATTATGTTCCATTAAAACTATTACTTTAGATTTACAAGATACTAAATCCATTGCCCCACCCATTCCTTTTACTAGTTTTCCCGGAATAATCCAATTAGCAATATCACAATATCTACTAATTTACATCGCTCCAAGCATTGTCATATCTAAATGGTCACCTCTAATTATACCGAAAGATGTACTAGAAGAAAAAGTACTAGCTTACGGTAATAAAGTGATTGTTTCCTTTTAATAATTATATAAAAAAAGGCTCATTTTATATTAAAAATACCTTCCCTGCATTAATTATATCTGGATGTTCCTAGCCTTTTTTAGGATAAGGACCCACTCCATGTACACCTAATTCACTTTGGAGCATAATTTTAACATCTTTAGGTACATATTAGGGTAAAAGTGTAGGAATACCAATACCTAAGTTCAAATTCATGCCACTTTTGACCTCTTTTGCTGCTCTGGATACTATTTTATCCCTAACCTTATCTTTATGGGACTATTTTTCCTATTTAGGCTCATCAGATTTATCATAGACTAATTTTTCGAATTTTCTTTCAAACTTTTCACCTACGAAAATTCTGTCAACGAAAATACCAGGTGTATGGATTTAATCAGGATCCAATTCTCCATTTTCGACTATTTCTTCCACTTCTGCAACTCTTATTTTTCCTCCCAAAATAGCATCATCATTGAAATTTCGCGCCGTTTTATTATAATATAAATTACCTTTTTTATCTGCTTTTTAAGCTTTTACTAGAGAAAAATCGGCGTTAATAAATGTTTCTTCCATAATATAGGCTCTTCCATCAAATACTCTTCTCTTTATTTTTAATTATGTATGTATATATAAATTTTTATTACTTCTTTTGGTTAGGATGTTTATATAGGAATTGTTGAACCGTTTTTTCCATATTTTGTGGGTACATTACCGTATTCTACATATGTACCGACCCCTGTAGGTGTATAAAATGCTGGAATGCCTAATCCTCCGGATCTCATTTTCTCAGCTAGAGTACCTTGTGGTTATAGTTCTACTTCTAATTCTCCGCCACGGAATAATTTTTCAAAAACAGGATTTTCACCTACATATGAGGCGGATACTTTTCTTATTTATCCACTGGCTAGTAATAGGCCGAGTCCCCAATTCGATATACCTAGTTTATTTTTAATTTTTATTGATTTTTTTATGTTATTTATTTTTAGTTTACCGCATGTATTAGAACATACCCAGAGATCTTTTGTGCCCATTTTTAATATTTAGTTTATTGAATTTTCAGGAATTCCACATATACCAAAACCACCCATTAATATTTGATCGCCATCTTTTAATCCTTCTAAAGCTTCGGCTGATGAAGAGCATATTTTAGCATAATTTTTAATGGATTATATAGTCATGTTTTTTACTTTAGAGTGTTTTGTTATTAATTTTAGCATTTTTAATTTTTTTTTTGTTTAGATTTTTATTTTGAATATAATTATAATTATTTTTTTATTTGAAATTAAATTTTTTTTTTTTAGAATATATTTTTTATATTATTATAAAAAAAAGGTATGCATTTTTAATTATTATATTATTTTCTTATAATCTTTTTCTTTGTAAAAAAAATGTAGTTTGATAATTTATAAATAAAATAATAATATAATAATGATATAATCTATACATATATTTGTTATTATAAAATTAAAAAAATATATAATTATGTTTATTTAATAATATTCTTAATTAAAAAATATATCAGTAATAATTTATTATTCTATTAATTTATAATACAATTTTAATTTATATAATAATATGATAGATTATAATTGATAATATAAATTAATATCGAGATTTAAATTTATATTAAAAATGAAATTTAATTAAGGTATAAATATTAAAAAATAATAATATAATTTTAAAAACGAAAAGTAAAAAAAAATTATAAAATAATTATATATAAAATAAAATTAAAGAAATATATAGTAAATTATTATATATTTTAAATTAAATTTAAATATATAAATATATAATATATAAAAAATAAAAATAAATAAATATATTTAATTATATATATATATATATTAAATAATTATTAAATTATATATATTTATAAATACAATTCAATATATATATATTAATATAGATGCTTTAATATTTTCTATAATTTTTATTAATTTATATTTTTTTTTTTTTGAATTTATTATTAATATTTATTTTTATTTTTATTAAATCTCTTTTTATTTTTATAAATTAATAATAAGCAAATACAAATTATAAATACGAAATTAATAAAATAAAAATAATACTTTTAAAAAAATTTCAACCTTGAAAGAATAATCCTTTTACCAAGAGAATAAATAACAAAATTCTCAGAAAATTATATAAAAAAAGATCTCGAACAAAAAGTAAAAAAAAATCAAAAGAAAAAAAACAAATTCGTAAAAAAAAAAATTCATTACTTATATATATATATTTTTTTTTTAAATTAAAAATATTATATATACATAAATATAATAGTAAACCTTCAAAACAAAGTTCAAATATCGAATTAAAAATGGATTTAGAATAAGAAAAAAATATTTAATAAATACCATATATTTAGATAATCCCTGAAAATGATATTAATAATGTATAAATTTAAGAATAAAAATAAATTTAAGTATTAAAGGAATTAGATAATTTTTAAAAATCAATATTTAAAGATCCTAAGCCTAAAAAAAGAGATTTAAAGCTTGATTTAAAGTCGGCTTTAGAATTTATGACAAATGAATCACAAAGTGACAATTCTTAAAAGAAATTAAAAAGCCATTTTAATTTTAATTAAGAGGAATTATATTATGAGAAATAAAATAATTAATATGATAATTTTCATGAATTTAAATACTATTGTGACGTAAGTATGAAAAAATGTTCAAGAAAAGATTAAGAAGATAGGGTAAATTTTTATAATTAATATATAAAATATGAAATAATATTATATATAATAAAAATAAATAATTTTTACATTTAATTTTTCATTTTTTTATTAATAAAATTAAATATATATACATAAATAAAAATATATATTAAATGATTGTTATTTTTATTTTATTTAATTTTCCATTTAAAAATTAATATGAGTTATTTTTAAATATATAGAATATTTTTACAAATTTATAAATTTAAATCTCGTTATTATATATATTTAAAAAAATTCATATTAATTTTATATATTTACTTTTTTAATTTATATATATAAGCTATATGAAAAAAAAAATTCATATAGTTTCAAGCTTTATTTCCTATAGAATAATAATTAAAATATGATGCTTTTTTCGCAGTTTTTGATGGACATAGTACATCAGATATAGCCGATATTTTAAAGCAAAACTTACACAAATATATATATTAACACCCACAATATAATACAGATTTACAATAAGCAATAAAAGAAAGTAAAATATATATATATATATATATATATAAATTAAATATATATTAAATTTAATAAAGGTTTTAAAGAAATAGATTAGAAAATAATATAAATGTAAACATAATAGTCATTAAATTAGGGAGGAAGTACAGCTTTATGTTGTTTAGTAAAATAAGAAAATTTATATATAATAAATTGTGGAGATAGCACTTGTGTATTAGTTACAAATGACAATAATATAATATTTTTAAATTAATTACATAAACCTTCTGAAGAAAAAGAAATGGAGATGTTAAAAAAAAAAGGAGCAATTATTTTAGGAAAAAATCGTATAAATGGATAATTAGGTATTTCACGATCTATTGGAGATTCTGAATATAAAGAATTTATTACGTCTGAACCTGATATATTTACACATTAAATTTAAGAAAACTATAAATATTGTATTATGGCTACTGATGGTTTTTGGGATGTAATAAAATTTTATTATTATATATATATATATATTATATATATGTGTAGATTATTTAAAATTAAGAAGAATTATAAAAATTAATAATTGAATGGGATAATTAATAAAGTTTATGTGTAAATAATGTAAAACATATGTCAAAGTTTTTAATTGAATAGGCTTAATAGAAAAGTATATAATTTAAAAAAGATAATATGACACTTTTAGTGATTGATTTAAACTTTTTTTATAAATAAAATATTCTTAAATAATGCGATGAATCCTATTTTAAGGATTTTGGAATTATAAAACATTAGACTTAGGTTGTTTTGGATACATCAATTTCTTCATTTACTTTTTTCGAAAATATATCGCCGTGTATTAGTTTAAATTCTGATAAGAAAAGAAATGGGTTTAATATAAAAATACCTAATGAAAATATACATTCTTAGGATTTCCTAGATTCTAATAAAAAAATAAAATATTAAGAAGAGTAAAAATAAATAATAAAATTATAAAAAAGTAAAAAATATACAAATATAAATAGTAAACAAGAAGGTATATTATTTTTAAAAAATATGATTATATAATTTTATTTTTTTAAAAAAAATAAAATAAAGGAGTATCACCTTTCATATAAAAAACAGAAAAAAATCAAACAAAGTTTTATTTTGATTTTAAAGAAGGAACATAAAATATAGAAAATTAAAATAACTATAATAATTAAATAAAGGAAGAAAATAATAATCTTTTAAATATTGAAAATAATAATAAAATTAATGAAAACTTTTAAAAAATTGAATAAAATTCCCCTTTTTCTATTAAAATAGATAATTCTAAAAAAAAAGAAGGATTCACTTTTTTCTGAAAATTTTAATAATTTTCTTTTCTACATACTGACAATATATATAAGTTATATTTTATATATACATTTTTTTATTTTCAGCTATGATTATAAATGATTATTAAATATGTATATATTTATATATATATATATATATATATATATATATATATATATATATATAAATTCATTTATTTTAATTTTTTTTTAATAATTTAGATTAGATATTGTAATAATAAGAAATTATTTTAATTAAACCTAATTTTTTTTTATAAATTATAATATATTTATATTAAGTAAATAGAATTTATATTTATTTAAACTATATTATATACATATATGTATTTTTATTATATAATCATCTATTCATATATACATATTTAATTCAATATAAAAAAATATTTGATTAAACATATTATTATTTATTTTACTAATAATTTTATTAATATATAATTTTTTTCTTATAAAAAAATATATATATATATTTAATTTAAAAATTTAAAATATGATGAAAAAATAATTAATATAAAATAATATATAATTCATCATCAAATCTTAGTATAATCTAATTTGCTTTCAAGTTTTTTAGCTTCTTTTATTTTTCTTGCTGCTTTGAAAAAGTCTTCTTCTACAACATGATCTCTATCAACTCTAATAGCAAACATACCTTATATTATATTTAATAATATATATATTTATATATATAAAAATATAAATATTTAAAAAAAACAAAAATAATATATATATATATATATATATATATATATATATATATATATATATATATATTGTTTTCTTATTTATTATTTACCGGCTTCAGTACATACATTTCTTAAATCAGCTCCATTAAAGTCTTCAGTTAATTTAGCAAGTGATTCATAATCAACTTCACCTTTAATAGTAATTGAGTTAGCATGAATTTTAAGAATTTCTAGTCTTGAGCCTTCATTAGGTAATGGAATTTCTACTTTTCTATCCAATCTACCAGGTCTCATTAATGCAGGATCGAGTACATCAGGTCTATTTGTAGCCATAACTATTTTAACTCTCCTCAAATCATCAAAACCATCAATCTAATTCAATAATTCCATCAAAGTTCTCTATATTTCTCTATCAGCAGATGAACCTTCTGAAAATCTTCTACCTCCAATAGCATCAATTTCATCCATAAAAATTATACATGGTTCATTTTCTCTTGCATATGCTTTTATTTGAAATAAATAAAACCTATATATAAATTATTAAATTACAAAACATTTCTCTAATTACTCTAGCAGATTCTCCTATATATTTGTCAACAATACTTGATGCTACTACTTTTAAAAATTTTGCATCTACATTATTAGCTAAAGCTCTCGCAATTAATGTTTTTCCAGTTCCAGGAGGTCCATACATTAAACAACCCTAAATTATATAATAATATATATATATATATATATTTATATATATGTAGATATATATATATTTATATATATATAAATATAAATATAAATATAAATATAAATATAAATAGAAATATAAATAGAAATATAAATATTTATTTTTTTATTTTTTTACTTTAGGCGGTTTAATTCCTACCCTTTTGAATAATTCAGGATTTGTTATCGGTAATTCAATACACTTTTTTTTTTTAAAAAAATAATAAAATTAATATTTTTAACTTCTCTTAATTATCTTATTTAATCACCTAAGCCACCGACATCATTAAACGTTACCGAACCAGGATCTTCGTTTAACATATGATATACCATAGGATCTACTTCTCTTGGTAATATTCTCACTATAGTTAAAGTATTTTAATCTAATGATACTCTTGCACCTATATAAATATATTGTATGTTTGCTTAATACATTTTTATAAATATTAATAATAAAAACCTATTGTTAGTTTATTTCTATTTATTTTTTATTTAACTCCAACAACATATCTAGGTCCAGTTGATGATTTTACTATATCTATTAGTTTTTTATTAAATAACGATTAGTATTTTTTTTTACTTACATTTTTCTTCATTAATTTATTTTAAAACTTCTCCTATTGATTGACCTACACTTTAAATGGCTTTTAAATGATCTTCACTTCTATCTAAATCTTTATTAAGATCTTTTAATTCTTGTCTTTCTTTATTTTATTTATAGATTCTTTTTTTTATATTTTTTTTACTTTTCTTTATTTCAGTCTCATATTTATCATGATCTCTTTTTTTACGAAGATATTCTTAAACTACTGGATTATCAGTATTGCTCATTTTTATTTGGTATATTTTTTTATTATAATATTTTTAAAGTAAAATTTAATTTATATATATATATATATATATATATATATATTAATTTGATTTATATTTTTTTAAAGATCAGAGATATAATTTATTATTTCCTATTATATATAAGTATTTATATAAAAATTTCTGTAATTAAATATATTAATTAAGATTATATATTTTTAAATTAAATAAATACTTATTTTAAATAAATATATACAAATATAATTATATATAAATATACTTATATTTATAAATTTATTATTTTTCTATAATTTAATTATTTTTATAATAAAAATGAACTCAAACGACTATTTATTATAATAAAATATAATAATATAAACTCTTTAAAATTCAGAACTATTTCAAATAAATATAAAAAAATATAAATAATAAATACAAGAAAATAATATTCCTATTATAAATTTAATAATAGAAATAATTTAAAATAATTTAAAAAATAATTTCGAAAAGCCATTAACTTAATTAAATTCGATTCGTTTTTTAGAACAAACATTAGAATAATAATCTTAAAATACACTATATTATTAAAACATAGAAAAACAAATAATCCCTATATTGACATAAATTTGTTAATTGGATAAAAAAAACTTATTTGACAATCAATGGTAGTTTTATTTTCCAGAATAGCCTTTGTAATAATTAGCAAATATATAAAATATTTATTTTCAATTAATTTTAGAGTGTATTTTTGTTTGGTCTTAGTTTTTTCCAGGAAGTGATTTTGAAAAAAGTTATATTTCTTTATACAAATAGGGAATATCTTTTCCTAAATAATAAAATTATTTCAATAATGAGGATTTTTTTAATTTATATTTAAACTATAATTAATAGCAAAAATTATAAATGGAAATTATTGAATGTAAATAATTTTACGATAAAATACTTTTTTATTTTTCATAAAAAAATTAAGACAAAAAAATGATAAGTTAAATAAAAGATAAATGTTATTAATATTTGAAAACAATAATAAATATAAAAAAAAATATAAATGATAATATTATAAAAAATGAACTTATTAGTATAGAGTAGTTAATAAATAAAATTTTAAAAAATATTGAAGAAACTAATGTTTAAAATATTATTTAAGAAAAAATATAATAATAACAATAATAACAATAATAATAATAATAATAATAATAATAATAATAATAATAATAATAATTTTTAAATGATTAGTAATATTTAGATTAATATATAATCCAAGATGAATTAGAAGAAAAAAAAACTATCAATACTTATTAATTATCAAACTTTCGAAATATTAATTTTAGTTAATAGAAAAGAAGCAACTGTTCATTTTAAAAATTTATAAATAATGCTTCCTTAGAAAGTTCTAAATTATAATAAAGTAAAAGCTTAATGATTAAAAAATTTGATTTTCCAAGCAGTTATTATAAAAATAATTTAGGTTTAGGTAGAAATTTAATTATATAAAAAAATTATTTAAATAATAATTTAAAATATAATAATGATTTGTAAATAAATATTTTGTAATAAATAAATAAACTATAATAAGTATTATAAGAATTAGAAAAAGAAAGAAATATGTGGAAATGTAAATATTAATAAATATATAATTAATTAACTATACTAGAAAATGATATTTGATATATAGATATATATTTAAAACAATTTTTTATATAAAAATAATATATTATATTTAAATATATTTATTTTTTTATTCTTTTATTTTTTACTTATCTTGATTTTTTTATAAATAATAATTTTAAAAATTAATATATAAAAAAACTTATATATAATAATTATAATAAAAATACTAAAATAATTTTTTTTTAAATAATAAATTCAATTTATAATATATTTATCTGTAATAATTTTACTATCAATATCAAATTTTACAAGATTTTTATTATCGTCTAAGTTTGCAATTGCTAATGGTTTAATATTTAAATAAGTTCCACTTAATTAAAAGTATACATTAAATGGGAATAATTCATCTTCTTACACATTCGCTGAGAATTAAATTTAGATATTAGAAGAAGGAACATCAGAATTAATTACAGGAATAATATATTTAAAAAGATTACTTTTATTTTCTATTTAATAATCAGCATTTTCACTCTATGTAACACTAGGTTATTCTCCTGATGGATAATTAAAACAGACTTCAATATTTTTTAAATTAATAAATTAAGAGTCTTAATTAAATTCAGTTTCTAAAGCTATTGAACCTCCTTCACTAAACCAGCAAGTAATATTAAATGGAATTTCATTTTAAGAATTAGACACATATCTATATTTAACTGATGGAATTCTAGAATTCAAAGGGAAAGATTAATCTGAATTTTTCAAAACAATTTATTTTTTATCTTGCCATAATTATTTGTTTAAATTAATATGAGGTTTCATTAAATTTAATTTCACATTTTAATCATATTCAAATTGTATCACAACTTTACTTTTACTTGGGTCATAGAAACTTAAAAATACTTCACCGTTTATTTCTAAGGAGTTTAAAGTGCCTTCTCTAGTCATTTAACATGATAATTTTTCAACAATTTCGATGTCTATAGGGGCTTTTAATGGGTTAAGTTTAATTTCTTGTTATTAATTAGACTCTTCTTGGATTTATTATATCAATTCTTATTATTATTTTGGTTATGTTTTATCCTATTGTTCATTTTTAGGCTATTTTTTACCCAAAGCCATACCTTTTTTGGGTGCATTTGTAGTTGGTTTTTAAGATGGACGAGCAGGTTATGTATTATCTATTTTATCTGAAGAAAGATCAGGTTTTAAAACCTCTTCTATAGATTTGGAAGGAAACCTAATATTCGATTAATTAGTACTACTGACACTTCCATAAGGATTAGAAGCAGAAGATGAAGTAAAGTTTTTATCTTGTTGTTTTTTTTTTAGTTCTTATTAATATTTTTTAGCTTGTTCTTTTTATTCAGCTATTCTTTATTTCATTAACATATTATGTAGTTTTTCTTCAGAACTTTCCATATCTAAAGATGTTTATACCTATTTATTTTTAAAATAATATAAATAAAAAAATAAAAAAATAAAAAAAAAAAAAAATATATATATATATAAATAATATATATATATATATATTTATATAAATAATTATATATATATATATATATATTTTATTTACTTAGGCTAATGTAACTGATTCTCTAAGTCCATATGAAATAACATCATCAAAACATAATAAAATATCAAAATCCCGTTTTAATATATTTGCTTCAGAAACTCCTTAAGGGCATAAATCTTATAATATTTTATGTAATAAACGTATTGTTTCTTAGTTTTCGATTATATTTGAGTTTTTTTTAGTTAATAATACTAAATACATAGTATCAAGAGGTAAATATACATATCTCATGTATTCAGTTTCGACAAATGTATGCTATTAGTCTTGTTGGATTAATTTTGGAAAATTACGAATATTTTCCTCTAATTAATGCTTGCTTATGTTTTAATATTGACGAGCTACTAAAATACTTCCTTGTTTATCGCATATTACTGCACTTATTATTACCATTTTTTTTTTTTTTTTAATTTTTGTCTTTTATTTTATAAAGTTATTTATATATATATATTATTACTTTTTATATTTTTTAAAAAATATCTTTGTATTATATATATATTTATATAATATAATATTTTTCATTTATAAATTTTGTTTTTTTTCGTATTTTTAAATAAATCATAAAATATAACATGTGTGAAAAAATAAGATAATTAATATATATTTTTTCTATATCTTCCTTATATATAAAATAAAAAAAAAAATATTAAAAAATAAAATAAAAAAAAAACGCAAACTTAAAACAAAAACAAAAAAAATATAAATTAAAAAACAAGCAAATATATATTTTTTTTATTAATAATAAAAAAAAAAAAAATTAAAAAATTCAATTATTTAAAGACATTCTTGCCAAATATTCATTTAATTCAGATTCTTTAATAACTTTAATTTTATCCTTTTATTTTTCTTCTATTTCTTATTCTTCCTCTTCCTTTTCTTTATTAGCCTCTTCTTCATCATCTAACGCTGGTTTAAAAATATGAAATCCATCCAAAGATGTACTGATAATCATTTCAAAATACTTAGGATGATACCTCAATTCTTTCATATCCTACTACCCCTAATGCAAAAACATCAATTAATCTGGAATCTGTTCCTCAAAATTTTCCATATTCTCATCATTTTCAACAGCAAAATCCCATATAGAAAGTCTATTATCAGCCGAAGTAACCGAAAGGACACTTTCTTCATTAGGTTACCATTAAATAGATGTAATAGGTTCCTAATGATATGCTATTTCAGTAAAACTATTGTCTGGATATCTCAAATCCCATACCTTAAAACATCCATCATCAGCTCCAGAAGCTAAAAGATAAGGATTTTTAATATTCCAAGATATTACATTTACATCACAATCATGAGCTTTTATTAATATTTAAGCTTGTTTTCTATTCTATTATCGAATATCACATACTCTTACTGTTCCATCTACAGAACCTAAAATATATAAATTATAAATAAATAGATAAAAAATATATATATATATATATATATATATATATATATATATATATTTTTTTTTTTTTTTCTTTATATAATAAATAATAATACAAAATATATATATATAATTTATTTATTTTTTATATTCATATATATACATGACGCAAATGAGTAATCTTCAACAGGAGACCATTAAATATCTTCTACGGAACCTTAATGATATATATATGGTTACGAATCCCTTTTAAAATCAGAGAATTATGTATTAGCTGTGTTATATATATATATTTTTCCATCACAACTACCACTGGCTAATCTTCCTGGTTTTACTAAAGACCAATCTAATGCAAATCCTTCTGTTTAATTTTTAAAGGTTATTATATTCAGTTTTTCTTTAGGGTTATTTTTCGGTTTGTTTTGTGGTTTTTTGTCCCATTATTCTAATATTTAATATTTTTAGCTTAAATCAATTATATTAACGTTTCCATTTTCACTCTAATAGGCTACTAAAGGTGTATTTTACATAGATCTTATTCTATTTATACCATATTTTACTTATATACTTTAACATGCGAATTCTGGTTCTTCGTCATTTGCTATATCTTCCTCATCGGAATCCATATAGTCGGAGTCATCATCGTATTTAGTTTTATGTAATTTACACCATCTCATGAGATATATGAAGTTGTTACTATCTTAAGATTAAGTACCAGCTACTACGCATATATCATATGGATATTTATTCATTTATTAATAGTATGGAGTTTATATATTATAGGCTTAATTCATTACAAAATCACATGATAAACAAGGCCTATTATATATAAATATTGATAATATTGTTTATTTTTATATAATTATACCATTCAGTTGTTGCTCGATGCAGCATTTCATATGCTTTATTATCATAATCTAATATTTCGTCAGTTTTTAATTATTTACTAGTACCTAAAAATGGATTAGCTTTTATGGGTTATTGTTTTTTTATGCTTTTTTCATTAACATTAAATTCTTTTTATAATTCATCATCTTCATATACTTCGTCAGCATCATCATCTTAGTCGTCTTCCCATTCTTCATCTTGATTACATTATGTTTTGTTATTATTTTTCATAAATTTATCATATTTATTCTTATCAATATATTCATCATCTTTGTATATATAAAAAAATATAAATATATTATTATATAATAAATATATATATATATAATATATATTTATATATTTATATATATATTTATATTTATATATATATATATACATATTTATATATATATTTATTATTTTTCATTATATATATTTACCTATTTCATCTGCATATTCATCTTCATATTCTATATTTTCAATATCACTATCGTCTTCTTGAATTTTCTTTTCTCTTTAAATTTTAGTTTCTTCTTCTTCTTCTATATGTTATTATTTTTCTTAATTTTTGGTTTACTTTAATTTTTTTTGTACTTCTTTTTTAGAAGTTTATTTTAGCATTGTTTTAGAATTTTCTTGGTATTATTCTTCTTGTTATTCATTTTTTTATTTTCTTTTTTTAGAATTTTCAATCATTTTTATTTTTTTACGTTTATAATATGTAAAATTATTATGTTTTTTTTTTTTTTTAATTTTATATTTTTTATATGAAAGTTAATTTTGTATTTAACTTTAAAAAATTAATTTTAAAATTACATTAATTATTTAAATTTGACTGAAATATAATTTTCATTATAATAGGTTTTATAATATATATTTTAATTATAAATAAATAAAGTTTTAGATTTTAAATAAATAAAAAAATTATTTTTCAATATAATATGTTAAAAAATATATATTTTTATTAGATATAAATAAAGTATTAGATTTTTAATATATATTAAAGATTATTTATTTATATTTTTAAAATATAAAATTTCTTTAATATTTATAGTATATAAAATAAATAATTATTTTTTAAAAATAAATTCAAATATTTATTAATTTGAAAGCTTATTCTATAAAAGTACTTTTAAATATAATAATTAAAATAAAATGATTTTTTTTAATAAAAAATAAAACCTTTTTATTCAATTAAAAAATAAATATTATTAACAAGCAATTATTTCAAAAAAAAAAAAAAAAACTTAATTAAACATATTTTTATAAAAAAAAACAAAAAAATATAAATATATATCAAAAAAAAAAAAAACAATTATCATTAAAACAAAATCAAAAAAATAGTTAACCAATAAAAATAATAAAAAATGGCCTTTGTTTATCTATCAGAAAAAAATTAAAGTTATGTAAAATCATCCACAAATGATTTATTAGGTCCTGGTTGTTATATATAACATAAAAAATATACTATACCAAAAGCAGTAGTTCCATTCAATTCAAGTTAACTTCGAGCTTAATAAAAGAAAGAAAAAATTCAAACCCCAGGTCCTGGCCAATATTAAATTTAGAAATAAAATTTAAGTGAAAAAATAGTCATATCATCAGCAAATGAAGATATTAAAATAGTCGAAATTCCCAAACCTTAATCAATATTTAAATCAACATCATAAAGGTAAAAAAAATTACATATAAAATTTTTGAAAATATATATATATATATATATATATATATATTTTTATTCTTTTTATTTTCAGATTTTAATAAAACATAAAATAAATGGAGAATCCAGGACCAGGTTAATATGAATAATAAAGTACTTTTTATAAAAATACCTCTTCTTAAATAAAATAGAATAATAATCTTCCTTATAATAAATAAAATATGGTAGATCATTTAATGAAATTAAATCATTATTAAAGTACTCCTTCTATTCCTTCGAAATACCATGCTTTTGGTTATACTGAAAATGAAAGTATTAAATATATTATATATATAAATTCTAAAATATATATTTAGATAATGAATTGGCTCTAAATAAAATGCCTTCTTAATAATTTACAGGAACAAAGAGCGATTCTGTAATTTTTTTTTTAAAAAAAAAAAACAAAACAAAAAATATATAAAAAAAAAAATAATAGATTGGACCAGGACATTATAATTTAAAGGATACAATAGAAATAAATAAAAATAAAGGTTCAGCTTGGCACAAGTATTAAGCTGCAAGATTAAATAATAATAAAAAATAAAAAGATAATGTAGGTCCAGGTACTTATGATTTACAAGGATCTTAAATGCCTTTATATAAAATGAAATAAAGCCCTGGATTTGCTTCAAAGACTTTAAGATGTTCAATTGGACTTTAAAAAGTAGCAAATAAATTCTCACAATAAAGAAAAGTTAAAAGTTAATAAAGTCACTTAAATTTAAAAAATAAATTTTTTGAATAAAATAAGGATGAAGAAATAGAATTTATTGATGTATATATATATAAAAATATAAATTTAATATATGTATATAGGAAACTACTCCTGGACCTGGACATTACCATAATGAAAATATTACAACTTCAATAAAACTTTAAGGAAAAGCTGAAAAATTTTAAAATTTTGGAGGATATACAGCAAGTAGATTCTAAATAGGAAGTTTTGGTCAAACTATTGGTCCTGGAGAGTATAATCCTTAAACTTCAGGATTTTATGGAAAAAATCTAAATGTAAATTTATATAAATTTAAAATAACATTATATATATTATAAGTTTATAATTTATTTTTTTAAATATTGTATATTAAAAACTTATACCAGATAAAAAAATAAAAATATATAATATATAAAAAGAAAAGTTTATTTTTATGAATATATATATGAAAAAAAAAAAAAAAACTATAAAATAAAAATATATATATATATATATATATATATATATATATATATATATATATACATTATTTTATTTTTTTTATTTTAATTATATATAAACATATTTATATTTATATTATAATTTATATTTTTAGGAAACAAAAGCTAGAAATCCTCCATTTTTATCTTCTAATAGTAGGTTCGAAATTAAAAAAATAATAGAACATAAACCTGGACCAGGTACTTATGATGCTAGGATTAATGTAAAAAAGAATATATTTATTTATTTTTAATTTAATTTATATAATTGAAACAAATAATATATATAAAAATATTAGTTAGAAGATAAATTAATTAAAAATATACAAAAAGGATATAGAGGTAATTTTGGAACTACTTAAAGGAGATTTAATGACGAAAATATTGTTTATGTAATTATATATTTTATTTTCATACAAAAATATAATTAATAGGAATAACCTGGACCTGGCACTTATATTTAAGTGTTTTAAGAAAATTAAGAAAACCAAGAAAATAATTTACCTTAAGCTGTATTTAGATCAACTTTAGATAGATCTGTTTTTGATAATTAAAAAGATTCTAAACCTCCTGTAGGATCATATAAACTTGACTATTATAATATAGAAAAAAAAGTTATAAAAGAACCAGAAGATCCTGATATTAAAATTAAAGTTCCAAATTTAGGATTTAATACAAGTGAATAAAGATTTAAAGATTTAAAAAAAAATAAAAGTAATATTTAATTATTTGAATTATTTATAATCTAAAATAAAATTAATAAGAAAATGATGAAATAGAAGAAAAAGATGATGAAAATAAAAGCAATTCATTAATAAGATATAATTAATCAAATAAAGAAATAAAGAAAACGAATATACATTTCTTAACAAAAGTAAAATTTATATATATATTAATTATAAATATATATAATATATATATATATATTTATATATATATATATATACATTTTTAATATATTTATTCTAAGGCTGAAAGATTTAATTATAAAGATAAGAATTAAGCTCCTCCACCAGGAACTTATTTCGATGAACAATAAAATTTATGGAATAAAAGAACATATAATATTCATTTTGCTGACTTTTGATAAATAAAGATATAAAATTAATTATTTTTATTTTAAAATAAAATAAAATTATTATATTTTAAATTTTTTATAATATACAATTTAATTATATAGTTTAGTTAAATAAAAAAATAATATTAAATAATTATATATTATAAATAAAATAAAAATCTATTATAAATATATTATATAATAAATATTGAATAAATTTATAAAAAGATACTATATATTTTTATTGATTAAATATGTTAATATTTCAAAAAATACTTTAAATTAAATTTAATTTATTGAAAAAAATAAATAAATAATTTAAATATATAATATACAAAAATGTTATTATTTTAAAAAAGATACATAAAAAATAAAAAAAATGATACATTAAAAAATAATACTAAAAATCAAATACATGGAATATAATATATAAAATAAATAAGATTATATAATAAGACTTAAAAAATGATAAAAGAAAATGAAATTTCATTTGAAGAAAAACTTGAACTTTATTCAATTAATAATAATAATAATAATAATAATAATAATAATAATAATAATAATAACGATAATGTTACTTAATTATAAAATATAAATAAAGTCGCCTTTAGAAGTTAAGCAAACATTTTAAATACAAATTTTTAATAACAAAAGCCTGTAACCAGTAAAAAAATAACCATATATTCATAAAATTTTAAATAATAATAATAATGTAATGATTATTTTGATTTAAATTTATTAGACGAGAAAGAACGTAAAAACCCCGAAGATGTATTTTCATTTGAATATTTATAATTATTAAACGATCCCTCTTATATATAAGGAATTTAAAGAATAGATTATTCAGATATTAATAATGAAAACGAGTAAACCTTATAAATTTTAAAATTTTAAAAATTAAGTAATTTCGCCAATAATAAAAAATTATAAGATAATAAAATTAGAAGTAGATAAGTTAGTAAAAGTCTTGATTAGAATACTAGAAAGAAAAGTTTTTTTTAATATTTTATGTAATAACAGATAAATTCAGAGAATTAAAGAAGTCTTTATTAAAATCAATAAAATATAGATAAAGATAAATTCATAATAAATTCAGATCATCATATAAAAGTTTACTGGGACATATTTTTTATGGTATTAATATTATATGAAATGATTTCAATTCCTTTTAGGCTTTCTTTTGAAAACAATTAGACTAATTAAGGAATATTTAAATATTTATCATCATAAGACCCATACATAGTAAAAAATAAATATATATTATTTTTATATGTATACTATATTTATATATTAAGGATGCATTTTTTTTATTTGATATATTTTTAAATTTTAATACTACAGTATTTATAAAAGGATAATAAATATTTAAAAGGAAATTAATAATAATAAATTATTTAAAATGTTGGTTTTGGTTAGATATAGTTTCTTCTTTTCCATATACTAGTGCAGTTAATTATTTTATTCTTTCAGACTAATAGGTTTAATAATAATAATAATCATAATAGGAAATTTAAGAAAACAATAATAATAATTTAAGTACAAAATAATTGATAAGATTTGTTCGTTTTTTAAGATTTGTGAAAACTATAAGACTTTTAAGAGTTGCTAAATTAAAAATTGTTTATATTAATTTAGTTGAGAGACTTTAGTTTAATTTTGGAGTTTTGAGTATTCTAGAATTTATCAAATTGGTTTTAATTGTACTTTTTATAGCCCATTGGTGCGCTTGTTTATGGCATATTGTCGGATAATAAGACACTGAAAAAAATTGGCTTATTAAAATTAATATATATGGAGAACCGTGGCAAGTAAGGTATATTAATTCAGTATATTGGGTAAATTTGTATATCAAAAAAAATCATATATTTTATACAAATAATAGTCTATAACTACTATGATTACTGTAGGTTATGGCGATATTACACCTTCTAATCCTTAAGAGTAAGTATTTGCAATGTTTACTATGATGTTAGCTTGTGGAGTGTTCGCTTATGCTATGAATACAATGGCATCTGTGCTTTTAAATAATCAAAATGAATAATTTAATAAAGATATATTATAGGTAAATAGGTATTTAAAAAATAATAATGTGCCTAGTAAAACCTAAATTAGAATTAGAAAATATTTAGAATATATTGAAGAGAATAATTAGAAAAATAATATAGATAAAGAAAAGTTATTTAATAAATTAAATGTTTCATTGAAAAATGATCTTATATTGTAAATAAATGGAAAAATAGTGGAAAATTGTAGTGTATTAATAAATAATTTTGATCCAGAATTAATATATTAAGTAACATTGATGATTTAGGAAAGAATAACAGCACCAGAAGAAATTATTTTTAGGGTAATAAAATATTATAAATATATATATATATATATATATATATTTATATATTTATATATTTTTATATATTTTTATAAATTTTTATATATTTTTATATATATTTTTATTTATTATTATATCATTTTTTAAATTATAGGAAGATTAAAAAAATTCAATGGATAAATCTTTATATTTTATTTAATAAGGAAAAATAGATATTTATTTAGAAAATAATTAATTATTACTTACAACTTTAGATGTAAGAATATATATACTTATAAATTATAATTATTCAAATATATTATTTAGAATAATAAATATTTTGGAGAAATATCGTTTTTTAGTAGTTAATAAAGAACAGCATCAGCAAGAAGTGCAGACTTTACTAATCTATTTTTTTTAGATTAGGCTGATTTTATAAAATTATTAATTAAATATCCGACAGAATATTAGAAATTTATGATGATAAAAGACAGTATAAACCTATATTAGGATTATTCTTATTTGAAAATAATTTGTTATTTATGTAAAGAAAAAGGACATTTAATATCTTAATGTCCTAGTTTATAGGTAATGAATATTAAATAAAAATAAAAGGAAAGAATAAGGAAAAAAAAGAAATCTGAAAATAAATAAAATAAGAGAAAAAAAAAAGAAAAATTAAGAACATTTAATATTTATGGGAATGCATATTAAAATATTAATGAATTTTAATAAAATTAATCACTAATTAATTAATATATTGAACTTTATTGTCTTGATTATGTAGAATATGAAGAATAACCTAATAATGTGTATAGATTTAGGACTAAAGATAATTTTAATTGTGAAAATAATGAAAAAAGTGGCGTAAATAATCCAATATAAAGCATAATTTAAAATGAATATGATAATTAATAACAAAAATTAATATAGTAATAACAATAAAATAAATAAATTAATTTTAATGATAATTAAAATACTTTATATATATTTGATAGATTTAAAAATTTTACAAATTATTTCATACATAATAATTTGAAAAATGTACTAAATAATTAAAAAATAAATAAAATATAAAAGAGATTAATAAACTTAATAATAAAATTAATTAAATCAAAGCAATGTAAAAATTTTTAGGTTCATCTAATAAAAATAATATAATTAAAAGCTAATTTATATGATAAAAATAAAAATAGCAAAAATTATTTTGCAATAATAATTAAAAATATATATAATAAATATTTTTGATTTATATAGATAAAAATAAATGTGTAAATAATTTTAAAGATATATTATATATATATATATAAATATATTTATATATATATATAATTTATTTAAAAAAAAAATTTTATATAAAATTATTTAATAATTTCTTAAAAAATTGTATTATTTAATTATAATATTATATATTTATTTATATATTTCAATATATTGAATTTTTTTTTTTATAAGACTAAAATTCTTTCTAAAAATTATACTGTTTATTAATAGTCTATGATTTATCATTTTAAAATTATTATTTTTATTATTATTATATTTTTTATTATTATTATTATTATTATGATTATTATTATTATTATTATTATTACTAATTACATTTCTTTTTATTAAATTCATCATTACTTATTTGATTATTATTTACATTTATTAAAATTTAATTTTGGGATTTTGTATTTTTTATATTTAAATTTTATTTTAAATTAATATTCTTATACTATGGCGAATTTTATTCCTTTTTTATTTAATTTTTTTAAAATAATAAAGACTTAATTTATTTAAGAATTTAAACTTATTGTTGTTATTAATATTTTTATTACTATTATTATTACTATTATTATTACTATTATTATTACTATTATTATTAAAATTAATATTATTTTTATTATTTATTTTAATTTTTTTTTTGTTTTATTTTTCAATTTCAAATAAATTTTTAAATGCAGTTTCCGATTTTGTATTTTTTAAATGGCTTTATTTGTTTTATTATTTTTGTAATTTTAAATGAATTTAACTACTTACAAAACAATTATTTTTTTAATTATTTTATACAGGAGAATTATTTTTATTTTAAAGTTAACTTAAGTTTTAGTTTATATTATTTTATTAAGAAAATTTTCTATCTGTTTAATAATTTCTTGCTGATTATATATTTTAATTTTATATTTATGAAATAATATTTTAATTAATATCTATTTTCAATGATTTTTTTTAGGGATACAGTAAAATTTCTTAATTTTTTTTTTTTAATTTTTTTCAATTGAGATTATATTTTTATTCATTTATTTAAAGTTCTAAAAATTTACAATTTTATCATTTTTTTATTTTTTATTACTCTGTTAATATAATCTATCAGAATTATAAAAATTATTGTTAAATTATATGCTTTCATCCTTTCTTTATGAAATATTAGGAGAAATATAATTTTTATTTTTTTAAAAAGAATATTTTTTTAGATTCTATTTACTTTTATCTTAATAATTATTTACTTTTACTTAATTCTATTAAAATAATTCATAGAAATTATAATTCTAACGTTTTAAAGAATCTTAATTGCGTGTAGAATGGCTTCTTTAAGAAAGAGGTTCTTTCTAACTTAATTAATTATAACTTTATTTTATTATATTTAAAGAAAGTAAATTGTTATTATTAAATAAATTCGAATCATTATTATTATAATTATTATTTTTATTATTATTATTATTATTATTATTATTATTATTATTATTATTATCTTTATTATCTTTATTATCATTGTTATTATTTTTTCCATTTTATAAATTAACAATATTTTTTTTTTTTTAATAATTAAAAAATTAATTTTATTAATTAGAAATATGATTTGGAGATTATATAGTTTTTTTTAAAAAATTATTTTTTACAGATTGTGATGATTAAATTTTTTATATATTAAAAGAATTTGTATTTTAAGATAATTACAAATTATTATTAAAGATGTTTTTTTTTTACTTGCTATATTTTATTATTTTATAAAATTTTATATTTTTTCCTAAAAATTTTCTTAAGATTGATTATTAGAATTTTTAATTAACAAATTATCATTTTTAATCTTTAAATTTTATTTATTAATTTTTTGAGTTGGATATATACCAAAATTTTTTATTTAAATGTCTTAATTTTTATTTTAAAAATTCTCATCTAAATTTTTTTTTTTTTTAATTTTTGTTATTTTTTAAATTAATATGTTATTCTAATAATTTTCATTCTTCTTCAATATTATTATTACTACAATTATTTAAAGTACTCAATTTATAAGAATAATCCATAAAAATATTACTTATAATATTTTTTATATCCCTTGTATCATCTTCTTATTCGTTCTTGTTCAAATATTATTATATATTTCCTCTATTAACAAAAATGCTTATATCTTTCAATAGAGGATCTTCATTTCGAAAAAATTCAGAAAAAAAACTTTTATTACTTTAGTTTTGAGAATTTTCATCATATTCATCTTCGGTTAATTTAGGTTTATCCCCAACAATTCCTTTAGGTGGGTTATTCGGATTTTTAAGGTTTTCTTCTTTTATTATTTGAACGATTTAAAAATAATCAAATTTGCGTTTATTATCATAATAATCGTTTATTATTTAGATTTCTTTTTCCATAAAAAGTCTTGGGATTTCCTTGTGAAATTTGTAATATTCACTTAATAATTTAAACTTATTTATATATTCGGATATTTTGTAATATCTTTTTAAATAAAAATATTCTTCTAAATATTGTTAAATATCTTTAAATTATATGACTTTATTTATCCTTTTATTAAATAAAATATCGTTAATGTCTCTTGTATAATAGTAGTTTTAAGATGCTGAATATTTATTAAATAAAAATTCATTTATTTATTTTGTGTATTTATTTCCACGATTTTAATAGATTTTTTAAGTTTCTTAGATTTTTGTGTATTAAGAAGGAATTATTATCATTTATTTAGAGTATTTGTTTTTTTAACTTTTTTATTTATTTTTAAAAGTAATTATAAATTAAATATTTAATTAAAAGAATTTGTTTTAATATTATTGATTTTATTTTTTATTCAAAAAACATAAAGTTTTAAATAGATTTTTAATAAAAAATAGTAGTTTTAATATATATAAATATATAAAAATATTAAATATATATATTTATATATATATATATTGTTATTTAAATTGTATAAATTTATTTATTTTTATTATTTATTTAAAATAAATATTACTAAATACCTTATAAGATATAATTAATTTTTCATACATTTATTTTTTTATATTATGTTTTAAATTAATTTTTTTAATAATCTATTTAATAAAAAAATATGAATTAATAGTTATTAATATGTATATATATAAATATCTATATATATAATAATTTTATGAAATATATATATTTATTTAAATATAAAATATTTTAATTTTATTTTATTTTTTAAATTAATTTTTTTTTTATAATTATTATATTTCATTTTATTTTTTATTTCATCTTTTATTTCTAACTAATTTATATATTAAAAAAATATTTAAATAAATTATGTATATTTTCTTAAAAAATAATAATAATAAAATATTTTACTAATTAACTTAAATTTCCTATAGAATTTTTTAATCAGCATTTTACATGTTTTAGCCTTGATAATTCCATATTCTTTCTTTATCTTAAAATTCTATTTTATCAATTAACATTTTTGCTTCTCTAGCTATACTTCTATATAAAAATTAATTATCTTATATAAATTTTTCTATGTTTTCATTAACTTCTTCTAATTCGCTAATTTTCAACCAAATTCTTAAAATTTCTTTTTCCTCTCCTCTGCTTTAGGTAAATTGACTTCTTATTTTTTTCTTAATTTAATTGTTTTCATCTTTTTAATTTTACAAATATATTTCTTGAAAATTATTTCCTATTATAGCTACAGGAAGAGATAAAAGCTAATTTAAAATTATAAAAAAATATATATATATATGATTAAGTACTAAAACACCAAATATTAATGAAATCGAAGCTATAATTTTTCCTTAAACAGATTAAGGTATTGTATCACCATATCCAACAGTTGTAATTGTTATTACAGCCCACCAAATAGCTTAAGGTATATTAGAGATTACTCTAATAATATTTATTAGTTAATTTAATTCATTAAAAAAAAATACTTTTAATCAGATTCTTTTTCTGCAAAATATAAAATACTTGAAATTAAAATAATACATATAATAGTAATAAATAATAATATAGATAAAGGTTATATGCTTAATTTTAACCCTTTAATTAAAATCTTGAAATTATATATAAAAATAAAAATATTTATTAAAATATTTATATTTTTATAATTAGATAAAAATGTATATATAAATATATATATATATATATATATATATATATATATATACATATATATATATATTATTATATATATTTTAAATTATTACATTAA